CTTAAAAAACAATATAACAGTACTGTTAAGAAGGCGTTTTTAAGAGGTAGTAGTAAGAAAGTTAATATAGCCTATATACTAAAAGTAAGTAAGAGTAGGCTAAGGAGCTATACTAGCAAGAAGCTAGTAGATCTACTTAGGCAGAGGCATATTACTAATATAGAAAGGCAGAAGTATAGTAAGTTAATAAGAAGAAGGTTATTATAGTAGTATTAGAGTTATAAGGTAATATATAGGTATTTTATACCTATCTAGTATATATGCGCAGGCCCTCTAGGACTACTATAATACTACACTGCTTTACCTTACTTTACGTACACTAATAACTATAAAAAGTTATTATAATATAAATAAATAATAAATACTGTCTAAGACACTAGGACTATACCTAGTAGACTACTTATAGAGAGCTAATAGACCCCTATAAAGGAACTACAGTTATAAACCCTATAGAGAGTATAATAGGCACTAATATTAAAGTAAGTACTGCCTATATAGGATAAACCTCTAAGGAGGCTACTAGTAATATACCTTATAAGAATAATGCTAGCCTATAAATAATTACGTAAGCTAGCGTAAATACTAACTATAATAATAGAGTAAGTAAATAATAAATTATTATAAGTAAACTCTATATTAAGCTCTTACTTTATATAATTATATATTATAAAGCCCCTAGAATAGGGCTAGAGAAGTAATAAAGCCTAATAAACTATTTATATAGTTAATAGGTACCTAATAAGGTAAAACTTATAAATACAAAGTTACTAATAATAATACGTAGTAAGTATAACTATACTCCTAAGAATTATAATCTAAGGATAATAGTAAATAGGACCCTCTATAGAGGTCTAGCAGTTACCTATAATAAACTAGGCTATGCTTATTAAAGTTGCAAAGACTTAGTAATAAGGATATAGGCCTAGCGCAGTAGGCCCCTAGGCTAGATCTAAGGACTAGCCTAGGAAAAACTTAAATAATTTAGTACTAAATTTCTCCTAAACTATTTTCCCTCTATAGGAGGTTTTTATAAAGTTTAATTAAGGTAACTATGTAAATTAAATACCTGTTTATCTACTCTAAAAATTCTAGCAGTTTAGGATAAACTATAAGAAGAGGGGGAGCTCTGTTATAGGTATTTCTATCTAAGCTCCTATTAGCCTACCTTTAGTAAACCTCTAGGCTAAGGGCGTAAGGCCCTTAGAGCTCTAGTATATAGTACTTATAAATCCCTAGGGCTTATACTCTAAGGATTTGTCTAATCTCTTAATAAATACCTATTTATCCTATATCTTAATTACCTATTTATAGTGCCCTTATAAATATAGGCTATACCTTAAGGTAGTCTAGCCTAATTAGAGTTTTTATTTTATATACTAGTAACTATTTAATAAGCTACTATTTCTAGTAGCTAGGCTAAGTCTAGATAGTTTTATATATAGTAGTAAAAGTAATTTATAATTTCTAAAAACTTATTCTTTAGCTAAAAAATTTCTTTTTAGTAATAGTACTTTATATCTTAAACTATATTCTCTTCTAGTTATACCTTACTTATAAGTATAGGTATTCTAGGGTTTCTTTATAAAAGTACCTTATATAAGGCTTTCTAGCTACTAGGTAGAAGCTTATATACTAGATTACTAAAGTAGAGGATATATACTCTTTCTTCTAGACTTATATTATTAAGTAGTTATTTTATAAAGAGTAACTAAATTCTATTAGTATTATTTACCTACTATTTAAACTTACCTATTAAGAAGTAGATCTTTAGATCTACTTCTTATAGCTAAGAGTATTCTAGTATAAGGTTATAACCTATAAAGTTTACTACCTAGAATATCTAAAGGTCTACTTCTTTAGCAGTTCCTCTTATATTACTATCTAAAAGTATAAGTTTATATAGTTTAAAAATATTTAAATAGTTACTATTATTAAAGCTTACTATTAGCTTCTAATAAAATAAACTATAAAGGAGATTCCTCTTCTTAACTATATATTAGTTAATAATATTAATTTCTATACCTAAGTTATATAGTATATAAAGAAGTATTATAGACCTATTAGACTTTTATAAGATTATAGTAACTTTAATATAAGCTTATTTTTCTTTTAACTCTAGCTTTAGCTATAATTAGAAAAGATTTATAATTAGAGCTTTTCTTTTTCTAAGCCTTAGCTCTTTAAGTCTTAAAGTTAGTTAGTATTAGTTTTTTAATTTAATTTCTACTAACTCTTCTTCTTATTATCTTAATTATTACTAGTATTTACTACTTACCTACTACCTTAGTTCTAGGCCTAAGGTAGAGCACTAGTAGATTAGTTCTAGTACTATCTTAAGAGTTTAGAGTTATATCTTTTTTTATAGCTACCTTAAGTTAGGAAGGTAGCTATTTATTTAGGCTTTATAGAGTCTAATAGTTTTAACTTTATCTTTATACCTATAGTAGTCTCTATATTATATAGAGCCTACTTAAACTCTAACTATTTAGTAATAGTTTCTAATACTTTATTATACTAAATCTCTTATTAGTAAGCCTTAAGAGCCTTTACCTATACTAAGGAGATCTTTAACTTATTATTTATACTACTATCTATAAGCTTAAAGAAGCTTTAGTAAAGTAGAGATTTCTTATAGTTTAGGTATAGTAAGAATATATTAACTAAGTTATTAGTATACTACTTAAAGTTCTAAAACTTTAAGTAGTTTTTATACTATATAAAAACTAGATTTTATACTAGCTTCTACTTCTTTATATAGATATTAGCCTAGGTATAAATTACTTCTTTATTAATCTTTTATTAGATTAATTCTTAGTATACTTTATATTAGATAGTACCTATTACTTAGTAAGTTCTAGTTATAGAGTCTTCTAGTACCTAGGTATACTTAAATACTATATCTATATCTTTAACCTACTAATCTACTTATTAAAAAGTAGAAATATAGAATTCTATACCTAATTTAGGCTTAAAGTTTACTATATTAAGTACTCTAATTAGCCTTTCTACTATATTAGATACTAACTAGAAAGGCTTTACTAAGGTAGTAAAGTATCCTAGGCCTAAGTACTATAAAGTAACTTAGAGGTATCTTTCTAAGATTATAATATATTCTAGGCTAGTACCTTAAAGTTATTCTTTTAGGAGCCTATTTAAAATTAATTAAATATACTACTTACTACTTAGTAAAGCTACTTATATATAGACTCTTAGAGGTAATTTCTAAAAAGGTTATAAAATACTAAACTAGTAAATTACTTCTAAAACTCTATTAATACTACTTTCTAGCTATATTCTAGAAAGAAGTATATAGCTTATTTCCTTAATTAAAGGTTATCTTAAAAAGCTTTTATATATTTCTTTAAATAGCTAGTTTTTTATTAGGAAGTAAGTTACTTTCTACTTAAAAATTTCTTCTTCTTTATCTAAGCTTTCTATATCTTTAATATAAGTAGCTAAGCTTTACTTTAGAGCTAGGTTACTTTTAGTTCTAAATAAAAATACTATTAGGCCTTTTTTAGGTATAATATTTTATTTTCTTTAAGAAGGTATTATTTTTTTATTAAAGAAAATAGCTTCTATTTATCTTAAATTAACTACTCTTTCTAAGAAGAAGTATAAAAGATTTAAATTATAAAGGCACTATAAATAGGTAATTAAAATATAGAATAAATAGGTATTTATTAAAAGATTAAATAAATTCTTAGAGTATAAGCCTTAGAGATTTATAAGTACTTATATACTAGAGCTCTAAGGGCCTTATACCTTTAGCCTAGAGGTTTACTAAAGGTAGGCTAACAGGAGCTTAGATAGAAATACCTATAATATATAGCTAGTTTTTTATAATACTATACCTACTTTATTATATATACTAGCTATAATCTTCTTTTACTTACTTTAGTAGTTATATATAAACTATAGTTAGTAATACTTACTATAGTACTATTTATAATACTTATAGCTAAGGTTATAATTCTTTTCTTAAGCTTTAACTACTACTTTAGCCTTAGCTTATATAATATATATTACCTTTAGTAGTAGCTTATAGTTATAGTCTTTATTTAATACTTTATTCTATAAGCTATTAAGGTTAATATTCGTAATAGTAATTTTATAGTACTAGTACTTATATAGAATATACTTATAAGCCTATTCTCTTTTCTTCTAAATAAGATATATATAATTATATAGTAAGTTATTTATACTATTTACTAAAGCTATAAATACTATACTCTACTTATTATTATTACTTATATTAAAAGAGTTTAGGCTAGCTATAAAGGTAGGTATTACTAGCCTTAATAGTAGTTTTATATTAAAGTTAAATAGTAATAGTAATTATAATAGTAAGTATAATAGTACTAGCTATATTCCTAGTAGTAGTAATAGTAGTAATAATAGAGTTAGTAGTAGTAATAATAAAAGTAATAATAAGATATAAGGTATAATAGATAAAATAAATAATATAATAAATTTAGTATATATAATATAATATTTAATAGTAATAAGCTTTTTAATTAAAATAATTAACTAATAAAGTAGACTTTAAATAATAATAAATAATAAAAATTACTAAATATGTAATAAGTATTAATAGTTAGTAACTCTTATACTATAAATCTCCTTTAGCAGATACGCTATACATTAAATAGTATAGTAGCTATCTATTAGAGAGTCTATGTAACACTACTAGCACTAGTTGCATATAGGCCCCGTATGTGGGTGCTTAGGAATAGTTATGTGGGTGCTCGTTAACCGCTGCCACGAGTACTGCTTGTGAAGCATTCCATCTGCGGAATCCCGTTATTTTCTTAAATTTAGGACCGACCGCAGCAGCTTGGCTGCCGCCAATCTAGGCTTTTGGGCCGGTAAGGCAAGCAGTCGCTACACGCGGATTGAGCTGATTTCCCCACGGCGGGATATATATTGGAACAAAAACCGGTGAAGCTCGACGAACGTCATGTTCGAGATGCTACCTACATCTATGCAGTTCGGCTTAATCATTGCCCCGCCTCCCCTGGCTCGTCCCACACTTCACTCATATCCAACCACTCCAGCGCAAACGCAGCCATGATCTTCCCCCAGTCCCGCACAGTCTCCATGTCCAGATGCGCTCCGTCATCCTCCATCTTGTGCCACACGTGCGGAAACGGATCGGGGATGACGTGCAACACCTCGACCCCTCTGGCTATGAAGGGGAGGTGGTCGTCTGATATGGCGCCACGCGCCATTGTCATGTTGTTGTCAGGCAGAAACGGCGAAGATGGGCTTGACTCGAGAAGGTCGAGGGCGCGCATGCGGGATTCGATTGAGGAGAGTTTTTTGTAAGCCCAGTGCGTGGTCGGGAAGTATGAGGGGACAGAAGGGGACGCAGAGCCGAGAAGATCCAGTAGAACGAACAGAGATATCTGGCTGAGCGGGGTGCGGTATTTGTAAAAGGTTGCCGAGGGCGGGTTATATGATTCCGACCATTCTTTTGCCAGAGCTCTAGGGTGGACAGTCAGTACACATATCCAAATCACGTTGTGGTATCTAGAAACACATACCTGCTCCCATACAGACTATCCTCATCACTCCACTGCACAAACGCCTCCTCCCCATCCAAAAACAATATCTGAATCCCCATGTCCATCTCCACCGTGCCCCCCTCACCCAGCTCCTGCATCTCCTCATGCATCCGACTCACATACGCATCCACGACCCGCGCAACATACAGTAACATGGCACACGGCGCCGCACTATCCGTCGCGCCCACAAACCCCTCAGGCGCAACCTTGGAATCATAATGCGCCACCAGCGTGAGCAGATTCGCCTGTCCCGGCTTAACCCACGGCGGCTCCCGCTTGAACACGAGGTTCGCGAAGGGTACGTCCGCGCCGTTCGACACGGGCGTCGCGGCCGTGCTGTTCTGCCAGGCTACACTCCACTTTGGCAGCTCGCGCGTGAAGAAGTCGAGGAAGTGGCGTTGGGCGGTCGTTTGGCCTGGTGTTCCGGGTACGCGTGGGATGAGGAGGGGCGCGAGGAGGGTGCCGTTTTGTGGGTTGAGGGCGTGGCCTGGCGAGGGGATTGCGCGGAGGAAGGTGTCTGAGAGGGGTTTGTAGGCTGTTGCGTGGGGGTGGGGGTTGAAGAGGAGGGCGCTTGTGAAGAGAGATAGATAGAATGGGAGGTTGGAGAACATGTTGTTGGGGATCTGAATTTGAATGCCGGGTCGTGGTGTCGAGCGCAGCGGCCTACGGGCTGGAGTCGTGTCGTTCGCAACTGAGAGATGCGGTGTCGCGCCTACTAAGGTATACAATGCTAAGCTCTCCAAGAGTGAGGATTAGTCTCGCAACTGTGAGATAGACACGGTAAACAAGTGGATGTAAAGTCGAACAGCGCAGTCAGCTCAGGGCCAGCGACTCCTTCCCTCCATCTCACGTTTCACCCATCGACAAGGCGAAACACGACGAGTCGCTTCCCAGAATGCCTCCGAGCGATCATCGCTGCCGAGGCTCTTAAAGTCGCCGTGAAAGACTCGAACTGGTTAATAAAATGTGTTGCGTGTCAATTGTTCAGTGTTAGGAAGACGCGTTTTCGAGCTACGTGAGGAGAAGCCCGCATAAGTTAGTTAGGTACGTCTAGTACACCATCTTATCAGATGGGAACATCGGAGCGCACGACGGAGGATCTAACTTAACTGCACTAGTTTATCATCTTTCTTATCCAGAACTCTGTCCTACAAAAGCAAGCCATTGGTTAAAGGAACTACTGATTTAGAGTTCCAACCCCCATTTTAGTCCTGCCATAGAAGGAGCATACATTCAAGCTCAACCAAACAAACACCTAACCTACCAACCTACAACTTCGCCCTAACCAGCCCCTCAACCCTAACCATCGCCCTCCCATTAGTCAAAACCGTCTTCCCACCCTCCACCCTAACAATAAACCTAACCTCCTCAAACCCGCCCTCACTCACCCCCTCCTTCCCCATCCTCCACATCTCAAAGACCAGCTTATCCGCCGGCTTAACCGGCGCTGCAAAGCGGGCCTGAAACTCCTTCATATTCTCGGGCTTGCTGGCGCCGAAAGCCTGCAGCACGGCGTGCGCGGCCGAGTTCCACGAGAACAGGCCGTGGATGATGGGCCCGCCGAAGCCCATTTTCTTGCCCGGCGCGGGGTCCGCGTGCAGCGGGTTGTAGTCGCCGTTTAGGCGGTAGAGGTGTGCGGTTTCCATGGTGGTTTGCACGGTGCGGGATGCGTCGGGGGCGCGGGATGGGGGAGGGTAGTTGGGGACTTTGGGGCCTGTTTGTTGCGGTGGAGTGTTAGCGATCATCATCTCTACATTATCATGAGTGCAGAAGAAGATGAAAAAAAGAAAGAAGAAGAGACTCACCCTTAGGACCTCCCCAACCCCCCTGACCAACATAAAACCCGCTCCCTACCGCCCGCGAATACGTCTCCCCCGTCGCCTTATCCACAAGCCTCTGCTCTGTCTCGACCACCGTACCGGGCTTGCCCTTGTCATACACGCCCAGCACCTTGCTCCTAATCTCAAACGTGCGGCCCTCGGATGTAACGGGTAACGGCTTGAAGAACTCGATCTTGCGCTCGCCGTCGAGCACGCCTTTAGTGTCGAACTTGGGCACGCCCGCGATGGGCTCGGAGTTGCTGCGCGCGTAGAAGTCGATGACGTCCTGATCTGTGTGCTTGAAGGGCAGGATGATGGGGTATGTGGGGAATGCGGCGAAGGAAGGGTGCAATTCCTTTGAGTATGTGTTAGCGAATTGAAGGGGCATCTCGGACGGACGGAGGGAAGCTCGAATGGGGCTGTGAGGTGACTTACATAGAGAAAATGCAGCTCATCTGGATACGTAGCTCCAATGGTGTTCGCAAAGAGCAGCAGATCGCGCTTCATCCACGACACCTCGAAGCTTGGGAATTCGAAACCCACGCCAGGTCCAGCATCGTTGCCCATGTTTGTTGAAGAAGTGAGTAGCTTGAGATGTGATTTAAGAGCTGGTTAACAAAGTATAGAGACTCGAATCCACAAAAGAGCACGATTGAAGGGTTTTGGATGTTGGATGTTGGGCGGGGAAAGTAATAACGGTCTTATTCTCGGTCGGCCAAATTGAAGCTCATGCGGAGCTCCAACAGTTGCCGAGGTCGACTCGAACATCCATGCTTCACTCAGCCATCATATCGAGTCGGTATCAGATTTGGAAGACAAGTAATGAATGTGAGGAAGCTATTGAGAACTACCAGTTCAAGAATACAATGCAGGCTGGTTGTGAATAGTGTTAAATTTTTGATATTTGTATACTTGCATTCTTGTCCATATCATATCTACGAAGCCCAGTCTGATTAATGCAATCCTTTCATTAAGTCCCATTGCGATACGTGTACGCATTCCCACTAAACATGCCCAAAAACGCAAACAGCGCAATCGCAAGCATGATAAACCGAACTGGAAAAAAGAAGACTCGAACCCCAGGAAAACCAACCCGAGGAAAAACACCGAACAAGCGATGTAGCACAATACTCCGATGCACACCCCCACGCAATGCAAGTGCAGATACCTGAAAGCATAATTCCTCAGGAACTCTGACGAAAGCTCATTCTGTTGTGACCGAGAAAGATCGGCGCGGTATGGACGTTTGCTAGCACCGCTCGAAGGATCGTGCTGCTGGGTATACATTCTTCAAACGTCAGGTGTCGATACGTAATAGTTAGATCGTCGAGGTAGTCCACCTGGGACATACGCGTTTGCCGAGTAATCGTGATGTCCTGAACACATGCTCTGTGATGTTGTTGCAGGACGTCGACAAGAATAAAATTGTGTTTGAGCGTAAAAGATTCGAGAGAACATAACCGTGTACAATAATCAGCAAGAGACCAATCGTACGGGAAACGAACGCAGGGTATCCAGGAAGAAAGTCGAATGAATGAATGATGCCGCCATGCCGCTGCGTGTTCAACAATCCAAAATATTCAGAATTGCAGAGCCGCTGAGAACGCTTTTGAAGGGATCGCCGAAACAAAGAGATACAAAGCAGGCTCCAATAAACAGAGGATGGCGTAAGAGTGAGTTCGGAGCTCATTAGACGTCGAAGTTGCCGTGGTTGAAGATGTCATGGTCATTGCTGGGAATGACGCCAGACATTCTATCTCCGCGTCCTGCCGGCTTGTCCCAATCGACATCATCCTTTTCGTCCTCGTCCATCCGCTCCAGATCCTCCCGATGGCTGTGAGCGAATTGTTGATCCAGCGTACTTTGATCGGTGAACGTGAATCCCTTGAAGTTGGCTTGCATAGTCGGCGATAATGGCGTTGATGCCGGATTGATACCTGATGACAACGCGGCAGCACGGGCATTCAATGAGCCGTTGCCGTTCAAAGCATTCGTAAACTCGGGGTCGAAGTTAGACACGTCCAGCTCTCCCTTAAGCTTGGGCTTGAAGGGTGGGACTACGTTCTTCTTTGCCAGAGCCACCCAGTCAATGTCAGCAAAGAACGGGTGAGCCTTCAGCTCCTCCGCATCTCGTGTTGCACCAAGTCGGTGCTTTGGGTTTCGGTTCAGAAGACCTTTGACGAAATTGCGACCCTCAGTACTCAGGGCATCTCGAGGGAATCTGACCTTGCCGAATGCGATATTCTTGTACATCTGTTGAGTGTCCTCCGCATAGAAGGGACTCCAACCACAGCACATCTCAAACACCAACACACCGAGCGACCAGAAATCGACCATCTTGGTGTAGCCTTGCTCGTCTAGCAAAACCTCAGGTGCCAAGTACTCGGTTGTGCCACAGAAAGTGTTCGTGGTTGCATTCTCAGTGAGGTTGGCTTTGGACAGACCAAAATCACAGAGAGCAATGTGACCGTTGGCGTCCAGAAGGATGTTCTCCGGCTTCAAGTCCCGGTACACGATATCGTGGTCATGGAGGTGTTGCAGTGCCAGGATAAGCTCTGCGATGTAGAACTTTGCGCGAGCTTCTTGGAAACGACCTTCTCTTTGCAAATGCCAGAACAGCTCACCTCCAGACATGTAATCTGTCACGAGATAGAGATCAGACGGTGTTTGGAAAGAAAACTTCAATCCCACAATGAAATGAGAGTCGGCCATGGCTGTCCGAACAAGGATGTTACGTTCTCCGAGAGTATGTGCTACCTCTTTCTTTTGCACGATGACCTTCTTCGAGAGGACCTTCATGGCGTAGATTCGGCGGGTATCCCGTTTGCGGACCTGGAAGACCTGCCCGAATGTACCCTTTCCAATGAGTTTGAGAATCTCAAAGTCTTCCGGGCCAAAGTGCTTCTTATCAGTCTTGTGGAAGTTGAGCTTGAGATGTACCTCTCCGGTCACTTGGCCTCCCTCGCCGTCTCGGGGCTCGAGGTGGAACCAGCCATCGTACGGGTGCTCGTATTCGACGAGGTTGGGGCAGAACCGAACATGGCCGAGGAAAGCCTCGCCGTTTGAGCGGTCGTAAACGGAAATGTCGATCTCGGCGTGGTCTCCGACAACATCACTATGGAAAGTCAGTATGCTATTGATGACGTGGCGATAATTTGCACGTACAATATTGCCTCGTGCTCCCACTTGGGGCTCGTGACATCTTCCGAAGTGTCCTCTTTTGGATCGGAGCTGTTACCGCTGTGGCTGCTCTGCCGGCTCTTCATTGGGATGGCCATGGGCCTGCCCATCTCGCTCTCTGTCCGCCTCATCTGCATTGCCGTAGGACGGCCTTTCTTGGTAGGATCATGTCTTGGCCCGTCTGAGATGTACTCTGCCCACTGGAACTGGCACACGACGTATGGATCCACGCTGGGACGCAGACCCCGTCCCTCTGATATGGTGACTGCAAGCTTGCCCTTTGGTGTGCTTACGACAGGCTCTTCCTTGTTCTCTTTCGACGCGGTCGACGTGTTCGAGACGAGCGACGTCCGTGACAGGCTCGATGGCTTGGACTTGCCTTCCTGTGATCGTGTTCGGGGAGTCTGGGGAGGAGTGGCCTGACCCTGCGGCGCAAAGTCGCCTGTTAGCTTCTCTGCTTCACCATTCAACTGAGAGGCTGAGGGGGCTCGAGAAGTGGTGCTGGGAGGGGGGCTGGGCAGCATGGTGGAGCGCAGCCCGGCGTTGTCGGGCTCCTTCTCCTTTTCCTTTTCAGAAAGCTCTGAGCCTTGTGCAGCAGCGGAAGAAGCAGAGGTGAGGGAGGAGGGCATCGCAGAGGACGTTCTTCGGGGCATGAAGGAATCACGAACCTGACCAAAGTAACTGTGCAGAATACCCGGCAGTCGCTTGTCGGTCGGGTCGGGGCGCGGCGTCATGGCGCCGGGCGGCGTGGAACTGGTCGAGTCGGGGCCTTCGTCTTCGGGGGCCCCTCTGTGCGGTGTTAGCTGGAGGAACGTGTGCGGTGTGAGCGGCAGGAAGGATGACGGCATCGTGGCGGTGTGGCGGGCGGTGTGGCGGGCAGTCGTGGCAGGGCGCAGACGACGGAATGGAGTGCAGGCAGGAGGCAGGAGGCAGGAGGCAGGAGGCAGAAAGGCATTGTGGCCGGGGAAAGCGTGCGAGCGAGTGCTGAGCTAAGCAGCCCTCGCCGCAACCCGCACCAGGAAGAAAGCATCCGCGGCTCGGCTTACCTCTGCATCATGGCCTGGCGCAGCAGATCAGCCGCGCCCGAGGTGGCGCCGGTGGTGTGCGAGGTGGTCATCTTGGGCGACAGCGGGTTGATGGTCGACAGAGTCGGGACGGCGCTGGACGACTTGTTCGAGGTCAGGACGGAGCGTGGGCGGGGTCGAGCAGCCTTGGGCGAGGACTCGGGCGGGCGGGAGACGGGATTCGGCCGGTGGAGGCGTGCATCGACGACGGGGCTCGAGGACGCAATCGTGGCGGGCTCTCGAAGACTGGCTCGAGATGTGCTGGCGGCGAGGGTGCTGGTGGTCGAGGGCTCGGTGGCTGGACACGCAGACGGCGAGGGCGGGCGTGAAGTCATAATAATCAGAACGCACCTGGCTCGCTGCTCCGAACCGCCTTAGCCCGATCAGGCGCCGACTGTCTGTAATGAGAAAACTCTGCTCCAAGGCCTCTATCGGGCCTGCTGGTGCGTCGCGTGGAGCGGTGAACAGCTCTACAATTAATGGGTACTTGAGGGGCGGGCAGGGACAAGTACCGTGGGAGCAGCACACTGTCAAATATAGCACCACCAACAATCCGCGACCGGATCGCCAAACGGCTAAGACGAGTCCTGTGCAGCCGCGAGCTACGGCGCTGAGCTATGTACTGTGTGGGTAATAGTGAGCGCCGCGACGGGCAAGATAGGCAAGTGCAGCGCGGCTCTGTTGGGACGCACCCTCGCCCACACCAGCAGACACCGCCAGACACAGCCAGCGAGAGGCCGCACTGCAATCACTGCTATCACCCTCTCCCTCGCTGACCCGATGATGCTCGTCGTGCTCCGCTTTCACCGCCACTGTCATGGCCGCGTCCGTGCCCGCCGCCAGCCAGCTCGACCGGTCTGCATTTCCTATTCTGTGCCAAGCCCTGTCTCTCCAAGCACGCTGACGTCTGTCCCCACCGCGCGTGGTTGCGCGAGGAGTCGTGATGCATCCCACTCGGCCGGGAGCGATAAGTCCCTGCCTGAGATCTCGCATACGCCGCCCGCTGCCAATCGCTACACGCGACATCTCCACTCCTGCCCTACCAAGTGGGGGACGGCGGCCCTCAGGTTTCGGAACGCTTGTTTGAGAAAAGGACGCAGCGGTCCACAGATGCATGCATCCATGGATGCCATATAGTTATGCATGTAATTGCTGGGTGAGGGCGAGGGGCCGGGGTGCACGACCCGATAGATACGATAGCGACCGCATGGCGACATCAAGGCTATCTAGCCGCAAGCTAGAAGCCAAAACCAAATCCCACCAGAGCCATGCACGTGGACATGGCAGGCGGGCGGCTTCTGTGACCAGCATCGCGTTCTGTGACCAGCATGCCACCGACCTCCATCGGTCCCAGAGACGGCAATCCAGACACCTTGCCTCCACCGTCCCGGGCCCCGGATCTTGGACGTGGACATGGCCGTGGACGTCGTACGCATGATGCTGCGACTGCCTTGTGTGGACGGCATGGGGGAACGTTTTGCCGAGACGCGTTCTTTGTATTCTTAAGTTAGGACAGGCCCCAGGGCGCCAACGCGCAAGCTCAGAGAGCAAACTCCACTCGCGCATCCCCCCGCCATGTCTGATCGCGAGTTTGGCGGCAACGATGACCTGTCGCTGCCGAAAGGTGTGCAGAACTCGCTGGGCGGCAAAACTTGAAAATGGCTGACACTTGCCAGCGACGGTGCAAAAGATTGTCCAGGACATCCTAGCCAGCGAGCCCGGCATGACCTTTGCGAAAGACTCGCGCGACCTGCTCATCGAGTGCTGCGTCGAGTTCATCACGCTCATCTCCTCCGAGGCTAACGAGATCGCCGAGAAGGAAGCCAAGAAGACAATAGCCTGCGAGCACGTCAAGGCGGCACTGGAAGAGCTGGACTTTGGCGACTACGTGCCGGCCGTACTCGAGGTCGCGGCAGACTACAAAAAGCAGCAGCAGGTACGATGCGCCGACATGAGCTTGCATGCGACACCCCACTAACGCGCAGCAGAATCGCGAGAAGAAGCAAACCAAGATCGAGCAGAGCGGCATGACGGAAGAGGAGCTCATCCGCGCCCAAGAAGAGCTGTTCCGCTCAGCGACGGACAAGTTCAACGCCGCGCCGCAATAGCAGGCTTGGGCATGACGACGAGCACGACGGGAGTCTTTCAAGCGGCGTTAAGGTGTTGACCACACGGGTCCCAGGGTCTGAGCAGGCGCATGGAGCATAGCCAGGGCAGGCATTTGGTTTGGCGCATTCAGCGTCCGGGGCATGGCAATTAGGACTATGTCATGGAATCAGCAGAGGCAGTAGCAGCCAACATGCGATCGAGTTTCCTCCTGTTACTCATCTTTTGTGAACGTGCAGCCAAGGCGTGTACCCACGTTGAGTGCCTGGCCAGCCTACCAATGAAACCCAACGGCATGACGTCGGGCCAGCCCCGCCAGCCCAGACATCAGCCGCATCCCACTCGACTGCCTGCTACCACCGCCTATCTCCCGCGCTATCCCCATCCACCCCAACCTGCCCTCCTTCCTGCCACGCGCTCCATATCACACCCTGCACCATGTCCGGCCTCGAAAATGCCCTGTTTAACCTCAAGGTCCGTCTGCCCAGCTCTGCAGGCCATGCACCGTGCTGACGCGCGCAGTTCACAGCCAAGTCGCTCAACCGGCAGGCACTCAAAGCCGGCAAAGAGGAGCAGGCAGAGAAGACGAAGCTGGAGAAGGTGTGCAGACTCTCTCTTTCGCACGTCGCTTTTGCTCACGACGTCCCTTTAGGCAATGAAGCAGGGACACAACGACATTGCCCGCATCTACGCCGGGAACGCCGTCCGCAAACAGAACGAGAAGCTGAACCTCCTACAACTCGCCTCCCGCGTCGATGCCGTCGCTGGCCGCGTTCAGACCGCAGTCACCATGCGACAAATCACAGGCAACATGATGAAGGTCAACCGGAGTCTGGACGTAGCCATGAAGTCTATGAGTCCTGAAAGGGTACGCTCATCAACCCTGCGCCTTCTGAGTAGAGCAAATCCCCAAAGCCTAGTACTGACCGTCCAAACAGATCGCCTCCGTTATGGTCGACTTCGAGAAGCAGTTCGAGAACGTCGATTCCGCAACCGAGATCTACCAGGATATTACCTCTTCCGCGACCGCCGTCGGCACACCACAAGAAGACGTCGACCGTATGATGGCGCAAGCAGCGGACAAAGCTGGCGTGGATTTGCAGGCGGATCTCCAGTCAGCCACCCCAGCGAAGACAAAGGTTGGCCCTACGGAGCAGGAAGAGGAGGCTTTCACGGAGAGGCTACGCGCTCTGAGGAACTGAGCTATGCATAGCGGCGTCGTAATCTCTCCTTCTGGGTCTATGGGCGTTTGGGCGCAAGAGTTGGGCGTTGGTCAGTCGTCATGACAATACAATGGGTGGAATGTGTTTGGAAACATGATTGCAGGTGCCATGCACGAGTGTTTCTGGCTAACAATGATAGTCCTCACGGACTTGCGATCAGTTTCGCTGAGTGTTCCCGTATCAGCTCTTGTACAGTGCATGACTAGCGAAAGCGATACGAAATGGGGTAGTGTATGATCGTGTTATGCACATTGACAAGGAGTCAGAGATGAACCTTGTTCTCGACATGACGAAGAGGAGTCCCGAACGTGTCTATCAGGCTGAGCAGCTCGACCCCACCTGCAGAATCACAGCTGACAAAAGCATTGTGCATTAACGAATAGCTGTCTCTCTCCAATTGAGCTGAACATCGCTCAGCCTTGTCACTTCCATCGCATGTCATCCCCTGACCATGCGACAGAATCCCCAAGCAGGTTGCACACAGCATGGACTCGGGTGTCACGAGCATGCGCAGAACATGACAAGGCTGAGAGAACCGTGACTCATGACCTCACACGATTACCACCTCTCTATTGCCAGGCTTCTTCGATCTCAGTAAGCCAATTCGACGCCTGACCATACACTGCAAACTGCGTTTCTAGTCATGATGAGGAACCAATAGGTACAAGCAGCTCACCGCTTAACCGAACTGCTCCCCAGGGCTGGGCTGAAGATAGGGACCGGCAAATCTACTCAAACGCAAGAAAACGGTTGGCAGCAGTCTGAAATGTAAGCGCATGTGCATGGTGAGGGGAAACAAATGCTTGACATAGACCGTTTACTTACCACCTTCATGCATAAGACGAAGATAAGTATACTTTTAGGCAGAATCCACGGGCTATGGTACGCTTCCGGTTATCTTGCAACCTGAAGAACTATTCCTTTCCTTTTCTGAGTGCAAGTCGTCAATTCACATTGGGAGTATCGCTCCGTGTTTCGGTTGTCAAAATGTTTTGTTATTCTCCGAGTCGCGGCTGCCAGACAAGTATCGGGGCTGATTCTGATATCGGGGGTCCAGGTGTGAGTATATGATTAGAGTGTCGAACATTGCATCGCGATACTTGTTTCTTACTCAGGTCATGGCTGCTTTCGTGGCGACATCTTGGCTGACCATCGTACTCTCTTCCGTGCCGGCATGGAGCTATTCCTGGAACCATTCTGCATCAAAACCATCTCGCTTTACCACGAACAGCTCGTCAACTGCCACTGGAATCTAACGCTCAATTCTTTCTGGGCGTCACGTATTGACTACTTGGACTATGATGCTAAGGATGATCCGCTACGGGTATTTATCAGACGCTTGACTATTCTCATTAGCTATATCCTTGCCGTGGCATGAAAGATTCTCATCTAGCTTAGAGAGCAAGCTCCAGAAGATGGAGGAATGTGGAACGACGACGGCGGGCCTTGGTACCGATACTTGGATGGGACTCAGGAGTGGCCCTGGACCGTCGAAATCATATTATTCTGTGTCGCGCTGGCGTCTGGGTTATCAAAGCGAACGAGTATAATCATCGAAACTTACTCCATGGTGGTAGACTCCCGCACGAGGAAATTGGTGGGTTGGCACAAACAAAGCAGAGTCCGGCTACGACAACCCGCTAAGCGACCTACACGTCCGGGATAGATTAAGTCCTTAGGCGTCATCTGGTCGGCACTTCAAGTTGGTTTCACTGCGTTCTGTGTAGCTCTCTACTAGCTTCTTGTGCAGTGGTTGGCTGTCTGGTCCTATTGCGACGGATCCCCCCCCTGGCGTGGTTTGTGTACTTGGGTTTCGCAGTGTGGAATACGCTGGACGTCTTCTCCATGCTAGATTGGAACAAATCCCTTCTTGGAAACGACGAGAAGACCTGGGGGTTCGGACAAGTTCTTCCTCTTGTCATGCTGCTGTCCGTTGTGTTTGGCGCAGTGGATGTATTTGGAGGTATGTGGCTGCTTTACTTCTTTCCCACAGTTATAGTCTCGTTCGATAGGCTAACACTGGTACTGGATGAGAAGTGAACCAAAGAAGATCACGAACACACAGGTGTTGAGAGCGTGAGCTGAGACGATGATATGTTTCCCGCACGCCTGAGATGTTTTACTCGGCTATGGTACTTCAGAATACGCGTACGGTAAAGACCCTCCACATACGATCAAAGGGCATTCAAAAGAAATTCTCATACCCTACTGGCTGTTCGCCACGGAAGTGTCTTGATGTCCTCTTTGCTGGGGGACCACAGTAGATCTCAGTAAATGTGACGTCATCATATTTGGGTTACAGTGTCTGCTTAACTCCCAGGAACGAGTTCTCTCGTGAATACGGCAACAGCGGCAATATGCAAAGTATTACTAGGGATTGGTCACGATACAACGTCGACAAGAAGAACTGTCCCAGTTGTTGAATAATTACGGCTTTTGCATTAACTACATACAGGGGGAATTATGATGTACCAGTGTATACGAGGCACTTTTTACACGCGACACAACGGACCGTCCGAGGACTGCACGCCGACAATACCGTTATCCTCAATGGCCCAACGCTCACTGCCAACACCGTGGTAGACGTAGAACAGATCAAAAGGATCGTACTCCTGCTTGATCTTCAGAAGTTTGGGGTAGTTCTTGCCCCAGAACGACTGCTGCCAGTCGGGTTCGCCAATATCAGCCTCGTTACCGTATGCTCCACCGGTGGGAGTAATCTCGCGGAGAGGGCGCATGATCGTGGCAGTCATTTTAGCAACGGCAGCCTTCCAGCCAGCAGCCGTCTGGTCAGTGATTGAGTTGATTGCAACAATCTGACTTTGCAGGTTGCGGAAGGCGGGGTTGACAGAGTTCTTGCCCGTGTTGAACTCGTCGGCAGCGTGTTGATGGTACATGTTGAGCAATGCCACGTCCTCGACGGCGGACTGAACAGCAGCAAAGGTCTTGTTGCGAATATCCTCATCCGCCCAGTTCTCTGTAGGGAGCAATCGATTGGCGGGTGTGGCGCCGGCACCGCCGACATAGTAGTTTTGACCACCGAAGGCGTCGTGGTAAGCCGGGTAGACACTTTCGTAATAGGTGTTGTTTACAGTAAGGTTGATGCCAAGCTCCACGCACTTGTCATAGAAAGGCTTCAACAGAGCGTTGGTTTCCTCGATGGTTTTGTTGGTGGAGAAAAAGGGGTTCATGTTCCAGAAATACGTGCCTGGAGCGAGCTTCATAAGCTGGAAGTAAGAGTAGGTCTTGGCCTCGTTGAGTACGGGGAAGCTGTCATAATAGAATCGGAACGCCGCCCAAAACGTCTCGACGGAGATGCCCTGGGATATAATGGACCATGTGGTGACAGTAACGGGGATCTTGGGGTGGACCTTGAGGACGATAGATGTGACGATTCCGAAGGTACCACCGCCACCACCGAGCATGGCCCAGTATAGGTCACTGTTGACGGTTGGAGTAGCAGTGACGAAGCGACCGTTGGCGAGGACGACCTCAAGAGCAAGAGCTTGGTCAGAACCAACACCGAACAGCTGCATCAGCGGGGAGTGACCGCCGCCAGTTGTGTAGCCACCCGTAACGCCGACTGTTGGGCAGATACCAGCGACAGCAGAAACACCATACTTCTCGGCCGCCTGCAACAGCTCGAAACCCTGGACTCCAGCACCAGCCTTGAACACAGGGCCCGAGTAGGTGGAACTCTCGTAGTTCTCAATATATTGGATGTCCTTCAGGCCGTGTGTCCAAACGCTGAGAGCACCCTTTCCGACGGACCTTCCAACGTAGTCATGACCTGTGTTGCGCACAACTAGGCGGAGGTCAAGCGTGCGGGCCAGGTTGACCGCCAGTTGGATCTGGGCTACGTTGCTGATTTTGACAGCGTACTCCGAATAACCACCCTGCGTACAAGTGGTAGAATTTCCCGTTCCTGGAATTGGACAGGTCATGCCGTAGTAAAGAGGGTTCATGAGAGCGCCGTTGTCATCGTAACTGCGCCTGTTAGATAAATTCTTTCTAGCCAATATGGGGATCTTACTAGATCTTCTCAGCATCCCAATTCTCTGTAATGTATGCGCACTTTTCGGCATCGTAGTTTTTGTATTCAGAGTTTGGATAGCAGACGGAGCCAATTGGTACAATCTTCTCGAGGGCGCCGCCGAGCAGCATATCAAAGAGACTCCATACAAGCTTCGAGGGATACAGGGCGTCCCCAGGCATGGTCTTGCAACGAAGTGACCTGCGAGCGTGTCGAGTACGCAGCGTCGAGTTTGCGAATTCAAAAAGCGAAGCATACTGTGCAGTGTCCGGGTTATTCTGAAGCCCAGAAAGGACTTTGTCGGTCAATTGAACAGTCTCGGCCTCAAACAACTGCACATTGGCGGGCGTAGAGTCCGGAGCGACAGTCTCCGCTGCAGGGGCCACAGAAGCTGTGAACGAGGGGCCAGAGCTCTGCGCTGCCGCGAGAGCAGCACAGGCCAAGGAAAGAGTGAACGATTTAGCCAGCATAGTGAACGAGGGTCCGCTGGAGATTAAAGATGGAGGTCAAAACCAACGCAATATAACAAGCCTCTGCCCAGCACTTTCCTGCGGCTCATGAGGGCTTTAAAGAGTGAAGAAGCGCATGAATCGCGTATATGGCGGCAAATCGCTCCCAGACCATCTCATACGACTGATCTTGCGGACGGTAGACGTTTGTGGAGCTTTAAACTGGAGCCGCTGTCAACTCAAACGGGTGCGGTCCGCTCGGCCCCTGCGTTCGATATTTAGATTGCGGGAAATAACGCCAATATGGACGTAGTTTCGCTTACTTGCGTTAAACGACTGGCCCTGGCAAGAACTGTGCCTCAATGCACAGGCTAGCTCCTACATGCCTGCATGCAGAACCAATTTCCTGGCTTGATAACAGGCTACTCTCATGTCATCCTGGGAGCGGCACAGCGGTAGAACGGCAATAAGGTAGGCACCCCTGGAGGGAATAGTAGAGAGCACCCCAAATGCTTTGTTTCACCCAATGGGATGGCGCTAAGTATAACCTACTTCCTGATTAGGTGGAGGGATCCTCATTATCTCCGTTCCCTATCAAGAAACGTTCGTCGCTGCTTCGATTTTTTACAAGTTTAAGTAAGAGACGTACTTACTTTGTGCGATAGAACGGCCGTACATATAGAATCAACCCCTGCCCAAAAAATATGTACTCAGACTTCGAAAATGGGGACTTCATGGGGGTGCCCGATATCTGCCGTGCGGTTGAGCGGGTACGGGAGCTTAATTGGTAACCCGAGCCGAATCCTTCGCACACTGTTGAGCTGCAGCACCAATTGAAGTAGCTGCTTCATTTAGCTTATGCAAACCGACATCACAATGTTAGGTTGGGAAGGCACATAGCCGAGACGGGAGAGAACAGGAAGCTGACCACTTAGAAATGCCTTGATTCCCACCCGTTTGCATGTATGGGGAAGAGATAGGACACTCGTTTCGATCTTGTTCACTTCGCTTTTGCTATTCATTCCTTCCTTTTTTCCCGCTGGCTCAACGTCGCCTCCTAGGCAGATATGGTGAACGCTGGCGGCATGCCGCCGGCTGACATGTCGAACGTAGACCCAGGGCTACAGCCTGTACTAATCGCTTTGTTGTATCTTTTCCCCTTCCTTGCACTGGCTGTGCTCGTTGTTAGGTTCTGGAGGAAGTGGACGGATAAGCTCCTCGGAGGAGGTGGGATTTCTCTTCCCACGCAGAGATGAGTCTGGCGCTCACTTCTACGCAGACGACGCACTGATTGCTCTGGGATGGGTTCTCTGCCTAGGAAACAGTGTCATCACACACTTATGTGAGTCACTTGTTGAGATATTAAGACCATGTAATAACTAGTGAGTTCGTAGTTGTCAAAGCGATGTACACTGGATATCGCAGTAAAGATGTCCCCTACAATGCGATCGACATGGTCTCTGCGATGAAGGCAAGTATGCAGTACCTAAATGTAAACATGTTTCTGACTATATGGTGCAGCTGCAATATGCGCTGAGCGCGACGTACAGCCCCTGTATCAACATCATCAAGGCATCCTTCTTATGGAGTTTGTACAAGCTACGATCCCACAACCCATGGGTGAAGCGCTCCATAATTAGTTTGCAAGTCATCAACACTATACATATGATAGTGGTGACTGTTATTGGAGCAATACCATGTCTACCAGTAGCTAAAAAATGGTACCCAGAACTCCCTGGAGGTTGCTGGGATCCTCTACTCTACGTCAAAAGCAATATATCCATCGTCATTGTCACTGATTTCCTCGTTCTCTGGTAAGTTGTCTTTTCCTCTTGAAAGTCTCTTTGGCACTGAATATTGTCCAGCATCCCCACGTGGATGATATGGGATTTACAAATGCCGCTCAAACGAAAGGTCGTCACCATCGCTTTCCTCTCGTTCGGCATAGTAGTCATCGCAGTCGGAATTGCTCGACTACTTTGGCTTCTCGACGCCTTCACGGGCAAGACGGATAGCTATTCTATCACGTCCGCCTACTCCGCCGTCGAATCCAGCGTCGCCGTACGTAACGTCCATGTCCGAAACGAGAAAGAAATGTACACTGACTCTTCATCTTAGATCATGGGTACGTCAGGGCCTACAATTAAGTACATCCTCTCGCGCTGTATTCCCTGGCTCCGCCCATCCTGGGAACGCGCTGGCAGCAACAAGCCATCCGGTTATGCATACGGCAATCACAGCAACGCTGAGGCTTCGAGGCATCATCGAAACATGCATGGAAACATGACAGAATACGGTGATCTGGACGACGTGAGTGCGCATAACGAGGACTTTGAGATGAAGAACGGTGCCGGCTGGCGGTTCGATTCCGATGCGCATTCCGATGAACAGAGAATTACAGCAGACACCCCGGGCATCATGAAGAGCGTGGAGTGGACAGTGCAGTCTAGGGAAGACCCGCATATCACTCCTGTGGCACCGGTGGATCGAAATACAGCTGGACACCCTGCTGCTTCTCCTACGCATATCGTCTAGGCGGTTGGTGTCGAGCTGATGTGGGGATTCACCGGGTACAATGGGATGACAACAAGCTATGCATATTGACCTTCTGATATGGAAGTCACAAAGTTCTGGCGAGTACGTCCCACGTGCGAGACGGCGTCGCATCAGACTTGTGCGTTGAGAGAGCATCCTCGTGTTTGGGTCCTATGTAAATCGCATTTCACAAGCTGTATTTTGCCAAGTGTCAGTTGCTCACAACCATGGTTTTTCGAATGTGAATCTAGATGATCGACACTTCTTGCGATCTCAACAGTGAAACCAACGGGAAACATCTATAATTAAATCTTGATAAATCATATAATGACTCGACAGCTGAGTTATGAGAGCAAGTATAAAGTGCCGGAAAGAATCCTGCAGAGAACCCCTAACCCAGCCACTTGAGACACCGATTTCAGGGCACTGCTTCGATGTTCCAAGCTTGCTGAGAGTTGTGAACTTGTCTAACGAGGAGGTTATGGTGAGTTCAAAAAGCTTTTACCTGTGAACGATGCATGACTTGTGACAGCCGTAACACGGTTCCCACGCAAGCGCTATGTCAGGTATGTCGGTACGAGTCGAGGATATGGGTGCCGTAGAGTAGTTTACAAGACATTAGTGGCTGTTCAGTCACCTACGTGATTTCATATAAGTGAGCGAGACTCGGGATGAGGCAGAGTTTCCGAGAACGTAAGGGCAATACAAACTCTAGGAACATCTCTTCCCTACATGCACGCTGATGTAGTTACTCCGAATTCTGTGGACAAAGCCTGGATAAATCCTTTGACCACTTCGCACTTACTCACGTCTAGACTTGTGAAAACAGGCGTGTAAATACAGAAAGATCGTTACTTGTCGCAAATAATGGTGGAGCAGGTCAGAAAAGAAACCTTAGCAACCATGTCCACCATAGTATCACAAGAATCGTCGATTGATGCAAAGGCTCTGAGTAAGTTTAGGTGTAATGAGTGACAGGGAAGAAGAGCAATGCCCCCCAAAAACGACAGAAATTGTTATGGCTTTTGGTAATTATCTTGAGATGAAGATAGCTGAAAGTACTGATGGCGTTCATTGCTTTCTACAAAAAGATATGTTCATGAGCTTGGATAATGTCGAGTGTGGGATTTCGACAAAAAAGATGTTCGAGTGGTCCTGGCAAGCCAGGCGCAGCTACATATGATGTCGCTTCAGCGGATCGAACGCTGTACCTCCAGATTTAATGACTGAACTTCAGTCTGGCGCTCTCCCAATTGAGCTAAAGCGACACTGAATGATTGATGGAAGACTTCCAAAATCCATAATCTATATAGTGGGAACATAAGTTTCTGTTGCGCCTCATCTGTGCGATCGGGGTTTGCGTCTCGGTAACTGGGTCACTGGAAGCCTTCCCTGCTGCACGCTAAGCATCATTCAAGGCTAACGCAGACCAAATTCTGCCCTGTCTTGAACATTACCTCAGCCTTCGAAGTACATGCTTGCAATGATTCTGTCAAACTCTGCTCTCTGATAATTGTCGCCTGGTGTTGTAGGGAGGAGGTATTTCGCCTTATATTTCCTCGCATCCTGATTTACCGAGGCCTTACGGCCGAGTCAATGCACGTCTTCTGATTCCGATCAAGCTCCAATTGCTGAGCTCGTGACAACGCGCGACCAAGAACGACACGATCATATTGGACTCCGTCATGCAGCCCTCACCTCTCGCGAACCCGCTTGCCACCGTGGCCCAGCTGGAGATCTCTGGCTCACAACTCGATGGCATTGCACCAGAGCTCGAGGACTCAGTGCGCTTTGCAGGCGCCAGACTGACGCAAGCTGCTGGACTTTTGCTGAGACTCCCGCAAGAAGTTATTGCGCAGGCTATTATTGTTTTCATGAGATTCTGGGTCGGTCCAGACGGCGGTAGCCTCGCGGAATTCGGCGCAGAGGTGAGTTCTACCATTGATGCGGATGTTCTAGATGCGCTGACATCCACAGCAAGCATCAGCAGCGTCCATGTATCTCACGACTAAGCTCTCTGCGTACCCCAAATCGCCGCGAAGTATCGTCAATGTCTATGCCTATCTGAACTCTTTCCCGTCCGCGTTTATCGATCCGGAAGACCTCCAACAGAAGAGAGCGGAGGCCTACTACGTATCCGAAGGTACATACGAGCGACGACGCGCCACACTTTTCGAGACCGAACAACGCATCCTAAAAACGCTCGGTTTCCAAGTCCACGTCAACCTCCCGTATACTCTCTGCATCACGTATCTACAAGCTCTCGACGTATTTACACATCCACGCGCATCTGAGCTCGCCAAACGTGCCATCACACACCTGAACACTGCGCTGTTGAGCCCTCAACTGCTATACCTTACGCATCAGCCACCAAGCTTAGCGACAGCGGCTATATATCTGGCGGCGAGAGAGGTGGGCATCAAACTGCCCGAGGTTGAGTGGTGGGAGGTCTTCGATGTTGATAGAGAGGAGCTGGGTTTCTTGTGTGTTGGGATGTTAAGCACAGAGGGCTATGCGCTGCAAGAGAAGGAGAGGTGGGATGATCGAAGAGTGCCCATGACCGTTCCGGAACTGGAGACTGAGATGAAGAGGAGGACCGAGAATGGTAGCGAGTAAGGATCCGGCGACTACTACGTGGACTATAAGAGTTCTCGGAGATGCCCGAATCGTCCCTCCACTCTCCCCGATTCCCACATCGACCGCCATCCCAAAAAAGGTTGCCCTCTTTCAGCAGTCTACGAGGTATTCCAGAACATCCAATGCTCCGCCGAAACAAGGGGTCGGGCGTTCTCAAAAGTTCTATGGGAATTATCATCGCTTTGTCCACCACAAATACACATGCTTGTTCAAACATTGTGCTGCGTCTAAGAACTTCGGCCTGGTCCGCTTCCAATGCTATCAAAATCTTGCATTACCATATCAACAAGCCATCAAGATCTCGTTCGCCGTTGGGTTGTCCCTCAGAGCCGTCACATCAATCAGAGCACAACATGAGCAGCACAGAGCAAAGTTCTGCGCGTGATCGAGATGGGCATCTTGATGTTCCTATCGACCAACTTGTACCCGCGCTTGTACGATTGGAGGTGATTGCTACATCTCTTGACCCAGGATAGTGGAACTGAACTTCATCAGAGTCATACCAGAGGGACTTCTGCCGAATCTTCTTGCAAAAACCGTCAGCATCGAACATCCTTTACTGGCCATGCTCATCAAGGTCATTCGGCGCAGCAGTCAGCTTGTGGAACGCCTTTTCCACAGTATCTCAATCACAAGCCGTCTGATCGCGACCTCCTCACTTCTCAACGCGAGATTGTACTGTCGACCGAATCCTCATATTTGAAGCGAACAGGCGCTATCAAACATACTAATTCATGTCTACCTAGGTAGCGACGTGTTAATACCAAAACTGTACTACTACTGTGTCTATTCTAGCCTGAAGTGACCTCATCCGTACAAGATTACAAAGTGCTGATATGGGCTGAAAACAGGGTGATTTTGGTGCCAAGGTGGGGTCTTGGCCGCTCACCCGTGACTTCTGCCTTCTTACTATGTTTTCGTGCACTCTTAACCCTTAACCTTCAATAACGATCACACCAGACGCAACTCAAAAGAACCTACTATGGGACTACATAACGATGAAAAGAAAGCATGTAAGGAGTTTTTGAACAATTTTACCACCGGCCCCGACCCAACATGGGGCTTCTACGTTTACGCCACCTACACGCGCCCACAAGAGCAAGTTGATTCTAATCAAAACAGCTCCTCGGACAAAACAGCGGGTATGTTTCTACTCTACAGTATTACGAGAGTGACTAATGCGCTGTATAAGTGGTTGACGACAACACCTATTTCCAAAACCTACTAGACAAATTCCACGACCTCGCAACCGAAAACCTGCGCGACTCTTACCCCGTATCTTACAATCAACGCATAATAGACGCCCTACGTCTTGTCCCTGCAGCTATTATGCCCAACGCGTCGCTCTCTAAGGTATGCACTCATTTCCGCACACACTATGCTCGGATACTCGATTCCGAGAGACTGTATGAGCCTGGTTACCAGGACGCATACAACGAAGAAGGACTGTTTGGTCCAAAATATGAATGGTGTATGGTCATCGATGACGAGGCATTAGAGAGCTTTGATGCAGATGACGATGACGACACATTTGCTAAGCTGCTGTCTGGGGATTATATGGAGATGAAGAAGCCGGTGGCGCTCACTGCGAAATATAGGGATGGCACGGGGGGGACACAATGGAATGGATGGTTCAAGTTCTCCGCCGGTATGCTCAAGGACGTGTTTGAAGTGGTGAATGAGGGAGAAATTGAGGCGTATTTTCGTGGGGAAGATGAACTTATTGATATTTGACGTATCAATTGTTGGTTGGTTTTAGTCACAAGACTCATTTGCAAGTTTATAGAGCGAACGCGGGCACCGTTCACTAGGACGTGAGGCTACTATATGCTACTCTAGTGGCATTCCTCTGTTGTCGTCTAAAAACAAACTTCCAGAAATGCCCTTGTAAACCTTCCCATCAAAGCAAACATCCACTCTTACCCACCTCCCAGGATATCGTCACGCTGTCAAAGAAAAGGATTCACCCTCGGATCCTCCGGCGCAACCTCCTCCTCAAGCCCCTGTCCCAACCCCCAGTGTCCTTCAAACCGCCAGTCAGGCGTCAAAACAGCATTCGGATCCAGCATCTTCACATTCCCACCCCAGTCCTCCGCCTTACACTCATTCCGACTCATAGCGCTCCGCCTCAGCTTCTCCGCCGTCTCCTCCCACTCGCGCACCTTCGCCGCCTTGGGCACACCCGCACACCGATCCATGTCCTCCACTAGCTTGGAGTAAGTCTCGACGTCAGCATATACAACAGTGGCCCATGCGGGTACTGCTAGATACTCTCTACTGGTTGGCCGGAGGAGAGCACATGTGGGTCCGCAGGCCCCTGGTGTGTTGTGCGGACTGCATGAGGCGCAGTGACGGCCACCTTTTTGGCCCAGGAGGATGAGCGTCTCGCGGATGGAGGAGGATGTTTTTATCTCGGCGAGGATGGTGCGGATGTTGGCGATACGGGCTGTGAGCTGGGGGTTGGGAGGTCGGTGGAATGGGTTGGTCATGTTGGGTGGTTGTGCCACGTCAGTGTGCTGGTTGTTGTTGTGTGCGTTGTTTTGGGTGTTGGTAGCGTGGCATCGTAGGGAAGAACAAGGGGGTATAGGTTAGCGGAGAGAGGGGGTGAAGTGTGAATGTGGTTGTGAAGCTTTATCCATGTTGAATATTGGTAAGGCATTGTGAGTGCGAAATTTTGATCAAGGAGATATTACCACGATCAGCACTTCACTTGACTAAGTTTCTTGTGCTGAGATACAGAAATTCATCCTCGAAGAACAAGCGATCGTTGGCCTAGGATATTACTTAGCAGACCGGTTCAGCAGAGAGATACGATCGATTCTTCTTCTCTACAATACGAGAGCCTCGTCTATTTGGATCTACCTGTTAGCTTGTCTTAACTTTAATGTTTCGCTCTGCTCGATGGAATCTACCAGGAATCCATCGATTCTTCCTTTCAAGTGGATCACCTACTCTATCGTTCATTTCTAAACGTTCCCATTCCTAACGAACAATCGCACCTCTAATCAAGACCGCGGTGCAGTCTCCAAGCACCGCCCCAAACAAGTCCAGTCAGCAAGCACTCCCACCCCATCTACATCTTGCTCATCCGCCTCATCCTCCTCCCCACCATCTCCCGCCTCACAAAAACTCGCATCCAACACCACCCCCTCACGAATCAGCACAACCATCGAATCCGCCTGCCTCACAAGATCCTTCAACTCCCTATCCGCACGCTCATCCTGGCCACCATACAGCTCGATAAGGGCAAAGATCTGCGCTGAGAGATCGTGTTGCGCGACGAGTCCGTTACTGAATCTCGGCAGACCGCGAAGCATGGGGTTGACTTCTAGCCGGTCGAACTCGTCCTGCGAGTCTGTGACGTGCAGTTTCAGGTTGCGGATGTCGTGTAGGAAGTGGCTGCAGCCGGAGGTGTTGATGGGGTATGGGGTAGCGTGGGAACCGGCGGAGTATGTGGGGCTGGTGCGGCGGTAGGTGCAGGCTGGGCGGCTGCGGTGGAAGTTTGTGTCAGGGGTGAAGGAGACGTGTTTTCTGCTCGAGAACGGTGTTGGCTCTATGGCGGGTGCTGGGTGGCTGGTGATGGATGCTGGGTATCTGTGCTCTGTGATGGCTAGTTGGACTGCTTTCCTCGCAGAGTTGACGTCCTGTATCGCGTCAGCTTCGAGGGGGTTCTGCGCCTCCCATGCCGTTTCATGATCGACTGCTGCTTCGAGTTTGGTCACTGTTATCTCGAGTTGGAGACGCGCCATGTGCCACCCTTGACGTAGAGTGAAATAGGACACGGGTCTTCTGTCGCCGAGTCGAGCAGGCCATGGCCCCCCTTCTTTCTGGAAAGCTTTTGCGATGACATCGAGAAACTCAAGACAGATGCGCACATCACAGACTGGGCAGTAGCCTCCTATCATTGCGTCGGATGGATGTAAGGTATGGCCGCATTGGGCAGCGATATGGGCGCCTGCAATGCCCTCCATAAGGGGTTGTTGGTCGCGATGGCGTACGAAGCGGTGGTAGTCGAGACCATAGCGAATGGAGCCTATTTTCGCGTTTGGTGTGAAGGTTCGTTGCCAATCTTTGAATGCGGACCAATCTTTAACGTCTAGGATGAGACGAACGGGGATGGATAGGGCAACTGACATGGCCGAAATCGTTGTGAGATGGTTGAAGAAATCGTAAGATATCAAAATGGAAGGTTGTTAGGAACTATAAGAACGGGATGAACTGTGGTATCATATGCATCAACGTCTGTTTTTGTGAATACAACTCACAATGTGTGGGTGAATTGATGGGGCCTGTTCACTACACTTAGCAGTATACCTGAAATTCTTGCTCCATTTCGTCATGTTATACTGCAGCGCATAGCATTGTAAACCGTTGCACTGTTGCAGCACAAATCGATGTGTCGGACTTCTTTTCGAAATCCATCTAAAGTACAAGTATCCATTTGACTTTACTAATATTATTCTGAAGATTGAAACAGATTCTGTATGTCGGTTAAGATGCGTGGAGAATGAATTCTCAGTTTTCTTGTCGATAACAGTGAATGGTTTAAATATACTATAATGTCAATTTACATAAAAAGGCCGAACTTACTTGATGGTGTATACCACATCAATAAACTCTTGTCAAAAGTCTCAACGATAACCATGTCCATCCAGCAGCCTCTGCAACGGGTGGTCGAACATGGCCTGGGGCCTAGGTGCAGATCCGACGACGTCTCGACCTTCGCTGGCAATCCTCAACTTGGTAAGGTGCGGCGTCGCATCACTCGGACGGCTGAAAGGCTCAGTGAGTCGATCCCACTCGACATCATCCGCAGTACCCTCAAGATACAACTCTTGCAGTGACTCTGGAAGGATCGATCGGATATCGAAAGCCGGTTCGTCATCGCTGGTATGAAAGCCTTGATCTAGTGAGTCTTCTAATTCCATATCTTCTTCTGGCCATATCATTCTCCACTCGCACTTCAGGATCGCTAGTTTCTTGAAAGGGCGGAGGGATACGCGTTCCAGATCCATCTCGTCGAGCTAGCAGTTTTGTGTCAGTGAGTGTCTATGCCGATGGAAAACAATTGCCATACATCATCCAGCAAAGACTCATGTTCAAGGACAAGACGCTCCAACGAATGACCTGCATGAGTTGCCAAAGCTTGAATCACGTTCTTGGGCTCGTAAAAGTATCCTTCGGCAACGATTGAACCCCCACCATAATAGAAGAACTTTCTGAGCGCCTTGATGCCCGCGATGATCCCTCCAAGAGTACCTGAATCAAATTGGCAGCGTTCCAGGAAAACTTCAGTCACGTTCGACATGGGCGCCATGCCACGGCTGCGAAGTGACACGAAGTCCCCGAGGTCGTAGCTGCCGCCCATGCCGTTGGCAACGAATGTTCGCAACGAGGGGAGACGGAGAAATTCGTACATCCATCGGGCGTCGCAGCACCCCTCTGTATCATTGGAAGAAACTGCGGCAATTTCTAACCGTGGGAGAAGGGGGAGGTGCGGCGTTTCTTTAAAACCTGCTTGTCCTGCAGCCAGCTTCCAGATGAGGAGCTCTAGACAGCGATGCTCAAACTCACTCCCCGTAAGCCGCAGAGTCTTAAGATTTGGCAAGTGATGAATCAAAACCGTCAGGAGGGCGTCGAACTGACCGCGAGCAAGTTCTCTTTCTAGGATAGCAACTCGATCTTGGTTTTCGTCTTCTATTTGTTCTTTTTCGAGACGGGGGTTTCTTAGTCGTCGTACTGCTGCCTGGAGTGTATCTTGGTCTTCTTCAGATAGATCAATATAGCGCTCATCAGCTCCGTCTGTGTTCGGCTGCCATATATATAGAGGTAGATCGATTTCTGTCGTGTACCAGCCCCCACGATGATGTCGCAAGATCTCTACAACAGCTTTCCATGTAACTGTCTGGGGCTGAGATGTACCGATTACGCGCCATTTCGCGTACAAACGCACATGCTCTTTGAGAATAGGCTGGCATAGCTGCCATGCAGTCTTACATGTAATGGCGAAATTAAAGCTTGCTGCAGGATCCAAGTACCCAGCGACCTCAAGCTTGAGCTCCGGAGGAAGACTAGACAAAGCCATTGTAGGAAAGTTGTTCGTGGAACAAGTGACGCCTGGAGCAATGTAAGCCGCCGGCGTTAGCGCCGAAACGCGTCTTGGCATCATGGTCTTGAATTTACCGAAGATCGAAACAGCCTCAACACGACAACCACCCGCAAATGCACCTCCCCGCACCGCCCACAATGAACCTCTCAGCCTTCCGCCCCGCCTTCCGTCCGCTAAACCAATCCGTCTTCCGCAACCCATGTCTTTTCCAAAGAACAGCCCAACCGCAACAACACCGAACCCCATCAACAACATCCGCCTTCTCATCGACATCCCGCCTGGAAAAGCGCAGTAAAGGCGGCAGCAAAAACGACCCGCGAATCAGTACGTCCTGCCCCGCACCCTAGCAGCGAGCACATCTAGCTCCAGCACCCCACTCTCCCACCAACTAACACCCCCCCGCAGCATCAATCCGCTACCACCTCTCGCACCCCCTCACCCCGCGACCCCTCCTCTTCTCCCGCAACCGCCACCTCCGCCACTGGACCATCCACCGCGCATGGCTCCTCTTCCTGCGCAAGCGCCGCTGGGCCGAGGAGCGCGACCTCGAGCGCCAGTACATGAGCATGCGCGACGCGTGCGAGCACCTGCGGCTGCTGGACAGCCAGGGGAACCGGGTAGGGGAGATGGAGGCCGGTGGGCAGGGGCCCGATGCGGGGCGCTTGGGCGTGAGGGGAAAGGATGTGGGCAGGTTGTATCGCAGTGCTATGCTCAAGAGGGGGGTGTGGGGGAGCGTGCCCGTCGAGTATGCGAGGATGCAGACGGATTTTCCGGGGCGGGAGGGCTGGAATCATGGGTGGACTAGGAATTGAGGGGTGGTGGGTCGTGGGATGTAGGATATGTGGGTTAGAGCAGAGAGTGGAGATGCAAAAGCCTATGTGTAGCGTCTGTATCATACATGTTGAACAAATCACGGCATAACTTACGTACAAGGGAATACACGAAGATGTGGTCGATACACTACCGGTGCCCAAAGGGTATTTGTTTCGGAGTCTGGACGAGCCGCCAGTATCGTCAGCCTTACATGTCTGGACGAGCCGCCGATATCGTTAGCCTTACATGTCTAGTCTTAAGCTGCTTCCTACAACAAAGTCTTAATAATCCTAGGTAGGATCCTATATTTTAGCTGTGTCTATATTTGAAGTTTTTGCGTACTCAATCATCTATCATACCAAACTCAAGCTAATCCAACATGCTGACTTTTTCAGCTACGCCGGCTTTCTTTGCGGTATCTTCTCTCCTCAGTCAATCTCCACGACCAGAAGGAACTGCCAGCGCCTAGACACTTGTGAAGTAGCGCCCTACTTATGCAACCAATACAAGACGTCTTCGTACTCGACATCAGAGTGGTCATCAAATACTTCAATTCGTACTTTTCGGTTCACGTTCAATTTCCGCTCAATCCAACATACAGCCGGTGCTAATAGTCCTCTTAACTATTTTCCAGTATCCCACAAAGGAACACTGACTGGTATTTAGAACACCTGTTATGACATTAGAGTGAACTCTTATATTGACAGTTCCAGAACCACTCAGTCTCTAACGGCCTCAAAGCGAAGTGCAACGTTTGCTGATGAAGGGAGCTGCATAAAAGCCGGCACACACACACGTCTTGTATCAACTTTAAACTGGTTCAGGCTAGATATACGTACGAACTGTTACCCTATACACAGACAACAGTTCAATGGTACGCTTGTTCTTCGTTATCGGCTTGGAATCCTGGAGCCGAATGTAACCCAGGGTATCGACACGGAAGAGTGGGTTCAATTGAGCAAGAATATGGCCATCTGCGAGTTCGAAGTCCATGTGAATGAGCGACTTTGCGGGATTATCGCACCCGGGGCAGGTGCCAAAGCTGCAGGAAAACACCAAATCGGTACCAGCAAAGTACCCAGTGTAGTGCACACTAGGGCACCGCTTTGCGGCCCGGCCGTCTGTCGGCTCACAAGAGGACAGCTTCTTTGGCAGCTGCCAAGTCGTGTACAGTGCCATTTGGGTATCTTTTAAAGACTTGCCCTTGTCGTTTTGCAGGATTACCCACAACGTTGAATGTTCGCGTTTGGTTCCCCGATTCCATTGTTTTTGCTGCCGATCCGTTCTGGCCTCAAATACTGGGATAGACAATGAGTCTGTGGGGACTCGCGACCCGTTATAGAGTGAAAGCTTTTGCATTTGGTTGCTCTGTGCCGGTGCAGCAGTGTCAGCCTTAGTCCATATACCATCGTAAAGGGCACCGCTCTTGTTGATGAGGCCAGAATGTTCGATTTGCTCCAGCTTTAGGTCCAAATCCAGTTGCGTGGAATCTGCGCGGGTTCTCAAACAAGTGCTGAGAATGTCCAGCGACTCGACCACTTGAGCAATCTCACCAGTGGGTTCTGGGGGCCTCATGTCGAAGGTTAAGATCTTGGCACCAAATATACCGGCCAAGCTCTGGACCTCAAGCTGAATTTGCATGATGTATGCCTCTTGTATCTTTGTGGATGGTAATTCAGAGGCTGGCTCTTTTCCCTTGTTTGGTGAGCCTGGCTGTGCGGTCGTGTCTACCTTGTGGGCAGACTCTAACCATGCGTGAAAGGCCGACACTAAGTCTGCGATACGTTGCATGGCTACTGAAAGCGCTGCCGTGTCAAGGTTCCCCGGCTGCAACAGGGGTTCGATGCGAGAAGCTGGCGCAGCTCCGGCAGGGTGGTCCACAGAAGAACTTGAAGCAGCACCGATGTTGTGCTTGGCCGGCGCGTGCGCTTTCGTAGCATGGGGGGTCGTGGCATCCTGTACGGTGGAAGTAGAAGACTCAGTGGTCTCGTCGATGCTGCTCTTTTTGCGCCTGCCGGCCGCTGTGACGTTGGAGGGTTGGGAGGGTTTGGGGGCATTCTGTTCCTGGTGAATGGTTAGCCTGCCGGCCGACGAGTGTATCGCTACGAGTTGATAAACAAATCTTACCCTGTCTCTTGGTCTTGTCTTTGCTGGTGGGTGGAGGAAGGATATTGTTGCCAGATGGGAGGCAAGATTATATATAGCCTGTCGGGTTCGTAGCTGACGATCCATCTCTCACCTTGAGGCGGTCAACTTTTCAAGTAAAGGTGCGGCTTGAGATGATGGCGAAGGCTGCTTCGCCTCTATGCTGTAGAAGATGAGCGCGAGCCCGTCTCACCGGCTCGGCGAAAGTGCCCTTACTTCGCAGATTACATCTCTTAAAAAACATCTAACTTAGAGTTTATAGTGCGTTTATTGCGTTACATTTAGCAGCACTAGCTACACTAATTAGAAGGATCTTAGAATTACATATTCTAGACTTAGGTATAGTGCTAGAAAAGGTAGAATGGCGAGAATATCCTTCCTTACAAGCGCAACTGTTGCACTCAAACCTAACAACACACAGAGAAATTGCCGCTTTTCACTGTTCAGCTCCTCCACATGCTTCAAAAAGGTGATGTATAGTTGTATTAGCGCTCAACGCTCCTTTGTTATGCAGAAGCTTCCAACCTATATATGCCACACGCACGAGCCCAATATATCCACCACCAGAACCAGTCTCCAAAAAAGTCCCCCGCCAACTAGAGAGAACTTTTTTACCAAGAATGAAAAGCGACAAGGGGGACAAGAACGAAAAGGTGACGAAACAAGGGGGGGAAGCGCTCAGAAACGCCCGTTGGAAAAACAATGACGAAGCAATAATGGCGATTCGATAATACAACGCCGCCCAATGCAAATCAATGACCGAGAACCAGAATCAGAAAACTGTCTATCGTGTACGTCCAATGCCGGGACTCATAGGATAACGCAGCAGCCGCCTCCCTCCTTCTTATCCACCGACAGGAGCGCAGCGCGCGTCGCGGCCTCGAAAACGTCGTCGACACCATCGCCTGTCAGTGAACTACACTCGAGGTATTTCCGCGCGCCAATCATCTCCTTCATATCGCTCCCTTGCTTAGTAGTCGTGAAGCGAAGGGACTTTTTGCGCATTTCCTCCTGGGCGAGGGGATCTTCACGAAGATCCTTCTTCAAGCCGACCAAAATGATGGGAACGCCTGGACAGCGTTCCCGCGCCTCTTCAGCCCACTTGTGCTTGACGTTTTCTAACGAGTCGGGGGAGTCGACGGAGAAGCCGACGAGGATGACGTGCGCTTTGCTGTAGGCGAGTGGGCGTAGGCGCTCGTAATCTTCTTGTCCGGCTGTATCCCACAATGCTAGCTGCACCGACTTGCCGTCCACTCTGCAGTCTGTAACGTAGTTTTCAAAGACGGTAGGGACGTAACGCTGCATGGTTTGTTAGCATGGTACCTTGGGGGCCGTGCGGAGGCGCAGCTGGAGGGCGTTTACCGTGGGGAAATAGCCTAGCGTGAACACGCTGAGTAAACTAGTCTTACCACAAGCTCCGTCGCCGATGATTACGAGTTTTCTGGTGATGTTAGGTCAGCATGTTGTTCGAAGTGGGTTCCAAAGATGACATGGATAAGAATGTGAATATGGCTAGCGAGTGTTGGTAGACTCGGAGTGGCCGATCCAAGAAAAGAAACGTTCAAAATGAAGTCGACAAACAGTGACATGGGTGGCATGTAGGGTGGTCTATTTTTAGACAAGGTATGTTCGGACCGCGCACCAATGCAAGGATGCAGCGCAGATCCGAGCTATCCATGCATACGTTCGTAAAACCACCAGGAGAGGTTTGTCGAAAGGTGACAGACGTGGAAAGGTGTAGGAGACGAGCGCTGCAGAGACTGACATGTGCTGCCAAGGACAAGCACGCATGTTGGGAAAACGAAACATGTGATTGCAGGTGTAGGAGCTCGATGACAAGACTGAAACGAGTGACATATGACTGAAATGATGCATACCTTCGCATGACAGGCTCGCCATTTTGCTGTTGCTGGGCCATTGTGGAGGTGCGATGGATAGGCGATAAGGATTAAGCTGGGGTGCAGTCGATTGCGTACTTTATAGGCGTTTCGCGGAGAACGAGGCTCGGGCTGTCGGATGACACGGTGGCGTGAGGGCACTTGCGGGGCGCGAACACGTAGGGAGTCTCCCCGGGTGCAATTGCAGCAGGCGGTCGCGAGGCTGGCGTGCGGGCGGGCTGCGGGCTGGCGGGTCGGCGATGTCGTGCACGGGGAAGAGCGTCGCGCGGACAGGAGATCCCACGACGAGCAGGGCGACCGACGGCGGGTGAGTGGGCCGGGGTGAGGCGCGCGGCGTGAGGCTGTGTGGAGGGCGGGTAGCGATAGGAGGGGAGGGGTGAGCTGGGCTGGGGGAGCGTCGGTGCAGGTCGCAGTGCACGGCAGGCGAGTAGCGGCTTTATAGCGATGGGCGAGGCCGAGGACACGACGGACGCATGCACGAGCTGGGGCGCGAGCTGGGACGGTGGGCGCAGACGGCGAGTCGGAGCCAGAGACGGGCGGGCGAGGCGTTGGGGAGGGAGGGAAAGGAAAGGTGAGTGCCAGACGCTCCAGCTGCGCCTTCCTTCTGGAATACCAGCGCCAAGCGGCTAACGCCTACGCAACGCAACTTCCGCCGCCGACCGCGCTGCAACCACCGCAGACCGCGCTACAGCCTGCCGTCGACGGAGCCCGCGACCCTCACGTGCCCGCTCTCTCACGCCCTGCTGCCCACGAACCTCCCCGTCACGGCGCTGCTCTGCCCCCCGCCGCTGCAGTGCGTCCCCCCGGCCCCTCCAGTCACGCCCTGCCTGCCTCTGCCCTCGCTCTGCAGCGTCCCCGGCGGCCACGCACTAGCTCCCCCCTCACTGCCGCGAACTGCTCTGACGAGTGCCCCCAGCACCACCGCGTCCCCCCGCGACCCCATGGCCCACGCCCCAAAAGGCCCCGCGCCGGCGACGATGCCCGCCCACGGCGCTGCAGACGCTCCCGGCGCCGTGAATCGCAAGAAGCAGAAGCGGCGCGAGAAGGAGGCGGCCAAGAAGGCGGCCCAGGAGCCCCCCGCGACGCCCACGGCGGCGACCAACGGCGTGCACCGCGGCCCCGCCCACAGTCGGCCGCCGCCCGCGCAGTACGCCGACGCGGAGCTGGACGAGCAGTACGACGACGAGGGCGACTTCTACTCGGACGACGAGGCCGAGCACTACGAGCACGCATACGGCACCAACGGCCACTACCCGCAGGGCTACGGCCACGCGCCAATGGCCAGCGCCAGCGGCAAGAAGCCCCGCAAGAAGAAGAAGAGCCCGGCCGCGCCCCCGCCGCTCGCCTACGCACACCACCCGCACGTCTCGCCGCGCCACGGGCCCTCGCCCGCCCACCACCTGGTCAAGCACGGCGCCAAGAAGGACCGCATATGGAACACGTCGACGCAGGAGGAGCGCGAGCGCATCCGCGAGTTCTGGCTGTCGCTCGGCGAGGACGAGCGCAAGTCGCTGGTCAAGATCGAGAAGGAGGCGGTCCTGCGCAAGATGAAGGAGCAGCAGAAGCACTCGTGCAGCTGCTCCGTGTGCGGCCGCAAGCGCACCGCCATCGAGGAGGAGCTGGAGGTCCTGTACGATGCATACTATGAAGAACTCGAGCAGTACGCGCACCACCAGCAAGACGTCGCCGCTTTCCTGCCTGATGCTAATTACCGTCGTGCGTCCAGTGCCCCCCATCCGCGCCCCCTCATGACCACACACCCCCCGCCTGGCCACTACGACGACGACGACGAAGACGACGACGACTACTCGGGCGACGAGGAGGACGAGGACTACTCCAACAGCGAGATCTCGTCCGACGGCGAGTACAGCTCCGAGGAGCGCAGCTTGCCCCCACCCGAGGCCTCTGACTTTCTGCAGTTTGGCAGCAGTCTGCAAGTAAAAGGTATTGAACAGCGTCCGAGTGCCGAGCAGGGAGATGCTGATCCAATGCCCTAGGTGGTATTCTGACAGTAGCTGATGATCTGCTGAAAAACGACGGGAAAAAGTTCATCGAGATGATGGAGCAGCTGGCCGAGCGCAGAATGCAGAGGGAAGAGGAGGCTCAGTACCAGGGCCACCCCACCAGCATGTATCCGCCCCACACCGCACACCGCCACGCTCCCCCGCCGCCCGAGGAGGACGAGTTCGACGACGAGGGGGACGAAGAGGAGGGCTACGAGGACGACGACTACGAGGAGGAAGACGAGGATGAGGATGTGCGTATTGCCCGCCGGGGTGCGTGTATGTGGCTAATGGGAGGCAGGACACCATGACCGAGGAGCAGAGGATGGAGGAGGGGCGGCGAATGTTCCAGATATTTGCCGCACGAATGTTCGAACAGCGAGTACTGCAGGCGTATCGAGAAAAAGTAGCTGCAGAGCGCCAACAGAGGCTGCTCGAGGAACTGGCAGAGGAGGATGAGCGTAAAGACCTGAAAGAGGCAAAGAAGGCCAAGGAAGCCCAGAAGCGCAAAGAGAAGAAGGACAAGCAGAAGCAAGCAAAGGCGGAAGAAAAAGCGCGCAAGGATGCTGAAATAGCCGCGAAGGAAGCAGAAGCAAAGGCTGCGGAGGACAAGCGGTTGGAAGAACAGCGCAAGAAGCGGGAGGAGCAGCGGAAGAAAAAGGAGGTGGAACGGAAGGCCCAAGAAGAGGAGAAGCAGCGAAAAGAAGCCGAGCGTCTGAAGCGTCAGCAAGAAGAGCGTGAACGACAGCAGGAGACGGAGAGGAAAGCGCGCGAGCAGAAGGCACAGGAGAAGAAAACCAAAGACGAAGCCAAGCGGAAAGAGCGCGAAGAGCGGGAGGCCAGAGAAAACGACGCTCGCGACAAGAAAGCACAGGAGGACAAGGAGCGCAAAGAACGCGAGGCAGAAGCAAAAACGAGAAAAGATCGCGTTCGAAAGGAGGAACAGGCGCCTGCTGCTGCATCCCAAAACGCTGTCACCGGTGCGAGAAAAGTGTCACAACCGGTTGCTGTCGCATTGCCACCTCAGCTGCTGAAGCAGAACTCGTCTACAGGAATGCCATCACCTCACGTAACGCCAGCCGTCCCCAAAGCGCCTACACCAAATCGACCTCGACAGACTTCGCAGCAAGGCTCGCACGGCTCCTCACCAAAGACGCCTCAGGTCGCGCCTGGTACAAGCAACTCGATATCTCCTACGTCGCACGCTCGGAACACAATGATGCCCAAGTCTATCCTGACGAAGCCATCTGCCACACAACACTCTACTCCTACCCACCATGGCCTTCCGACAACACCTATGCCTCCAATGGGACTGCCCCCGGGCATGCAAGGACCTCCAGGACTCGGTATGGGTAACATGCCACCCGGACTCAACGGCTTCCCAGGCCACGGCTCGATGATGCCTGGCATGATGGGCCCTCGTCCTGGCATGCCCTTGTTTTCCCCGCAGCCTGGCTCGCAGAACTTCCGTCCGTTCCCACCACCGGGCATGCACACACCTGGGTCGCTGCCAATGGGGCGTGGATTTCCAATGGATGCCCCTCCTGGATTCAGTCCTATGCCAGGATTCCCCAGTCCTATGTCTGCCTTCAATGGTCTTGGTATGTCGCCACACTCGCGACAAGGCTCCGGGTCCTTTGACAGACTGCCAAACGTTGATAGTCCAATTGCCGCTCCTCAAGCCCAACCCATCCAACGACCAGCGCCAATCAAGCGTCCATCAAGTGTGAAGCCTCACGAGCAGGGATCCGATATCGATGACCTTGCAGATCACCTTGGTAGCAAGGCTCTGCTCGACGATGACGAAGACGATGTTCCCGAGATACCAGACCGCCGATTGAGTATACAGCAGCACGGCTCTCTTAGAGGACCACCTTTGGGTTTCGGATTCCCAGACGCACTTGGCCAACCTAGGTCAGATTCATACGGTTCGTTTGGCAACCCCCATGCTGGAAGCCTTTGGGGTACACCGCCATCACAGTTCGCTCTGTCTGGTGCTGGTTGGGGTAATTCGCCCACATCGGGCATCTTCAACAGTCCGTTCTCCATGGGCAATGTTCGAGGCAATGAGCGTGGTCCCAACGAGCAACGTATAGTGTGGTTGCGTCGTATGGTATGCTCGGCGTGCAAGACAATAGCTGCCCGTCATCCAACGCAAGATGGCTACATCGATGCCGCCGAAGTGCACCACCAAATCGACACGATGCGGAACCCCGTCGAGTCAGGCGTGTCATCAGAAGAGATCAAAGAGGCGTGCGACATCATCGACGGTACCCACACCAACGGCGGAGGCTCCCTCGAATACAAGGAAGTCGCCCCCGGCCGCCTCTCACACATCAAGTTTGTCGACAACGCAGCTCCCCCGCCCGCGCTCGGCGAGATTGGTAGTCCCATCCCCGGCCATAGCGTTCTGGTTGGTGGTTTTGGTGGAAGGTTTCCCGGCTTGGGTCCTCAGGGCTTCTAGGCATCTCCTTCTTCTTTTTTCTTCTATACTCTTCTACATTGCATCACTTGAACTCGACTTGACTTGAATCCCCCCGATATTACCCAATTTCTTCTCAACCCAGCATTTTGATAGCAGTATCTGGTAGCTGTAGCTGTAGCTTGTACTTGCATGGGACCATGGGGTCTTTTCTCCCCGACACTTCTGCTCAGATGGTCGTTTCTATGGTTTTTTCCTCAATGGATCAAGACTTGCTCACGTCCTTTTTTGAATTGTGTTTTACTGGTGCTGTGCTTGAGGTCCTCCATAATGTGATGTGGTCTTACTAATGCATTTGCATATTTTGTTTGTGCTGAATAACATTCAGCTCGTAATCAAAATTGGTCACTTCCACCTGGCTAGCTGCTGTCTCATGACCCCGCAATTGCGAGTCTGAGTGAAGCATAACTGTAAAAGGAGGTTATCCACCTCCTCTATTTAGTTAGGAACCTAAGCCAACTTCCCTTAATTCTCTCCTCGTATTGCACTGGTTTACGTACATCGTATATCAACAGGCACAACTAATTATAGCCATCGAGCGGGCTTCGGAAGGCACATCCGATCCGGTGCAACGTCACGAAAGGCGGTAACGGTAAGCTCAGCCCTGCGATGATCCCTGCCTAGTGTGATCTCGTGCGGAGGGGCTTTGGCCTCTAGCTAGCTTTACGGGCGGTCAACTTTCTTACATCGACGTGCAGCTTGCTTCTCTTTTGCATTTCGAACATTTGGCAGATCTTTTCTCCGGCAATTGTTCATCTCCCCTGGTATTATATTGCTTTGACTGGATTGTTGTTCATTTACGACACAAATACCTCAGCATGTCTGATTCTATCGCCGAGGCTGCGCGGAAACACCCTGCGCCTGAGGGCTTGGTGTACACGTATGGAACTGCTGGAGTGAGTTTTATTTCTTGCGGTGTAGAGGGATTGGGAGTGTGCTGATTGTAGACAGTTTCGTACCAAGGCGTAGGGCCCCCTCGCACTACCACTTGCTCCTCGCTCCCTGTACGTGGCTGACGGCAGCAGCAACGTCCTCGATTCGGTCCTCACACGCGTCGGTCTCATTGCAGCTCTTCGGTCGCGCGCGCTGAAGGGAAGATGGATTGGTGTTATGATCACGGCGTCTCACAATCCTCCAGAGGACAATGGAGTGAAGCTTGTTGAGCCGATGGTATGTTCTCGGTGTGGGTATGCAATGCAATGAGCTAACTTGGTCATAGGGCAACATGCTGCAAGTATGTGCTCGCCATCTCTAACTGATAGCCATGGGTAGTCCTAACGTGTACATTTAGGAGGATTGGGAAGTCATCAGCACCGAGATGGCGAACCAAGCCACCCCCGAAGACGTCTCAAAGTACTACCACGACATCGCGGCGAAGCACAACATCGATCTCAGCATCCAGGCCCGCGTCGTCGTGGCCCGCGATACAAGGGTTTCCGGAGCTAGGCTCCTGGGTTGTCTACAGGGCGGACTGGCAGCCGCTGGCGCTGAACAGAAAGACTACGGCTTTCTGACAACACCGCAGCTACACTACATGGTCCGATGCTTGAACACGGAAGGTACAAAGGAGGCATACGGCGTGCCTACCGAGAAGGGCTACTACGAGAAATTTGCCGCGGCCTTCAAAACTGCTCTCCGCGGAAAGAAGCCGGCTGGACATCTTACCGTCGATTGCGCCAACGGTGTTGGTGGACCGAAGCTGACAGAGTTGATCAAGTACCTGCCATCTAAGGAGGAGGGTCTCGAGATCTTCGTCGTGAACGACAATGTCATCAAGCCTGAGAGCTTGAATGTCGACGTAAGCAAGACTTCTGTTCTACTGGTGTTATGGGTTGCGCTAAATACAATTACAGTGTGGTGCGGATTACGTCAAGACGAACCAGCGAGCCCCTCCATCATCGAAGACCGGACCGGGTGACCGATGCTGCTCGCTCGATGGTGACGCTGATCGGGTTGTCTTTTATTTCAAGGACGCACAGAATGTGTTCCGCCTGCTTGACGGTGACCGAATTGCAACACTCGTGGCTTCGTTCCTAGGAGATCTTGTGCGCCAATCTAACTTGGCAGGTTCGCTCAAGATCGGAGTCGTGCAGACCGCATACGCGAACGGCGCAGCAACAAACTATGTTGAGCAGAATCTGAAGCTCAAGGTTGATTGCACACCCACAGGTGTCAAATACCTTCACCACGCTGCCGAGAAGCTTGATATTGGCGTCTACTTCGAGGCAAACGGACACGGCACAGTCATCTTCTCGCACGACACCCTTGAGACCATTGAGAAGCACGAGCCCAGGACTCACGGCGAGAAGGAGGCCCTCGACGTTCTACGCGCGTGCATCAACTTGATCAACCAGTCTGTCGGCGATGCGCTCTCTGACTTCCTTCTCGTGGAAGTCGTCCTCGCACACAAGCACTGGGGCCCGCAAGAATGGCTCTCCACTTACACCGACCTTCCTAACCGTCTCCTCAAAGTCCTCGTCAACGACCGCAACATCTTCAAGACTACCGATGCGGAGCGTCGTCTCACCAGCCCCGAGGGCGTGCAAGCTCAGATTGACAGGGAGGTGCAGAAGGTCCGCCAGGGCCGCTCCTTTGCGCGTGCCAGTGGCACAGAGGACGCCGTCCGTGTCTACGCCGAAGCCGCGACCAAGGCCGAGGCCGAGGACCTCGCGAGGAAGGTGGCGGAGATTGTCAAGACCGCTGGAGGCGCATAGAGTGCTCCTCCGCATTGGTCCGCGCTCCTGCATCCGACGCCGCCGTGGGCTTATCAGAAAGAGGACGTAGGTGATCCGTTTGAGGATATCGAGATCTCGGAAATGGATCTCATGGATGGCTCGAGCGTTAAAAGTAGGGGCAAGGGCGAGGTTGAGGGTGATGAGTTGGAACTTTCGGATGGACCACCTTAGGTTTCTAGGGCGAGGTGAGGTGAGGTGAAGTGAAGTCCTTTGGGATTTTCGCTTGATTGGGATGACATGACTTTACGATAGATTCAAAAGTTTTTGGTGCTGCTTGATTTATTACAACTTACACCGCCCCGTCCGTCTCTTCTTACGCACAGATTATATTTACACGATCAACTTTGACGGGCAGCTTCTAGTCTCCCTTCTCTGATGGAACGCTAAACTGTCGTTCAAGCACAAAAAAGGTACGTACCTCATCTTCTTCTTTTTCTTTCCTCGCCTTGTTTTTTTCCTGTCCTTCTCCACAGGCAATGATGACAGAAGTGCACCTTTTTGGTCGCTTCATGCACAGATACTCCGTATAGAGATCCCGGACCTTCCTTCTGGGGAGGCCTTGTGGGCTTGGTGTGCGAGAATGTTATTGTCTGAGCCTTTTGGAGTTCTTTTGGAGATAGAGTGTGTATGAGGAGTGGTCGATTTACTGACTGATTGACCGACTGACTGACTGGGTTTAGGGATGAGTGAATGGAGGGGTGGAGGGGTGGAGGGATGTATATCTAAGCTCGATGTCCAAACAGACAATATTACTAGTTACGCTTTCTTTGATATCACACGTGAAGCTGGTGTATAGGTTCCACATAAATCTTGCACATAGTCGTTAAGCTGATGCAAGAATTCGCTCCAGCTTGATTCCTGGTATCTCGAGACCCCTCCCTATAGTCACTATCTTTATGCGGATAGCATCAAGGTTCAAGTACGCGTATTGAATGCACCAGAATAAACAGTCTGAACACGAATGCTGTGTCATGCATGAAACAAATAACGCCGAAACCCAGGCCTGACACCTGCACTTTATGCACCTTACAAACTCCACAAGACGGTGTCATCTGAAACCTGACGTGCGCCACATCAGCCTCATGACTTTTCAACGTGCACACCGTTTTCGAGCATCCGGTGATGGGCGTGTTAAGGTGGCTGCAGGGTCGAATCTAGCGGGGCTCGCCCTCCGCACAAACGGGGGTGATCTTCCCCTGAGCCAGGAACCGTCGCCTTTGGTCTGGACCAAATATAAATATCCACCGCTACAAGCCAATCACCAGGCCCATGTCGCTTTGGCGCGCGTCCCCGGCAGGGCTTGCCGTTCGTCACGAGCTTGACCAGGGTAGTCCACGCGACAAGCCTCTTCGGCGCGCTGATCGGGAGGGTCCGTTGTCACAGTCGCTGCGTGAGTGAGCTCCCTACCTGCTCTTCTGTCGATGCATCCGCTCTGCTGCTTCAGAGAGCCACAACGTCGCAACACTGGAGGTATGCGCTGAACAGCGAATTGCGAGCTCAACAGCCATCATATCCGCGACACTCGTTACTACTGGGCACAAGTACTATTCTTCCACCACTTCACCCACCACATTCGCTTCTTCCTCGGAACCAAGCCATCCACCATGGCTTCACCACTTCCAAATATGCTGTTCAGGCGGGACTCGACAGTAGAGGAAAAGTTCGAGCAGATTCTCTCCAACAATCCGCTCGGCGCCTCGGTAAGTGAGGGCAACCAGCTCTACACCTGTACTCCAGCTAACGGTCTCAGGTTTCGCAAGACTCGGTCCTTATTGCCATAGGCACGTCTCTCGTCATGACTGCCGTCATGCTGGCTGCCTTTATGCTCCTCCGTCCCCACGTATCCGCCGTCTACGCGCCCCGACTTCGCCATGCCGATGAAAAGCATCGACCGCCACCATTGGACAACAAGCCATTTGCCTGGTACCACCCCATATTCAAGACGAACGAGGACCAATACATGCACCAGATAGGTCTGGATGCCACCATCTTCCTTCGCTTTGGGCGCATGTGCCGCAACATGTTCCTTGTGCTGTCCGTTGTAGGATGCGCCATCATCGTACCCGTCAACGTCATAAAGTCTGTTGAATTCCAGAAGAACTTTGGCGGGGCTACCATCAGCACGGCCATCTTCTTGATGACACCCCGAGACCTGTTTGGCGAGATCTTCTGGGCTTTTGTGGCTCTGGCCTATGTCTTTGACGTAATTGTCTGCGGTTTTCTATGGTGGAACTATCGTGCTGTGCATCGGCTGAGGCGCAAGTTCATGGAGAGCCCCGAATATCAGAACAGTCTTCATTCGAGGACCCTGATGATCACCGATATCAAGAAGGAGTTTCGAAGCGACCATGGCATCGTTGAGATCATAGATAGCTTGCGCACGACACCGGAGGTCCCGCGAGCATCGATTGGCAGGAACGTTAAGGATATTCCAGATTTGATCGAGGAGCACGAAAAAGCCGTCATAGAGCTGGAGGCCGTCCTTGCAAAATATCTAAAGAACCCCAAGCAATTACCCGCCAGCCGTCCGCAGTGTATGCCCTCGAAGAAGGATCCCGAGTTTACAGACAAGAAGCAAAAGGTGGATGCAATCGACTACCTCACAGCCCGAATTCAGCGCTTGGAAGCTCAGATCAAGTTAGTCCGCGAGACGGTAGATAAACGAGATGCCATGTCATACGGGTTCGCGAGTTACGAAAGCTTGGAGAGTGCGCACAGCGTTGCGTTTTCCGCACGCAGCAAACATCCAAAGGGAACCACTATCCAACTTGCCCTCCGACCAAAAGACATAATCTGGAAGAACTTGCCCTTGACTCCAGGGACGAGGCGTCGGAGACGATTTATCAATCGCTTCTGGATCGTACTGTTGACGTTGCTATACTTTATTCCTAACGCCATCATCGCCGTCTTCCTCTCCAAACTCACTAACATCGCCCTTCTCTTGCCAGCATTTCAAACACAGCTCGGCTTGCATCCTACCTTCTGGGCTATCATCCAGGGTCTCGTGGCACCGGCACTCACATCGTTGATCTATTTTTTCCTACCCATCATCTTTCGCCGTCTGTCCATCAAAGCGGGTGATGTCAGCAGAACCTCCAGGGAACGACATGTCATCTCACAACTCTACGTTTTCTTTGTCTTCAACAATCTCTTCATGTTCTCGCTCTTCGGCGCTACTTTTGGCTTGATTTTCAAGCTGTATCACATTGTCGACACGGGTGCCGCAACATCGTTCTTAGAAGTCTACCATGCCATTGATCCCTTTACGATAATCATGCAGACGCTGTGCGAAGTCTCGCCCTTCTGGATCACATGGCTTGTTCAGCGTAATCTTGGTGCGGCCGTTGACTTGGTCCAGCTTGTCAATCTTGCCTGGGGCACCTTGTCGCGCAAACTGTCTAGCCCGACACCGCGAGACATCATATCCTGGACCGCACCTCCGCCTTTCGACTACACCGGCTATTACAACTACTTCCTCTTCTATTCAACAGTGGCCCTCTGTTTTGCTTCATTGCAGCCTGTGACTTTGATTGTCACGGCTTTGTACTTTACTATAGATTCCTGGATGAAGAAGTATCTCCTGATGTAAGTGATGGCGTGTAGGCGTTTTTATCTTCTTTGGCTGACCATCTTGTCTAGGTATGTTTTTTGCACTAAAAACGAATCCGGGGGTGTCTATTGGCGCGTCCTGTTTAATCGTATGCTCGCCGGCCTGTTCTTGTCTAATTGCCTTATTGCACTCATGGTACTTGCTCGGGGCTACGGCTTCAAGTATCACATGCTTGCCGCCATGGTCCCTCTTCCATTATGTCTACTTGCATTTAAGTTTTACTGCAAGAACGCGTTCGACAACTCGATCAAATACTACACGAAGGGCGAGGTGAAGAAAGGAACCGAGGCTCCCACCATCGACAAGGAGTCGCGAAAGCGTGACCGTGTTGCTGTTCGCTTCGGTAAGCAAGATTTCTTACAAACTGCACAGCACATCTGCTAACACTCCCAGGCCATCCTGCCCTCTACCAAAAACTGACAGTCCCAATGGTGCGCGAAGAGAGCAAACACCTCCTCGCCGAAATCTACCGCGGCCGTCTAGACGGCGACGTCGGCGACACAGGTTTCAGCGACGTCTACCACATGAAGCGCATGAGCAAGGACAACCCCGGAAAAGCCGCCACCACCACCACCGTCGCCCCCTTCGAATTCGTATCCGACAGCAACATGGACTTTGAGAACTTCAAAAACCGCCCCGAATTCAGCGACGACCACGGCGGCGGCGACGGCTCCCTGTACGGCGGCCGCCCAGGCACACCCACTTCCACAATCGGCCGCGGGCGCGCGTCGTCCCGCGACTCGGAACGCACGTTTAGCCCCGGTAGTGATGAAAATGGCGTTAGCTACCCCGCGGGTTACCATCATACGCCCTCGGCTCTGAGGGAATATAGTCCCAGTCCTGGTCCGGACTCGCGTGTAATGCGTACCGCTGGGAATCCGAATTACCATGTTCCCGACCAGACGGGTTTGCTGGCTGGCGCGGCGCCCATGGGGAATCACACGCCTAGTGCGTATACGCCGTATAGTCCTGATAGGGAGGCGGGGCAGGATTACTTCCGTGGGAGGTAGAGATATGCTTGTATAGAGATGGGGGGGTTTGTGTTTCTTTTGTATCGTTTAGAGTGAGCGAGATGGGAGGGGGGCTTATGCATCTAGATGGCGTTTTGGGGTTTTGTCGTGCGTGAATCTGCATTGTATTGCATTGCATTTGCTGAGCTGAAGCCTTTTTGTTCTCCTTTTTAGAGATTGGAGAATCAAAGATGGCATAGGGATAGATACCATGGAGTGATGCAGTGGAGAATACTGCTGGCGCGGAATTATCATCACTTGTTTACTATGACGCAACGCTTCGTTCGATGAATTGAGATGAGGGGATTTGAGAAACAGGTGATAGAGATTAGACACAGCCCAACTACGCAGTACCATCAACGACAACGACATCCACCACCCGCCTTTCCTCCTTCCTGACCTCCACCCACCCATCCCCTTCGACCCGCACAATCTTCCCATCGATGCAGATTCGGCGCCACCTGCCCTCTGTCTCGCCGCCTTGAAACTCTATCCTCAGGCCATCGATCGCTTCATACCGCACAGCCGGATCGGAGACGTGCTTCCCACCCTGATACGCAAGGCCCATGATGCGCATCGCATCGTCGCCACTCGTCGGCCCAAAGTACACCAGGTGCATACTGCCATCTAGTGGCTTTGACGCAGGGGAGATGCAGAACGGCTGTTCGAGGTTTGAAACGAGGGTTGCGAGTGTATACAGGTGTTCTTTTTCCTGCAGCGGCAACCAAGCATTATTTTTGAGCACGGAAACACGTGCTTTGTAGGCGTGAGGGAGCGAGCCGTCGGCAGGGTACAGGGCGTCTTTTGCGGCCATTTTGAAGCGGTCGAGGCCGAATTTGCGGTACTCGGTTGTGTCGCTGTCGGCGACGAGAGAGGCGTGCATGCCCCAGCTGCATACGACGGCGCCGTGGAGAACGCCGTGGCCGAGAGAGTTGGTGGCGAGGGGCTCGGCGCTGCGGGCTTCGTCGACGAGGAGGCGGGCGCCTGGAGAGAAGGTTGCGGTGAAGATGGGGAGGGGGTGCGAGGCGGTGGATGCTAGGGCATTGAGGCCCCAGGTGTTTTCTTTTCCAACATTGATGGAATGGTAGAGCGCGTTGGCTGTTCCGAGGGGGAGGAGGATGACTTGAGGTGGGATGTATGCAGTGGATGTGGGGCGTGAAGAAAGTCCGTTGACCACATCGATTATACCGCCGTCTCCGGAGAGGAGAATGACTCTCAGTGGTTTTCCTTCGTCTGCTTTGGGGAAGAGGACGGTGTTTGTCAGCTCTAGCACACTGGACGCTGATTGCGTAGTGTGGATGGTGAAGGTCTCATGCGTGCTCGGGTACAGTGTGGCCAGAATGGGATCTACACATTCTTTGAAGAAGTGGGAAGCCGTGCGATGTCCAGAGGCCGTGGAGATGATAATGTGTGTTTCCCGCTCTCGATCATCTGATGTGGGGGTTGAGGAGTCGAGCAAGTGTTTCGAGATCTTCACGAGTCGAGGTGGTTGTGCAACATCTTCATTGTGTTCCAAGTGTGCAACAGCCTCAAAGGTTCCATCAGGTCCCGGGAGCACAATGGTGAGTTCTCGTCCTTTTTTATCATCTCCCGTACTCTTATCGCTTTGGACATTGGGGTCAGCCATGGTTCTTGGATCCTGGGTCAGCGGTGACTACGATCAAGGCAGAATCAGGCGATGTCTCCAGTGTTCAACGGGCTTTTTTATGTGTGGAGTCGAGGATTTGGTCGCCATGTCAGCAAGGACACGATAACTGTCGATGTCGTGAGCGGGAGGAGTGACCAGGGTCAGCCTTGATGCACCCCACATGTTTACTTCGCTTAGATGGCCGCGCTACTCTGATACGTCACTCAAGGCTGACTGGTGGTCAGGCAGCACTGGCTGAGGTGAAGTCTAGAGATGCTCGAAGCGTGCATGCAGTGTCCCGAGAGAATTTTGGTGTCAGGAAAGGACCAATATCTTCAGCTGTTCAATTTCAGCTTCTACAATAGCTAGCGTTACGTCATCCGGCCGCTTGGCATCATTCCAGCTCCATTCAGCTCGTACTGTGCTCAGCCCCAGCCCGCAACTCCACACTCGCACCATCCTGGCACGGTCTGGAAGTGCTTCGCCAAACACCCAAGCGGCGACTGTTAATTACCGCATCCATCCGCTCGCGTCAACTTCACTGTCCCTCTCGCCCGCTTCACCAAGCCCAAGGGCACCCGCACTCGCAACAAGGCTCCCGGCAAACGTCCATGTCCACCTAGAGCGCGCCTCCAACCCACCCTCACAATGAACGGCGGTCTCGTCTTCCTGATAATTCTTCTCCTCCTGGTCTCCGCTTCCTACTTCGGCTGGTTCTTCTACGCCCGCTGGAACGCTACACGCAATGGCCTCCCCCCACCGTCCATGAACCCACTCGTCGCATTCCGCTCCTCCAGCGGCGGCGCATCCAACTACCCTGGCCCCGCATCCGCCGGCCTCAAAGGCTGGATCGACGCGCAGGTGTACAAATTCAAGAACAGGAACAACCGCACCGCAGCGGGCGCGTACGAGGACAGTGCGGGACAGACACGCGGAAGAGGCGGGAGAATGGATCCAGACGAAGCCTGGAGCTCGCGTGTGGGCGATGAGGCCTACTACGAGGAGCAGGAACTGGGTCTCCACGAACCTGCCCACTCAAACGGACCTGCTAGCTCGAACCCCTACGCTTCGACAGAACCATACAGAGGACGCAGTCGCACGCGTGACTCGTACGACGAGCATCGCGACGCGAGGAATCCCTTTGCCGACGACAACGCGGCCAGTCTGCGGGGCGTGAGTCCCAAGCCGGTGGACCACGGCGCCGACACAAGCTACCATGGTGGCGCCACAGCGCAAATGCCCCAGGTCAAGAAAACAGCGAGCATGGATGATGCGGGGCCAAGTCCTACCGATGGTCGAAGAAGCGTTTTCAGGGAGGAGATGTGAGCGTGGTGCGCTGATGAGCAGACGCTGATGAGCTGACGAGCTGATGAGGAGTGGGCGGTCTTGCTTGTATTTACGACACGTGATGCGGTCAAAGGCGTTTGTGTTTCTCATGATTATATACCTTTTCTTGGCCTCATGGGGCTGGTGTGCCATTTACTTCTTCCACACGTGGACTTTGTCCGCTCGATTGTTGTTCTCGACAATGTGAGTTTGATCCCTGGTTGTGACTTGAGCAAAAAAGTTTTACATAAATCCCGACCTCAGCTTGAATTCAATGAACATCATGGCTTACAGGATTCAAGCCAAAACATAGGTGTGGGACGGAGGCAGAGAAGAGACTCAAGCAATTCTGTGAAGCAGAGCATAGCTATACGTCTATGATACTGCAGTCAAATATGACTCCTGACAGCGCCCCTGCTCCTCGCATTGAGCATATGCCACCGACTCATCCTCATTCCCAGTAATGCATGAACGTGGTATTCCACGTCTCTGGAAGCAACCCCTTACACCACCAGAGCCATACATACTCCAAAGCCGTCTGGTAGTCTCCACGAAGTTTCCAAGCTTATCTCTACCTAATCGTTGATAACCGCAGAATCTCCAACTCGTCAATGGCAAAAGTAAGTGAAACAGCCATGTTCTCCAGACCATCGACCATGTCCATCATCAGTAGAGCTCGAATTGCCCGCATCTCCCTCGTGTACGTGTCAGCGTTGAGGTGAGCCATGTCTGTCCCCATTGCAGTGGTGAAAAGCTGTCTCAGCATCATCTCCCTGTCCTGGCGATTCGCGCCCCGATACACCTCCAGTTGGGCCGCAGGAAGGAGCTCCAGGTCCTTACGGCAGGCTTGGATATGTTCAAGTAGACGGGTTTGGGATGGCCCCAACGCGACAATCAGCTCCTGCTTGATCTTAGCACGAATATCCTCGCCTTCTTCGAAAGCGACCATCTCGACCGAAACTTCGTTCTCTTTGGGCGTAGTTTCCTGGTCGTCTTCTGGGTCTGCAGGTGAGATGGACTTGTGTCGCCAAGCAGGAGCGCTTGCTTCGCGCTGAAGTCTGACCAGACATCGCTTCAATTCGGATTTGGTGACGACGAGAGGTTCGAGGAAGGTATAGATGGTTTCGAAGTTGCAAAGCTCTCGTGCCTTTTCCACTGACTGACATTGCAGGGTCGAGACGAGTTGATCGAACTCTTGAGGGGTCACGAAGTCTGTAAAGTCCCGACAGTTCTAGGCAATGTGTCAGAGTCTTGATGTCAAGGGACTCGATGGTTCACTTACGCCGTCCTCATAGTTGTGACGGAGAGCATTGACTCCCTTCTTCAGGAGCTCAGCGATGTATTGTGTGAGCTCTTGTAGATCCTTAGCAGTTTGCCCCATCTGTTCTCGCATATGTCGATTGTGCGCAAGGAATAATTTGTGTATGGCGAGTCTCGAGGTCTTGCTAGGGAGACTTTGATATTTGATTAGTCCTGATGTTCACGCGATGTCTGTTCTCCTTACTTACTGGTGCATGTCGGATATTTTGGTGTTGGGATTATATTCCATCTGCGTTCCCATGGAATATTCGTCCTCAGAGTCAATGTCTGTAAGGAGTGTGGAACCAGATTCGGTGTCCTCGGAGATAGGCCCGATATTCAAACTCAAGTGATCTGTGTAGCCTCCAGAGTTATCATGGGCGTCCGCCTGGCTGATCTTTCGCTTCATCCAACCAGTCTCGTGAATCACGGGGTTCCATACCAGAAGATTGACATCAACGACCATGTCATTGTTCGACTCGTCGTCCACTATCAGGTAGTCAATTGGGTTGTCGATTGGGCTCAGGAGTATGAACATATCCATCATCGTGAGTGCTGGAGTGAGTTGAGGAGGGTGATAGTGTTAGATCAAGCAACAAGGGAAATATATGCAGGTGACGTAACAGCAAAGCCAGGGTGACTGTGTGTTGCGGTGAAAGACGTTCGACTGTGCTTGCGCACCTGATCCAAACTACAACGACCCGGTGTATTCAACCATCTCTCATCAACAATCGAACACAGTAAGAAATCATCACACGCAAAGACCAGATTTTCGCTGCTCACTGTTAACAGTCGATGACCATGAGCCACGCGCAGGCACCCGGGAAGCCGTTTGAAGCCATGATGAAAGACTTGGAACAACGACAGCTAGAGCTGAAGGCAGTGGGTTAACAGATCCTAACTCTCCATAACGTTTCCTACGACATCAACAGCTACGACCCAACCACCACAGAAGGGCTCAAGGCGTTCAAGGACATGTGCAAGCAGCATGGCAAGCTATTCGAAGCAAAGGTAAATACGCTCACGGATGACTGTATGTACGTTCCTAATTCATCTTAGGACGAGTTTAACAAGACCATAAAACTGCTTACCAAAGACTTTCACGACATATGCCGCGTATGGATCGACAGGATGGAGATGTACTTCCAGATTGCTCATGAGCTCAACCTCGAACTTAGCTACACTAAGTACAAGCTCCCTGAGCGCTTCGTGCCGCGGCAGCCGAGAGAATAGTGCTCAGGCTTTGGGGGCAGTTTCATTCTTGGCTAGAACCTGAGAAGGCTTGAGAATGGAATTCAACTCATCGTGGGATTGGAGCATGATCTGTTACGCCTTTGAGGCACTTCAGTAGTGTGTCATAGCTTCTTATTACAACGCGAAACCCTGTATGCCCACTACCGCCTTCTTTTGGACACTCGGAGACCAGTGTCTGCTCATGGTGTAGTTGCCTAGCCTTGGTCTGACTGACTTGTATCAGCCAGTACCCACCACGGGCATCATCACTTCCTGCTACATTTAGTGTGTTTTTATCTTCTTCAACCAGACCTTTTACAAGTTGAATAGAATGTCACAACTGGAAGATGTTACTCGACACATTCACGCGCAGAGAGCGACTTCAGCTTCGAAACGACAATTGTGAAGACGCATAGGGTTCAAATTAAGATACACATAAGCGAGAGAGGGGAAGAAGAGGTTCATGTAACTTTCAGAAGTAAAATACGAACTATGGGGATCATTGTTCTAAATAACATTTGTAATGCTGGTCATCGCAAGTCCCACTCCCAATGTAAGTATACACAACCGCTAAATGGTTCTTGACTGTTCAATGATCGCCTGCTATTATTTGGATTCATAACTCCAAAACATCCAAAACATGCTTGTATTTGCCTGCCAGTTCTGGGTAGTGCTCTAGGCCAAAGTCCATGACTTCCTCCACTCGCGAGTGTGCTGTTCGCATGTGTCTTGCAACATGAGTTGTTGCCATCTCATATCCGCATTCTACGCAAGCAGCGACTCTTGCTGGAAGTTTTAGGCATTCCGTCGCCTTGTGAGCTTTGAGATTGGCGTATGGGACCATCTCGTTGCAATGGTTGCAAGCAACCAGCTTGTTCTCGTGCGCCTTCATATGCACGTTGTACGCGTCGATCGAACCAAGGACTTGGGGGCAAAGCTCGCATTGCTTTGGCTCCTGGATCTGAGGTGTGCTGGTATGCACATTGTCCGTATGGACTCTCAACCTTTGCTGCGAATTGGCCTCGTAATCGCACCCATCGTAGCTACACTCCAGACGGTCATCGGTATGCTTCTGCATATGTAGTGGAAATGTCTTCATGTTGTCGACTACTTTTGTAGTGTTTCTTGACGACGGGCAGAGCACACACGCTTGCTTCAACCGGCTGGCTGATACAAGGTGCTGGAAGACTTTCTCACCGTCCTCGTAGCGTTCTTGGCAACAAGGGCAGGTCACACCCTCGCTGGTGGTACATTTGGATATTGGGAAATGCTTCAAACGAAGCGATTCGTGACCCGCCCTTCTTCGCTTAGCCTTGTGGTCTTCTGTATGGTCGAGCCGGACCTCGTCCCTGCTGCGCTTGTCGACACTGTTGTCTGGTGTCGGAACAACAGTGTTACGCTGTGTAACAAGTAGCTGTTTTTCGTTGCGACTCCGAAAAGCAGGAACCCAGCGCTCCACTGGAGTAAGGGCTTGATGAAGTCGATATATCCACGAGGGTTGGTAAAGATCCATGTGCATGATAACCAAGCACCATGTCCTCATGCTTGACTAACAACGCCTCTCGGAGGTCCTGTACTTGGTGATCCTTAAAATTTGCCAGCTTTTCGTCAAAAGAGATGCCGACGAAGGTAGCCTGCCGATATTCTAGGGTACCGTGTTATTTGAGGCGGTTGTTCTGGAGCCTGCTCTTGTACAGTTCATGTGCCATTGGGCTGAGATAATCGTCAGCCGGTTGATGTCTGGGATAGCATCAAGATAAATGAGAATTTGAAGCCTAGAAGAAGTTGAGGTGAGGTGAAGTGAAGTGGACGTGGACGTGGTGGGAAGAAAGAAAAGGTTGGCGAGCTGACAGGGCAAGCGAGAGCACAGGCAATTGCAAGCGAAAGGGAAGGCGCTGCTCCGAAGGTACTGTGGTGCCTCGTGGAAGTAATTGCTGCCTGTTGACGACTTTACAATGTTCAGAGACTGGCCAGACATTTCGCATTGATAGCTCTGGCGAATACATGGATGTATAATTCTCAGAATAGTAGAGTAGAGCATCGCTTGTACTCCAAGGAGGAACCTCAGTGGCAGCAAGGTGAAGGCAACTCCCAAAGTCATGCGCGCCCAGCAATTGCGTAGCACTTGACCGCCGATGACCTCAATGTCTTGATAGACGTAATCCCAGTACCTGACTTATCAGAATCACTCCAACGTCTTTCCAGCGTTCGTCTTTGTCCAGAGTCGTCTAACAGGACACCATCAGACTCCATAGAACACAATGCAGATTTGGGATTTATTGAGGCTTGTATCCGTCGTGGTGCATATTAACCTTCCTCGCCAACAACCTTCGCATGCCGGAAGTACTTCATGCCTACCCAGGCGACCACAACCCACACCCAACTCATAACCGCCGTGCACACCATCAACGCGGGGTAGTATCCCGTAATCGGTAGTGACTCGTCGTCTTCCAGCTCTGGCGGCGCATACGGAGTCTCACCCACATCCCATGCCCAACTCCACACCCCCAAACAAGAGCCCATTCCAACGACGAAGACAATCCATGTCACAATGAGCACTACCCAACCCCACCACTCTGTCTCACTGTAGTCCCAGTCATCATCCAGATCGAGATCGGAGGGCGGCTGGACTTCTGCGAGGGATAAGCGTCTCTCAGAGCGGTTTGAGCGCCGGCGTGAGAGAGATATTGCGGGACCCTGTGCTACTATATTGAACGCGTTGCCGTTGCTGGACGATGACGGACGGAAGAAAGAGAGCGTGTCATCATCGTCGGTAGTGGTAGATGCATATGGCCCATTCGGACTCAATATGGACGGGGGAGCTTGGAGTGATGTTCCAGTTGGTGAGGTTGACAGGAATAGGTTGTTTTCAGGATGCCATCCACTATCTGAGGAGGAGTTGAATGACGCGTGCTCGTAGTTGAAGCGGCGAGGTGTTGTTTCGTCGTCAAAAGAGGTTGTACTCATCGTCGTGATGATGGTAGGCGGCTTGCCAGGCGTGCGCTCCTTGCGTATGGAACTACTCCTCTCTCGCATCTTCGCCATAGCGGCCTTCCTCAAGGACCCTTTTCTTTGCCTGCCCTGAATCTGGCGCAAAGCAGTTACGACAGACGGTCCTCGCTTCGCACCTTCCGCATTCTCGGGCGGACCGTCGTCGTCTGCTGGCTGCTTTGGTACACTTTCTTTTGCCGACCTGAGAAACGAGAACCCGCTTAGGAGGCTTCCAGATTTGCTTCTTCTATGTTCTGGTCGGTCACCATTTCCACCTCCACCTCCACTATCCTTCTTCGACTGCTGCTCGTTTGATTCGGTAACGTCATCACGTCCGTGATCCATTCTCTGTCAGCGCGCCAGCCATATAGTGCTGTATATGTTAACTCGGGATTGTCATGTTTCGTGTAGAGTCTGTCGAGAATGGTTCTGTCTCGCCCAGATGCATGTCGCGACGGGTGGACCCTGCTTGCGGCGTTAATTGACAGGCATTGGTTGGCGGTCGTTCACAACGCGAAGATCGCCCAACCCCATTGGGAAGGCACTCGTAAATCTCCCCACCACTTCGGCCGCTCTATCTATACTCCCTTTCCCCTTGTTATGCATATCTTTAGTCATTCTTCGCATCCACTCACTTAAGTCGCCGCAATGACCTCGAATATGCCTGTGCCACGCCCGCCGCGGACTCCTACGCCGCCTCCTGACGAAGACGCGTCATTGCCAGTTGGACTTGGATTTGAGGGCGAGCTGGCCACTGGAAACTTTGGCTTCAATCCGAACGCGCTGTCTCCAATGTCTGCAGGATTCCCATCCAAGCAATATGCGGCTCTAGGTCCCAGCGACTCCGTCTCGCAGAGAGCAACGCCCACCATCTACACACCCGCGAGCGCAACCTTCCCATACACACCAGCGAGTGCTGCCACGACTGACACCGAGGCGCCTGGGTCTGACAATGGCGCCAATCCATTCAACTTCCAGCCCGTCGCCTACATGCCTGGACGGCCACAGCCGAAACAAGCCGTATGAATGCCTGTCAGCCGTATGATCTCACACTAATGCTCGCAGGATATCGGTCGACGACGTGGACACAAGTACAAGCACAGCAGCGTCTCCCACCAAATATTCCTTGAGCCCGCACCAAAAGCTCCACTCCAGCTTCCCGCATCGCTTCCCATCCCGACGTTTAAAGAGTATCGGTCGTCCATGTCAAAGGACCAAAAGCTGCGCCTAGGATGGTGTTTCTGTCATTTGGTCGTGGCAGGGCTTGTACAATGGGGGGCACACGAGTCACTGGCGCTGACAGTTCTTTCTCGACTGATATTCTACGATGCGCTTGGGGCATTTCTTTGTGTGGCTGTTGATGTCGGATCCAACTTCGAGGTCTGGCAACGGTCCAGTATCCGCCATCCGTTTGGGTTTGAGCGCCTGGAAGTCATTGCAGGGTTGGGAATGTCTGTTGGGCTGCTTTTCATGGGACTTGATCTGATATCTCACGGTCTCACACATGCGCTGGAGAACACAGGTGGACATCAGGCACATCACGCGGACGCTCACGAGAGAGTGTCTCCTGGCAGCATCGACCTTGCTGCTCTGAGCGGCATCATTACGACTCTCGTCTCGGCGATTGTGTTGAAGAACCATGCTCGCATCGGCAAGGTCATGAGACTGAGCGCTATTGCGAAACTGCCTTCGGTGTTGAGCAACCCATCTCACTTCCTTACTCTGTCCTGCTCGACGCTTCTGCTACTTCTGCCTCTTCTGAGCATACAAATGTATGTCTGGCTGGACCGGTCACTCTCGTTCTCGGTCGCTATCTGCATGGTGGGACTGGGCTGGATTCAGGGGTGGACGTTGGGCAAGATGTTGTTGATGTCTTACTCTGGCCCAGGGGTACCCGACGTCATGTACGACGTCGAAACTGACCCGGCCGTGAGCGCTGTCGAGGAAGCAAAATTCTGGCAGGTTCATTACGGATTGTGTCAAGCAAACTTGAAGCTGCGGGTGCGGAATCTCGAGGAGGTGGGACGTCTGCGCGATCGGATTGGTAGTATGGTGCGCAATCGGTTGGGCGGTGGATACGGCGATGGAGGGCAGAAGTGGGAGATCTCTACCCAAATTACGCTCGAGAAGGACTGAAGGGCGGAGGATCTCGCGCTCGGGCTTTTTTGCATATGTTGCCGCAATCTACCATTGATGCCCCTGTGGCAACTCATCTTAGTTTTGCAGCCCAAACGGGACCCTGAGGCTGCCGACGTGGCCGGCGAACGTGCAGTCTGCGGCGCTTGCTGCCTCTTCTTGTCCGTGAAAGTGCACACCTACATACCTACACTCACAGACGTCCGTCACAGGGTATGACGCCGTCTTATGGAGCAGCACATCCTACATCATCGGCAAGGTTTGCGATCCCGTTGAGACAACTGGCAACCTCCTTTAACGCCTGACGTATCCCTGCTGACGCTAAATGGGCGTTAGCGAAACTTCCGCCAGCGACACACAGATCAACCGGGACCCCGTCCACGTCTGCGCTTCACCGCCCGACAGGCTGCACTGCGCCAGTGGCCAGTGCCAGCGCTCGTCTGATCGCTGGACGGCGCTGCTGCAGGTGCTCGTTCGCTGTCGTCCATCACGCAGCCTCTGCATCCCGCCTCCGCCTGCAACACTGGCCGAGTGTCGAGAGCCCTGTGACCTGCGAGGCTGGCACTGGGGCAGAAATTAAAACGCTGGATGGCCCTCGGGATGGCGAGGAGCCGCGATGAGCGTGGCAACCGATTCTACGACGATGGCCAATATTTAGACGAGAACCGAGACCGCACACACCGTCACCGACACCGCACCCAGCAAAACGACGACGACGAATACACCGCCGCGAAGCGGGAGCGACGAGAGCGCCGCCGCCAGGCAGAGGTCGACCTGGATGAAGTGCGAGCCAAACGCGAGTCGTACTACGCCAGGCAAGAGCCCGAGCCGCAGCGCTACCGTGACCACGATCGCATGGCCCAGGCGACACGGACAGAGAGGACGAAGGAGCCGCGCAGCAGCCAGCGGGAGACCCAGAAGGATGCCGCCCGGAAGACGACCAAGAAGAAGAGGGAGACGCTCGCCGACCACGGCGTCGAGGACTTCGTGTTTGGGAGGCCCAAGTCGAGTGGCTACGTCGAGGAGGTCACTGTGAGGAGGTCGTCCACACGCAGGCGGAGCGAAGAGGGCGGGTCGAGCAGGACCGCATACACTCCGCTCTCAGGGTCTGGTTCTGCCTCAGTGCGGAGGGTCGAGATTCCAAAGCCCAGCAGGTAGGGTTATCCCAGCTCCAGTCGTGAGCACCGCCTAATGTCATGCAGAACCACGTCCACTCGTGAACAAGCTAAAACCACGACCGCTCGTGAGCCAACCAGGACCACGTCCACCCGCGAACCAAGCCGAACGCATGCCTCGCGACCTTCTACGCGGCACGCGAGCACCCCCAAGCCGTCTCCCGTGCCTGCTCCGGCCCCAATCTCAAGATCGCAATCCATACGGGAGACTGCTACTCCAATCTCACGATCCCAATCTGCACGGGAGGCTTCGCGGAAGAGCACCGGAGGGCTTTTGTCAAGCCTTTTCAGAGCCCCCCCGCCACGCACACCATCAGCTCCCGTGTACAAGGAACCTCAAAGGTTGGTCGCTTGAATCTGAACCTTTGACCATTCTCTAAATGTTGCTCTAGGGTTGAGTGTCTGGTCTGCATGAACGATGACCTTCCCCTGCACAAGACAGTCAAGCTTGCTTGTGGCCACCGAATGTGCAATTCCTGCTTGAAGCGTCAGTTCACTCTTTCGGCTCAGGACGCGCAACACATGCCCCCAACGTGCTGCACCGCGGAACACATCCCTTTGAAATATGCCGAGCGACTGTTTGACGACAAGTTCAAGAAACTCTGGAACAAGAAGTACCAAGAATACACAACTGCCAATCGGCTATATTGCCCTTCCAAAGGGTGCGGCGAATGGATCAAGCCTTCAAAAATTCGCATGGACCTGACATATGGACGAAAGTATGCACGATGCGGCCGATGCACTACAAAAGTGTGTGTTTTGTGCAGTGCCAAGTTTCACACAAAACGCGAGTGTCCGAAAGATGAAGAAACCAACCGTTTGGTGCAGATGGCGAAGGAGAAGGGATGGCAGAGGTGCTACAACTGCAAGGCCGTGGTTGAATTGAAGGAGGGGTGTAATCACATGACCTGGTAAGTCTATCATTCTGACTAGCACAAGTTTCCATCTGACAGTAGCATAGTCGCTGCACGGCTCAATTCTGCATGGTTTGCGCATTGCCATGGAAGACTTGCGACTGCCCCTGGTTCAACTATCAGCACATCGACGACGACGATCGTCTCAACGACGCGCGGGTCCCCCAGGCCAGACAGCAAGACGTAATCGAAGTGATTGAGATGCCCGACGATCCTGCTCCCCTACCGGCTCGACGGAGCAGTACTCGCACCCGCCAACGCACTGAACGAGAGCGGCCTGCTGAACAGCCAGAGCGGGTACTTGCAGCACGCTTGCAATCCCGACTTCATCTCAATCCAACCCCGACCGCATCAGAGCGGAGTCGCGCCAACCCAGTAGGCCAGGTTCATGGTCTGGGCAACGCGGGCGGGCATCACATGAACGAGTCTTATGCTGTCCGTCCCACGCCTCCTGTAGCCCAACCTCGCGCCCGCGCGCCCCCTCCCCGGACGTCATTCTTCAGTAGTCGCCGAGTCTCGCGAGAAGCTCCAGTTCCTGCCCGCCCTACGGCTCCGCGTGTTGTGACTGCATCAGCTATGGCTGGGTTGTCGAGAGATGGAACGAAGCGCGGCGCGAACAGAGTAGGGACTTGGCTCAGTCATATCATGCTCGACGCCGAAGCCATTAATACGCAGGCGAGAGACGTCGAGGTCGATGATTGGAGGTGTGATGGGACGATGATTGGTATCGACTAAACATATCTTCGTTTTGGTCATATCGCACTGTATAGTATTGCACTTCATTTGGGCGCATTTAGAGATTTGTTTTTGGAGTTGGATAGCATAGGCGCACACCGCGAGATACCCTTTCTTCTCTTCTGAATTGGGCTTTGAATATTAGATTTTTCGCTTACAATCAATTTACTGCAGCTACTTAGTTACGTGAGTGACGTGCGCGTTGCGGTGTCATTGCGCTTTCCCCGATGTTGCCATGATGATGTCACGCCCTAGATGGAGCTTGGGCATAGCTCATACAATTTACCTACGACATCGAACAGCAGTTCAGCACCTGCGTCTTCCCAATCTAGAACTACAACCTCAACTCAATCAATCGATCAATCAACAAACAAAAATGACTTTTCTCCGCCCCATCTCAATGCTGCGCTCAGCTGCCCTCCGCCCAGCTCTCGCCGCGGCGCCCCGTGCTCGCGTTCAGGTCCGCTTCGCAACGCAGGACTACGGCTCTGGTGACGGCAACCCAGCAGGCGAGAACCCGCTACAGCAAGGTCAGAACCCCAGCGAGTCTCTCGAGCATCCAGGTCCTCCGCCACCAAAAGTTGCAGAGGGAAAGTCGTCGTCGTCGCCCAACGAGGATTCGTCTTCGTCTTCGGCCAGCAAGTCCTCATCCTCGTCATCTTCTGCAAGCTCCTCGGACAAGTCGTCGAAGGGCAGCAGCAACAAAGGTGCGCCAAAACCCAAGATCCTAGACGAGAAGGCCCCGGCCAAGGACAGCAACCCCGATGTGAAGCAGCATAATGAAGAGATGGACCAGAGGACTGAGAAGCAATATGAGCAGGTCAGTGATAAACAACACAACAAGGACAAGGTTGGGAAGGACTTTTGGGCTGGTAAGTCAGATTCATGATGTGCGTGGGTGAGTGGAGAAGCTAACTTTGATAGGCCAGGGCGGACGGGATAGGGATCCGTGAGGAACGAAGATTGTTGGGAGCAAGCATCCGGGGAGAAAATGGGGCTATGTATAACTATTCGATGGGTTGACGAACTGCTTTGATGGATCTCAGCACAGCACGGCTCATCACAAAATGAAATCTTGACGAAACTTCCCCAGGCTTGACCCACATGTACAATTCGCGGACTCAATCCGCCACATGGGTTGGGAAGCCCATGCACACCGCTTAGGTGGCCTCTTCCTGAACTTTGTGCACATGCGAAGCTTTGTTTAGTGACGTCAGGGGCTGAACGCGAACCCCCGCACGCACGCAATTGTGAATCGAGATGGAAATTCTGGAATCCCATGGCAACCCGCACGCGAGTCCACAGCGGCACAGTGACAGCAATATTACCATGCCAGTTTCAGTGAGAAAACTTGAATTGCTCGGAGACAAATTCGACAGGCGTCGGAGATCGACCTCGCAGCCGTCACACGTCTTTGGAGGTCTAGCTTGTGACAACGATTCACAATTGCGCATCAAAATCGTAGGGAGCAAGTGCAGTGGTCATAGCTCGCAGATTCCGATCCAATTGGCGGGGCGGGAGGCAGTCAGGACTGTTGTCGTTGTCCTTGTTTGCTTTGTGGTCAAAAACGTGCCAACTACGTCACGTAACGCACTCTGCTCGCCAGCGTTTGTGTCCCCTCATAAAGGCCCTCTTCGCTCCCACTTTGCTTTCCATCCCCCCGCCGAATCTTTCTAATCATCACCCCTCTGACATCGATCCATCCATCGATATCACGAGCACCCTTTGATTCCGGCACTCACACAGCATGAAGTTCTCTCTTGCTACCACCCTTGTGGTGACGCTTGCTGCTCAGGCCACAGCTAACAGCTGGTTTGGCAAGTCAGGTGCGTACTGCGGGCGTTTCCCCCATCTACCCCTCCCATTCTTTGTGTGACCTCACTGGTTGCTATCAGCAGCGTTCGAAGCTCGGCTTTGATACCATTTTGAAACAAGTCCATGTGTACATTCAACCTTGTACTGACCCCGTCAAGCAGTATACGACAAGTGGCACGAGACGGAGCTAGAGCGCTGGCTCTCGGATCACGGCATCCCTCACCCGGCACCCTCGGACCGCAAGAGCCTCGAGAAGACCGTCAAGGACAACTGGAACAACCAGGTCGTCACCCCCTACAGCGGTTGGGATGCAAAGCAACTCTCAAACTACTTGACCACCAAGGGCCAACAAGCAAAGGCCGGCACCGAGACCGACTCCAAGAGCCTCATCGAGCAGGTCAAGGAGTACTGGACGGAGACAGAGGACTCGGCAAACCAGGCTTACGGCAGTGTCCGTGACTGGATCTTCGACTCGTATGTACTGCCTTGAGCACTGTTTTTTTTTCAACTGACTAACACATATCAGATGGACCGACTCCCAGCTCAAGACCTTTGCCGACAAGCACGGCATCCCCGTTCCCCAGCCCCGCCAGCGTGACTCTCTCCTGGCCTCCGTTCGTGGAGGTTACCAGGGTGCCGCCGAGAAGGCCAAGCAGACAACTAGCTACCCCGGTGACTGGTTGTACGAGTCCTGGTCCGACTCTGACCTCAAGGCTTGGTTCGACGAGCGTGGCTACAACGTACCCCAGCCCTCTACCCGTGACTCCTTGATTGCCAGCATCCGTCGCCAGTCCCGCCTCGCCAGCTTGAACTCCCAGAGTGCTTATGCCCAGGTCTCCTCGTCTGCCGCTGCCGCCCAACAGAGCCTCAGCGACGCGCTCCTCGACTCCTGGTCTGACAGCCAGATCAAGGAGTGGGCTGACAAGAACGGTGTCAAGGTTCCCCAAGGTTCCAAGCGCAACGAACTCATCGCTCTTGCCCGCAAGCACCGTGCCCGTCTTTACGGTGACAGCGCTTCCGCCACTGCTGCATCCATCTCCGCCTCAGGTGCCTCCGCATACGGCGCTGCTACCTCGAGCGTTGGAAGCCAGGTTTCTGAGGCCACTGCTGGCTTTGCTTACTACACCAACTGGGTCAAGCAGCAGGTCGGCGTTGCCACCGATGCTGCTGCCGCCAGTGCCAGCTCTATCTCCGTTGCCGCTGCTCACAGTGCAAGCTCCGTTTCCGCGAGCATTGGATCTCTGACCGGTGCCGCTGCGTCCAGCGCTAGCTCTGCCTCCTCCGTTGCCGCCGCAAGCGCAAGCTCCGTTACTGCCAGCCTCGCCTCGCTTACTGGTGCTGCCGCTTCCTCTGCCTCTGCTTCGTACTACTCTGCTTCTTCCGTCGCCGCCGCCAGCGCGAGCGTCGCATCTGCCAGCCTTGCCTCCCTCTCCGGCGCTGCTGCAACGTCTGCTTCCGCCTCATACTCCTCCGCGTCTTCTGCTGCTGCCGCTAGCGCCAGCTCTGTCTCTGCCAGCCTTTCGTCGCTTACCGGCTCTGCTGCGAAGTCTGCATCCTCTTCCTACTCCTCGGCTTCCTCTGTCGCTGCTGCCAGCGCGAGCTCCGTGTCATCAGTTGCCTCCGTCAGCTCGAGCTCTGCCTCCAAGAGCCTTGCCTCTCTCACCGGTGCTGCTGCCAAGTCAGCCTCCTCATCGTGGTCTTCTGCTCAGCAGGTTGCTTCGTCCAGCGCCAGCTCTGTCTCATCCGTCGCTGCCGCTAGCTCAAGCTCTGTCTCTGCCAGCCTAGCATCCCTCAGTGGAGCTGCTGCTTCGGCCGCGTCCTCTTCATGGTCTTCCGCCGAGAAGCGTGCTTCCTCGACATCGTCTTCTATCTCGTCCTCCATGTCCAGCGCTTCCTCCGTTGCTTCTGTCTCTTCCGCATCCGTCTCCAAGAGCATTGGTTCCCTCAGCGGTGCTGCGTCTAAGAGCGCTTCCTCCTCGTGGTCCTCTGCTCAGAAGGTTGCCTCGTCCTCCTCGGCCTCGGTCTCCGCTTCCATTTCTAGCGCTTCCGTTTCTGCTTCCAAGTCTGCCGCGTCTGCCTACACTGAGGCCAACGCAAAGGCCAGCGCTAGCTCCGCTTCCGCTTCCGCCAAGCAGGAGTTGTAAGCAAGGAATCTCTACTACGAAATACCTGACAACCAACGTTCACGTCATGACTGGATCATGGTCATGGCTACCTGACGTTTCACGATACGACCTTACGACATGCGTGCGGATGATGAAAGCCGAATCGAAAGCGAGTTCTGTAACACTACACATATGATGATATTCCCCTTGACTCCCCGCTAGGCTTTTGGGGGATATGCTTTTCTTTCCGTCTGGTTGCGGAAGGAAGACCGGCGTTTACATTAGCTAAAATTGAGTTGATAATGAGAATGAAAAATGATTAAGCGCATCTCGAAGAAATTCCTCTATAATGTTGTGAATGACCGGTTTTATTGTAAGACTAATATGTTAAGAATTACGTGCTGCTTTCACGTAGTGACCTCAATCACACCCAACATATCCACAACCCATGACAATCCACCTCCCTCCTCCAAGCGTCTCACCCAACTCCACCAGCCGCTGATCCAGGCCCTGTAGCCCCTTTCGAACATCTTCCTCGACTCCGTTGCTCTCCACAACCGACCGCTGTAGCCGTCCGAACCCCAAGCACATCACACTCTCCGCATCCAGCCCTCCCCCATCCACAGCCACAAACCCATCCCTCGCCTTCCGCAGCGCAGTGAGCAACCGCGTACGCTTAATCTTCCTTCTCAGCTCCGTTTCCCGCTCATCCCTCAGAGACGATATCTCCGCTTCTACAGAAAGCACTGCACGTCGATACGCAAGCCAGGCTGAGAACGTAGCGGGGAAGAAGGCGAGGGATTGGGGGTCTGCGCCGAAGAACGAGGGGAGATGTGGTGTGAGGAGTGTGAATGCGCGGTCGATAAGGGGGAGGAGGGTTGGGTCTGGGGAGGTGGGATTGGCTAGGTAGGTTGTGAAGAGGGTGGTTAGGTGGGAGGGGTTTGGGGGTGGGAGGGTTGGTGTTGGGGGAAGGCTTGGAAGTGCTGGGCTTGCTGGGTGTGGGTGTATTTCGTTTGTGTCTGTTGGAGGAGACCGTTTTCGCTTTTTTCTGCCTTGTTGTGCGCTGGTATGAGGAGAAGAGGAGTCGTTCCCGAGGTTGCAGGCAGTGACTGTCTTGCGTGAGATGCGTGTTAGGCGTGAGTTTGCACTGCTAGACTCATCCGGTGTGGATCTTGGAAGTACTTCTGAGGGGGGACTGAGGACAGGCACCTTTCGACTGCTTCTTCTGGTGGGTTTAGCGGGCTCTGTAGCTATAAAATTGAGGTTGTTGAGCTCCTCATCGGAGGCGCGAAGATGCTGTGCCGCTTGCTCCAGGTTTCTGTGTGCTTCTGCGGTTTCTCGCCCATTGATATGGTCATCTTCGACATAGAGATCTGGACTCGCTGTTTTGGGTCGACTGCCTGGAACCAGAGCAGATAGGCCGACCTGGCGTTTGAGCGGGGTTTTTCTATGTGAGGCATGGTTACCTTGTGAAGCTTGCATCGATACAGTTGTACCGGATACGTTTGAGACAGAAGATGGAGTGTTGTGTCCAACATCCTTGAACATAGCCGTAGCGTTTTCAGTGCTATTTATAGGTACGTCTGTTGGAGACAGGAGCAGTGATGCTCTTGAGGTGGCACACGACCTGCTGGGTTGATGTCTAAGTTTCACCGCAAGCAATAGTTCTTCCGTCGACTGCAAATCTTCTGTGTCATCGACGTCCGATGGCGCAATGCCGTCCTCGATAGTAGTGGCGTTGTTTCTCGCATAGCTCTTATTGCGGAGACAATTGAAAGCCTTGATCAGAATCCACAAGCGCAGGTAGTACCTCAACCTAAGCAGTCTATTAGCAAGCTCCCTCACACTGATACGTATCTCATTCTTGAGAGATGCACTCACACTGCTCGATCCGCTTGATTCTCATAAGTCAAGTCTCGAGGATAGTTTTCCACGCCATCAGTCGCCTTGAATAACCACGACCTATCTTTCCCTGCTCCCCAGATCTTCGCCCCGAACTTGTTCAACAAGTCTGAGACATCTCCGTCCAGGTCAACATCGTGGATAGCCGTGTTCACTAGATCGCTCGCAATAGTAGGCAGTATACCCACGGTTTTCGCAACGGCGTCCGCGAGCAATTTGACGGTTTGATTGTCGAATTTGGGTTTTCCGTGGTCGGAGATCCGACCATCTGATTGTCGCAGACCTAGGCCCCGAAGCATCATGCCTACTTTCAGAGGACCTGGATTAGAAATGCGACGGGTCCAGAAGACACGATTGTAGGTTGGGAGGTTTGGTGCAGGAGAGTCTTTCGAGCGTGTACCTTGCTCTGCAGACATCTGGAGCTGACATGTATTAGTGGGTCATGCGTAGAATAGTATGTGTTCGATATACCATAGTCTGGTCTTGTGAATCCTGAGTCCTCGTCATCATTCTGTACAGTCGGTAATAGTCGAGAGATGAGTAGAAGTGGTTGTGTGCGACAGATGCTGCAGTGATGCTGATTTCCCAACTATGTTGTGCGTCATAGTACTCTGCTGCCTGGAGACCTGTGCGGAAACTCATACGTTTTCCGAAGGCGATGAGGTCTGGTGTCAAATTCGAGTACCATAATGGGCAGACACTGATATTGACCCAGTCTGTTGGATTTGCTTGGCGCAAACGATTCCGGTTCCAAATTGGGAAGTCAAACAAACTCTTACGTGGAGTTAGAGTACCAACCACACATCAACATCTTACTGGCCTGCTCTGGAATTATCTGCTATGGGTCTTGCAGCCGAACATGATATCTATTATGGTGTGATCCTGGGTAGTGTTACTATACCAGACCACCTACGCTGATCTTGAAGCTCTGAACAGGCATCTCCATGCTCGTTTATTATTTCAGGCTCCCCGTTCATAAAACTTTCCATGTCTCAGTGTTGAACTACCTTTGACTGTCTCAAGAGAATGAATACATCAGTGCCGTACTTGCTTCTATTGTCCACCAGGAAATGATTGGACGCTCTTGCCTACACTCACAACATCATGAACGTAGTGTCCTTGTATTATACACTTGAGCCTCACTTCCCTTCCTAGATTCTGCCTTGCGCTCATCCAATGTTGTTTTCAAAATCCTCTGGTTTACGTCCTTTGTGGCCTTCTGATTGCCAGAAAGTGACTCATGTTGATGTTCGTCGACGCCTTACATCTTCGACTTCCCACCTACGTAGGATGGGAGGTTTAAACTTCGTCATCGACTTCTTATCCCAGAGTGTCCCCAGAACTCCGTGCTTCTATTACACCAGCACATGTGCCAATGCTGGTTATCCCACAGCATCGTGCATATGGTGATAATGCTGGCCACCGCATGACAAGCTTGGGAATTGTGGTTGTAAATCTGGGCTTTGGAACACTCCGACATATGTCTTCGATTGTATTATTCCTGATGCAGACTGCAAAGAAGTGACTCGTTGCTCGTACCTCGATGCGTGAGCCGCGGCGAAGACGACAGAGGGAACGACCGTGGTTTGGGGCGGCGGATTCGCACCAATCGAGTCTGAACGTTGAGTTACAAGCAAGTATCGCCATTTTCTTGCACTCCATGTCAATACTCGCCCCAAGCTTCTGGACGTTAAATGTATCGGGCAGCACAGACTAGTGAATAGCCATGGCCAGCTGTGAGGTAGCGAATGCGCAACATTGATAAGAATGGCAATAATATCATACCATACAGAACAGCCGAGGTAAGACGTAGCAACTCATCATGCGGGATGCATAGTGAGTGGTGAGCAGCAAGCCTGGCGATGAAGTGTCTGTTGCATGTTGCACAAACAAGCCATCCGAGCGACGTGCTGGGCAATCTTACGACAAAGGACAAAGAGCATGACTCCCAGATCCCAGAGGCTTGAACATTGAACAACAAAAGCCTGCTGGGAACTCGACGCGTGAGACTAGCGAGACGTCATGTTCGGGGTTCGGGATGGAAAGGAGGTTCAGGGTCCAGCTCGTCATACAGACGTAGACCCCAGCCCTGTGAAGGTACTGACTCGACAAATACTGTATTCAACATATTTCGAACGATTCATTCATTCAGCATTGACACATAGCCTACGCTTGAGGGTGTTTTTATGTTCGCGAACAAACGTTACGATATTACTACGTACAGCTCCACAGTCTGATGATTACAAAAGAGTTCGTTTTAGTAAAACAATGCGCGTGAAGAAGCAATGTGCTCCGATGTAGTCCTTAGGTTCAAGTAGGCGTCCAAACGCCATCGCTAAGAAGGTCTCAAATCGACAAAGGAAATTTAGAACAAAAAAAAGAGTGACATCCATACTTTTGTGTAGAAGAACTCCGATGCATCCGAAGCATCCGAAGCCGAATTTTATGCGGGCCAGCTGTGATCCACATGTGTATTGGATCCAGGGGTTGCGCTGAAGCCCATTGTGCGTCCAGGCTAAATCCTCCAAATAAGGTGGGCCGATCTTGGAACGAGAGACGGAGTTATCGTCTATCCACAATGATGCGGGCATCCTCTCTCCTCAAGAACTCAAACACATCCATGTTCAGCCGCTCCAACCCATCTTTGAAAATCTGCTCTGTCCTTTCGGTATTCGTCATGATCGAGAACGCTCTGCAGAGAAGATCCTCTGGACTCACGCCGTCAACGGGGCTCATGTTCTTCCACTTCAGTCTCATAGCCCGAAGGTCGTTCATTGCTAGTAACCGGTCGATGAGCCCTGCAGTGTGCACACCAGGTTGTGTAGCGATAGAATGACCGAGGGCAGTGAGGTTTTGACGTTCGTGGAGCCATGCGTTGAATATTTTGAATGTGAGGTCGTAATAGGGCCCTATCGCTGGGCGAAAGACAGCTTCACCCATGTACCAGAGTTGATTTAATCGGTGGAGCACTATCTGTTCGTGTGGCGGTGAGGTGGGGTTGGGGAAGAGGTACTGCATCAGCAGGGCGAGAACTTCGCACTGCATGAGGCGCAGGTCGCTCGTAGCGTCCTGTCTAGGGTCAAATGGTTCAACTGGCTGACTTTTCAAGATTGCTTGTGGTTGGTGTTGCAAAACCATGGGTGGGGGTAGTTGGCTGATTGGTGCAGCAGGGACGTTCTGCGGGTTGGGTACAGCTATGATCTGTGTATTAGGGGCTGAAATAGGCTGGTTGTTACTCGCGGCCTGCGCAAGTGGTGTATTAGATCTACTGGAAGAATGTGGAACGAATGGGCGACCAATTTGTTGACTAGTGGGGGTACTGGCTCGACTAGGTGATCGAGCTGAAGATTGTCGATGGCGGATTTGAGACTGGGGTCGTGATGGCGCTTCATCATGCGACTCAAGCTTTGGCTCGGGATCATGCTGAGCATATGTAGGTTTGAAGGCCTGTTGTTGATGTTGAGGTTGAGGTTGAGGTTGAGGTTGAGGTTGAGGAGCAATGAGTGCATGCCGACCATTTGGAGCTGCGGAGGATTCTCGGTCATTGGTTCCGTTGGTGACAACAGAAGAGTTTGTCGCCTGGGGTCCTTGAGAGGAAGTCATTGTAGCGCCAAGGGAGGGTATAGAGCGCGGCTCAGAAGTACGATGTGGCATAGTAGTGATGTATGGCGTAGACTCGTAAGGGCTGGTGTAGCTGCGAGCATCACTATGATTCTGAGCTGCCGAGTCTCGCTGCGGTTCTTTCGATGGTGCACGAGAATCTTCATGTGCAGACGCTTGAACAGAAGGTGCGATGTTCACAGCTGTGAAGCTCCCGTTGTTCACCGCCGTGAAGCCAGTGGACCCTGGTGCCGGAACAACACTGGGTGATCTTGAAACCTTGTCGAGCTCATTACTTAACAGATGACTAGGTTGCGACCTTGCAGGCTCAGGCCCAGAAGCTGCGGGTGACGAGAGGCGACTCAGTTTGCCTGTAAGATAGCTTGGAACGGGTGGGATATGCTCGTTGCCATTGGCACCTGCTGGAAAGAGAGACTTGAGAGCTTTACGGGGACTATTACTCCTTCTTCCAATGGGCATAGTGTGATATGGTCGCTTTGCAGGCGGTGACAAGTGATCTTCACCATCTGAGATTGACGTGTGCATACCGCTCTTTCTCTTTTTGCCATTGATTGCTTTGACGTCAAGCTCAGCCCCAGCAGATGCATCCCGATTTGGCGTGAGCGACTGCGGTGTCCCGCGTGGTGACTGGGAAATTGATCAGAATTCTGTGCGAAAAACACGGAAAATATGGAAAGACAGAGCTAGAGACATTGCAGGACTTACACCACCCTCGCCATCCAAATCGACAGTCGAGTCATTGTCGTTTATACCCGAAGCTCTCTTAAGCTTCATGTTTCGAATATAGTAGCATGCTTTGATGATGATCCATCGATGGAGATGTATCTTGAGACTGCAACGAAGTTAGGGCATATTCTGACACAACCTTGTTCATCAACTCACATTTCCTTATGTTCTGGCTCCTCGTACAACAGGTCTTTGTTGTATGTCTTCTTGGTGGGGTCAGGGGTGAGCAGGCAAGTACGATCCGCATCTCTGCCCCAAATAGCGGGTCCATAAGTACCGAGCAGCTCCTCGAGCTCGACATCCAAGCTGATCGGATCAGCGGCAAAATCAAGTAAAGTATCCCTCTCTTTTGGTAGTTCCTTAGACAGCTTTGTGACTTCACTTGACAGCTTGCGATAGTCGGGATTGTCGAATTTGGGGATGCCGCGATTTGTTGTTGAGCTGGAGGCGGACAAGCCCAGACCAAGGCACTCGGTTACTTCCCGTATCGTAGGACTGTGGCTGCTGAACACAGAAACCCATCGGCTTCGATCCCATCGCTTCACGCCGTGTTCGAGATCATATGCCAGATTATCCTTGGAGCTCATGCTGAAGCATAGATAATGACGATGAGATGTGTTGTTGATGAACGTTGCCCAGATGAGGAATGGCTGACAAGAAATTGGAAGGTAGGAAGCCACTAGCGTAACCGGCGTCTCGGGAAAAATCGCCTTATGCCTTTGCGTATGACAAAGTACGAGGTTATCGTATCTCAGACGCCGGCTGTACTACTTCAAAGTCTACGCGCCGCGCAAACGGTGAGAAAAGATGGTGTTGTAACGTGTAAGAGACTGCAGAGAAAACTATCCAGAAGCGAGCAAAATCTAGCCGGGCAAATCTTACGCGTCCACATTCGTATATGACTCGTGCTAATACAACTTGGCGATTGGTTCGGAACAGGGGGCCTGCACTTGTGTGGATTGTAGATGGCTACCGGATTATGTGATTAATTTTGCACTTAAGATTTATGCTAGCTTACAAAGGCCAAACTATCCCGCGGTAGCGGCCACGACTGTCAGCGAATAAGCACGGCTATCACTCTCTGACCATGACAATCATACGATAACGCTATTTACCCAGTTCATCTCGTCTATGACGCGCTGGTCCTGTTTGGATTCCTACGTGCGTACCATCTAGCTCATAGGGGTACTGTTAAGTGTAATGCTCGTGCGCCTGTTCATTATTTGCTACAAAACAGTAGGCTGCTTCGGCTACCTACCTGCAGGTCCAACGCTCGTTATGTAGCGGTCTGTACGCAGCTTCCATCGCTCGTTTCGAGTATCTTATAAAGTTGCCATAGTCCTTGTGGCGAAAACGACAGTTTCCTTATTTTGAACGATGTGACAACGCCGTGAAGCGGCGAGTTCCACACAAATCCAGAGACGTGGTCCAAGATGATTGCAGGACTAATCAGACTACGCGGACGCGTGTCCTTGGCAGGCCCGAGATGTCAGCTGGTTAAATCAAGCCAGCGTCTTGTGTCGAATTTCAAAAGAGATCAGCGATCGAGCTGGTTGCGCGTTGAATTGATAGGCTTACAATTCGAACATGCCGTCACAGGCATCGCTTCTTGGAAGTTAGAAAGACTTTTTGCAACGGTCTTGGGATGTCTGCGACAGTCCTAGACTAGCGTAATCCTACACGGATTTTGGAACATCCTGAGAAAAGCTGAAACATGTACCGCCGACCGCAACTGATCTCTCAGGTTTGAACGTTTGAACACGCGGCGGCAAAAGTAATAAATCTCGACTCTGTCGTAAGAGCGCCTAAGATTTTGGGTAATCGACGAATACACGGACACTACACTCAACAATACAATACACTACCCAGCATACCACAGCATCTCCCTCCCCTCCTCTTCCTCCTCGCTCTGGAACGTCTGCAAGTGAGTGCATAGCCACTGCACCACGGCCGTGAACTCAACGCCCTTCCACATCATCTCGACAGCGTACTTTTCTCCTGCGAGAACGGCAAATGATTGCCGTAACAGTTCGTCCTTGTCGACTACGATGTCAGTTCCGAGACCGAAGCCTTTCCCGATGTCTTCGAAGTTTGCGAGAATGCTTTGTGTACAGCCCATCAAGGTTTTGTGTTGTTGAATACGCCGAGTAATCTCAGGTGCGCTGTGACCTTCCGTGCGCCAGCCTAAAAGTAAGTGAGTAAGAGATGTTGACAAGATGCATGAGAAGTTGATAGGGATTTATGAACCTACGTTTATCCGCGCGTTCGAGCGCTGCCATGTGTCTCTTGAGTTCGATCCATGTCAGAAACGCGCGCTCCCTTGCAATGAAGACTGGGATGTTGTCGACGATCTTGTCGAAATCGGCCCTTACGCCGTCTCGCCACATTTGCTCGAGGCGGTTGAGCAACACTTCCTCATCCCATTGCGCGCTACCTTCCTCTCCGTAGATGTACGATCGGAGTGCTCTTAGGCTATCATAGTCCAGGCCACGATAGGGTACACTGTTGCGCTGTTGTGGCATATCTTCAACTACTGTATCATCTGAACGGAAGCTCGTCGCAATCTTCGCAAGCTCATGGCTCACTTTCCGGTCGACGTCGACTTGTTGCTGTGCGATGGCAATGTGCTGTTGCGATCGTGCGTCATGGTCTACTGTTTGTGAACCCGCGAGCGCTCTACTCCAGATACCTTCGACAATGTTTTGAGGTTGCTGCACGCCCTGGGATTGGTTCGTGCCACTTACATATGTAAAGCCAGGCCCATCTTGATCGTGATAGTCGGCAGGAGGACTCTCACCCGACTCTGGAGGTGTAGACATAGCGCTTCCATACGACGCTTTATCGGCCTGTAAGACGTTTGGCACAAGCGGAACGAAAGAAGTACGTGCAAGGGTCTCCCCATTCGTACTTTGACCCGACAGTTCGGCTTCAGCTCTGGCTTTCCGGTCCTCCTCTTTCTTCTTCTTTTCGCGCTCCAAGCGCTCACGCGCGAGGATGACGTTACATCCTTTGAGCCCTATCCACCAATGTAAAAGCATGTGGATCCTAATATCAAATCCATTAGCAAACACATGAAGTAATCCGCTTGTGTTGACGCTCGTCCATCTTTGCAGTGAAAGGAGTTAAAACTTACAGCTGTTTGTCCTCCTTGTTTTCGAAGTATAAGTCTTTTGGATATACCCCCTCCCCCAAACCCGTCTCATTTGCCGTGAGTAAGTGTTCTCGCTCCCCCACTTTTCCCCATATCTTATTGCCATGTACCTCCAACAGCTCATCAATCTGCTTTTTCAGACTGTTTTCCTCACTCATTGTCTTGATCAAATCGTCCGACTCTTTCGGCAACGTCGAGACAACATCGCTCATATGTGATACCAAATCACGCACTAACGCAGATTCGAAGTTGGTCTTGCCGCGCTTATTGGAAGACCATTTTGCGCGTAAGCCGAGTCGTTCGATGAGCTCATGCATGCGCACTTTGGATCTGTTTTTCAAGATGTCGAGCCAGTCTTTCGACGTTGCGTAAGTGATCGATTTACCTTCCATGACGGGAGGTGTGTGCATGTATAACAATCGCAAAGATATGCCAGATAGAATGTGTATGGATAACAAATTGGGTATCAGTATTCCGACTCGTTGGTGGTGTTCGTTTTCGGGTGTTTGTCGATCTAGGATGGCGAGTGTAATGCGTAGTAGGCACGGGTTTCCCTTGTTGCGTCAGTCGCAGTCGCGCTTGACCTTGTGCCGGGAAGGGACCAAGAAAAGCAGATAAGGCGGCCCCGGTAAAGATATGAGGGTAATCAGGGTATATTATTCGGCTTTGAAAAGCATTGAAAACGACTGGAAATGGAATTAGTATACAATTGATGAAAAAGAACGAGGGCTAAGTGTCGCGTGGAGGACTGGAAGGCTTCGCGCGCAAGGATTAAAAGAGGCCAGACCCAACAGGGCAGGCGGCACTAGATGGCAATACTCGCACATTGGTCAGCTAGTCAGATCGTCTTACACAAACTCCGCGCCACGCGTTTGACCGCCCATGGATCGTTTTTCAGGGCTGCCCCTCCTGATGAATGATTGTACCAGATTTTCCAGTAACTGACCCGAGGTTCGCCACCAGGCTCAACTAGAAACCACTCAATACCCCATGGCGAACCACAAAGTGATATGCTCCACCTTCTTCAACACTTTTCCCGTACGTCCTACTTTACCGAAAAACCTACAGAATTCTTTGCACTAGATAAGCGAGAAGTTCATAAAACTACAATAGGGTTATCACGGTACACCTGTCTTGGTAGCCTCAAATAGTTCCACATGAGCCACTCAACGGCCGATACACCTCAGATATCTACCATATGCCCAAAACACAACAACATATCCAAGGTAACAACCCGATTACAACTCGATTTTTTAAAGCTTCGTGCTAGTGCTTAGGTGCCAAGTATCTATTAACGGTGAAGCGGATGAAATTCACGATGAGAACACAGCTAGCTTCACGTGGCAGTAGCCAAACAGGGACTTTGACGATTTGAGTAGGAACTGACACCTTGATGGAATGAAGCCATGCGATAAAATCAAGCTCGATGTGGGAGAAAATATCTCTGACTGTGGCGGGAGAAAACCTACGTTAGTGTGATGTGTCTGTCCAGATGTATGATTCGCTTCCCTGGTCGCATTGAAGTTGGATCACCAAGTTTCCGCGGCCGGTGGAGATGTGTGGGAGACCGTTACTAATACTTATATATACCGTTGCGCTACGCGTTGTAATAGTCACATTGTATTTTGGGTCCTGATCTGTTTGTAAAACTACTCCCCAAGTTAATCAAGAATGTAGGTTGTCGGGGAGTAACCAGGGCTATTGCAAGTTCCGTACTCTAACAAGTAGCCTGTTTGAAGCCAAGGCTACCAAACACGTTTAGTGTAGGCCATGGTTAAAGCATGCATGGATGAGCGGCTCCAAGAAGAATCAAATGAAAGACTAGTTGCTGACGTCCCTCAAAATCGAACGCTGCTAGTTCTGGCGGAGGGGTTGATGTTTGGAGTTACAGACGAAAATCGAGAGCATCCTGAACACAGTCCACTTTGCAAGGTTGAAGCGCAAACAGGCTCACTGTGTATAACAACCGATGGCACGTTCCAAAGTCGCCGAAGAAGCCCTGGACCGCGGCGATAGTTTCGTAGTGACGCTTGCTGCCACCGATCTTTGACACAGGGCGTCGCACGTGGCGGTCATCAGGGTCGACACGGTTTTGGCCTGGCGGGTGAAGTCAAAAGAGCAAATGGTGAGAAATAGACGTGCGGCTTCTAGGTTATGAGAATCAGTGTCAAGTACAATCGAAGCTCGCTTCTGCTTGTCGACGGTGTTGCAGAGATCAGACCACTCGGAGGTTAGGTCGGCACACAGCCGTTACTTCTGGCTTAGGTCAGCATGTCTAGCACCCATAGACGGAGGAGTATCATCAGATCCTTCTCCAGACATCCATCCATCATCTCTTCAAAACTCTCTTTATGTTTATTGTTGAAATATGATGATCTACCAGCATAGAATGATGCGTTGTGGCAGTGAGATATGCTACCAATTGCGGCAGTTCAGCCCTCAGCCTCGCAGCCCGCTGCAGACGCCTCTTGAGGCTATAGGTCGTATTTTTAGTACCACCAGAGCCCGAAGGAAATGAGAATCACAGCGACGCTGGAGTTCTTCAGTCTTCCTTCTTCCTCTCTTCCATCGCCTGATATTACGAAACTTTCCTATCCTGTTCCTACCCTCCCAGCTCTGCCAGCACAGTCGCAAAAGCTACCTCGGCCCGAATCGCGTAACAGTTCTAAGGTCACAAGGCTGAACCTGACATTACTTGATCTGACGTCTTGTGTGCGCCTTGCGTAACTTTGGGGTTGCAGCTTCCAAATCGAGCGTTCACAAGAGACTGAGCCGATTGGAGGGCCAGGCTGGAATTGCCAACCCCTAGGCTGTAAGGCAGCTTCAGCCGCAGGGAGGATTGCTGTCGAACTGTTCCGATCATCTGATCGATCTTTCTGACCTGTTGACAAGTGTAACGCCTAAGCATCGGAATATCTGAACAGTGGAAATTTCAAACGTTATTGAGTGAGACCGCCGAGGCAGTAGCTATGGAGAAAATACCATCTCCCCTCCAAACCGGCGCGCCTGCGTCTCTCAGAAGACTCTCAACCGACTCGGTTCCATCTTCCCTTCGTGTGGGTTCTCCAGCCGTCGAACGCGGATCTACGCCATGGGATGATCGACCACCTCTTACGCGCAAGAATACGTCTGGCAGATCCGATAGACTCTCGCAACTCTTCCCGTCTCGACCGTCTTCAATCGCTTCACCCAGTCCACCAAGCAGTACTACCGCCTCGAGACGCACGTCTTATCCTTCACCTCTTGTACCGGCTGCGGAGTCTCCATACCGAGTACCACATGCTCCGGCACCCCCCTCATTCGCCCAGGACACCTCGTACAAAACATCGCCCTTTGTTCAGCATGACACGTCTCAGTCATTACTGAGTAGTAGTGGGTCGAAGCGGCTCCTGGATCGGCTCGTATCTTTGCGGGGCACAAGGACTAAGGGCGCGGACTACTTCAAACTAGAAGATGAGGAGTCGGGACCCAGTAGAGGTCATTTGAAGGGTGTCAAAGAAGTGGATGAACCGGTGGGATTTGATCTTAGTGGCCTGAGTGGCATGTCTATGAGGAAGTATAAGCCGCGGAAAGGTGTAACCCATACAGCTGACGCCATAGATCGCCAGCGCGATCTGAACGAGGCTGGCTACGCTGCCGAGTTTGAAAGACTCGAGGCACAACTGGGAGCTGGTATGAGCTCCATCGTCGAGAGGCCTTTCACGCACGAATCTGGTCAGCCCGAACAGGCTCTCGGCGATGATCATCAGCGAATGTTATCAAACTCAGAGATTGTGAGCGCTCAAAAGAAGGATGCACAAAAAGAAGCCGAGAAGACCAGCAAGATTGTTGCTGTGGCTGAAGTACCTATTGATATTAGTGAAAGCTTTGCAGGCGGCGACTTCGAGGCAAGAAGCATGATGACAGCCCATAGTGGGCGGGACGGAGACGATGCGCAGACCAGCTACTACTTCCCGCCAGGTAAATAACACAGCCATGTATAATCAAACACTAACGATTATACAGACCCTGAACAGCCGTCATGGCGACCCTTCACTATGGCCTGGTATTGGATACTCATGCTTACCATTCTTGCTATTGCGTTAGCTGTATTGCAAGAATTCTTGTGCCAGCTGTCCATGCGCCGAGTCCGAGACAATCTCAACGGTGGATTAACAAAACCATTCAAGGCAACTGGGGAGCTATCCGTCCTTGTCTTCTTTACCTGGAAGTACGCGCCCATCATGTCGCTCGTCTTCTATGGAATTCTGTGGCAAATGACGGATTTTGAGGTCAAGCGACTGGAGCCGTTCTATCAGCTATCCAAAAAGACTGGTGCTACGGCAGGTGAATCGCTCAACATGGACTACTTGACGTTCATGAGTTGGTTGGTACCACTAAGAGCTCTGCGACACAGGCAGTACGCTGTCATCTATAGCTCTCTGGGTACATTGATTGCGAGCAGTCTCGTTCCTGTTCTGCAATCTGCGTCAATCATCATGTACCCACCTAAAAGCCATCGCAAACCCGACGACTGGAAGTCTGTTCGCGTTGATCCCCCTTGGTCTAGGGCTGTCTCAGCTTGTCTCCTTGTGGTTGCTTTTCTAGGACTCCTACTAATGTACGCGATGCGACGGAACAGTGGTCTTCAGTCGAATCCTATGGGAATAGCCGGAGTTGCGGCTATGGCTACTAAGAGTCACATTCTTACAGACTTTTATGGACTCGACACAGCGCCTCTAGACAAAATCCACAAACAACTGAAGAATCGTCGGTATATCCTGCATAAGAGCTCGCTGTGGCAAGGAGAATACATCCGCAACAACAAAGAGAAGATCCACGAGCATGGCTCTGATCCTCGACCCATGATGCTACGTTTGCGATCCGGGGTACCGTTCATCGCATACATGGCCCTTTGTGCTCTCACTATCCCCATCTTCATGTTCGTCAGAGGAGCAGATATCATCACGGAGAAAGTGCCTATCCTCATGACCAGCCTCGCAACTATAGTAAAACTTCTCTGGAACACAATGAATTGCGATATCCGTATGCTCCAGCCATTCTACATCCTTGCGCAACGCCGCGCTCCCGCGAAGACGCTGACCCTGGACTACTCTGGTACAAACCCCTTGTACCTGCCTTTGAAAGCGCTCCTCAATAGACACTATCTTGTCGCGCTCGTGGCCTTTGGAAGTCTTTTAGCTGAGATGCTGACGGTGTGTGTATCGTCAGCATCTAGCGTTGACGGAAAGATATTTGTCCCTGGTCATAAATTCGATACCCCTGACAACGACAACGACGACAACGACGACGATGCTGATGACCCAAACAAGTCTAACAACCGTCAAAACACTGACCAAACATTCCGCTCCTTTTGGTCGTCCTTCTTCCTCACAATGTGCATCCTCGTCTACCTCATCATCGTCGCATGTATAGTCTACAAACGCCGCGCGCACAAATTCATACCCCGCCAAATCGGCACTATGGCGTCTGTTCTAGCCTTCATCCACCAGAGCAATATGCTAGTCAATTTCGTAGACACAGAGAAGTTTAGTTCGAGAGAAATGACGCAGCATCTGAGTAAAGGAGGCAAGACGTATGCACTGGGTTGGTTCCAAGGCAGAGACGGGGATGACCATATGGGTATTGATGAGGAGCCCATTCTGGCGAGGTATCGTTATGGAGTTGATCGGACCAAGACGAGGATGCTGGGACATCAGATTGGGACGTGGGAGAACTATTAGAGGACGGACCCCTCCTGCGAAGGAAATGTAGATAGGTGGTATGTTGTTTAGCAGAACGATCCCATCCATATTGAAGGACTGGATGGCATGATTATTATCTTTGAATGTTCAAAACAATTCCTTCGTAATTCTCCTGTAAACCTCCCATATTCGCAAGCTCGACTCCGAAACGCCACCATGCTGGTATAACCCTCTGCTTCATATACCGTCGTCCATCCCAAGTGTATATTTATGTAGACTCCCTCGGCAGTGACGCCTCCTAATTATCACTGTTGACATTGGCAACAAGCCAATCCATGCCTTCGTCCACACCCCTCCCATCGACTGCACTACACGCCACAATACTCCAATTCCGATCCTTCAGTTCGCCCAATCGCAATGCCTCGCTGATCTCTCCCGCGCCCTTTGCTCCCGGCTGATCCTGCTTGTTCGCAAATACTAGCAGAGCAGCGTCACGCAGCTCTTCTTCGTTTAGCATGGCAGATAGCTCTTCGGATGCGGTGGTCAGACGGTCGATGTCGGTACTGTCGATTACGAAGATTACGGCCGCGGTGTTGGCGTAGTAGCAGCGCCAGTACGGGCGAATAGATGTTTGACCGCCGAGATCCTGAGGAGGTATTAGAAAAGGGTTGAGAGGAGAGAGTTTGGCGAGGCTCACCCAAACATTGAAATTAAGGTTCTTGTATGTTACTGATTCGACGTTGAAGCCTATTGTTGGTATTGTCGTTACGACTTCCCCGATCTAGAGTATATGTCAGAACATACTTCTCTTCTCAAGTGTTGTCTAAGTCCATAACTACTGGCATACCTTCAATCTGTACAACAACGTCGTCTTGCCCGCATTATCCTGCGTATGTGATCAGCACATCTGCCCTGAAGCTGTGGTCTAGGCACCAGCCCGTACAAGTCCTAAGATCAATATCCGCGTCTCTTTCTTCGCCCAGATCAGAGCTGAGAACTTGGACATATAGCCACCCATTCTGTCTCAGCTGTGTCGTTTGCGCCGTTATTTGTGTCTGTATGCGGCGTTGGCACCGTTAAGGGAAATGTGTCGCCAGAAAGTTTGCGTGGGGTGGAGAAGACGCGATAGTTTGATGGGAGGGGTGGTCGGTTATCGTATTATGCGTATAGGAGGTGGAAAGTGCAGCGTCGGTGTCGTGTAGAGAGGCGATGATGCTGTCTGGCCAGAAAGTTAGCCAGCGCCGATCCGTGGCTGATGCAAACAAGCCAAACGTCGCGCATCCAGGGTCTTCGGCGGAACGGTTGTACCGATCGCCGATACAGGCTCTCAATCTCGCGTCTTGAACTCATCCACCAAGACTCGTGGATATCGTTACCAGGTGGATCGGCTTCAGGCATTTACTCAACAACAAACGAAAATAATGAATGTGTCGAGGTAGCTTTACCCCAACGGCGTCACTGACACCTGCAAAACCTCGCTCTGGCCACCAATACCCTCGAGAGTCGCGATAACACTTTGCCACGCATTTTGCAAGCGATGGAACACTGCGTGAAGTGGACATAGCGAGTCATGAAACATGTGGAGACACAGAGTGTCGTGCAAACAGCAAGCCCAAGAGTATGGAAACCATGGCGACGTGACTGCTCTATCATTCGCCAACGCCAGTATTGAGAAGTACGATCCCAACGACCCTAGACCATATCTATAACAGAGAGTAGCATTGCTTAGTGTTCCCTCGTATTAATTCATATCTCAAAGGCAGTTGCTTCCTACTGTTTAAGTCTTCGGCGTCTCAATTCCCTCCTGAGTTCAGTCATAGCGTAAGGCCGCGCCGCCCAACTCTCCTTCTCACTACATCATCAAGTTTTTCACCAATTTTGTAGAAAGGAATGTTAAGGGACAAGAAAGCACGTCCACGATGACTAGCTAATGGGACATGATTCTGTAACTCGCTCTGGACGTCGATTTTATCTATGGTCACTGTTCACTTTCCCTCTGTTCATCACCCCTGTAACGAGTAGAAGGTGTATGTATCTCGACGATTCATTTAGGTTGCCAACAACAGTTCTTGGGGAAATCCTTTGACAGTTATTGCAAGGGTTCTGAGTTTGAGTAGAAGAAGCTCTACATGTGCGGATCCATGTACGTTGACGACGATCTTTGGACAAACAAACCATTGGACTTCAAAGAAAACAAACAACTCAGATCAAAACGCTATTGCTGTTTACCAATTCTGTTGAGCATAGGTGCTTCACGTCCAATCTCTGTGTTGTCTGACTATCGTCGGGAGGATAACTGCAGAAACACGAGTCTTTCCCGCAACAAGGTCACCGGGCGTAACGACGTTACCCTTTCACTGCACGATATCTAGCAAACAATTCTTAGCAGCTTTGAACTCATAAAATCTCCGCCTCGCGCAAAGTTTCCTTGTCCCCGCTTTCGTTTCTACTCAACCCTCAACCAAGACGGAGAGCGCCATCTGATTTTTCAACACAGTGCTGTCCCTTTCCGCCTAGATCGCAAAATGGCTCGTCGTGGAAAGCGTAGTCCGAACGCTGGAGGTCGTAAGTTTCATCACGCGAATCTTATACAAATTCGACATGGTTGACATGCTACAGAAGCAGGCGTTGCGATCAGCCCTCCACCTGCTCAGGGGTCTGATTCCGTCACGTCGAGCGCCAGTAACGCGCCCTCTCAGAGTACGTCCGAAGCCTCTGGTACAGATGGAAACGCCTATTTCGTTGAGTTCGATGGTTTCCAACCTGACCCCGAGGCCGACTTCGTCAAAGAATTCCACCGCTTAGCCATCCACGAGCACTGGTCCAAGAAGGAAAAGAAGATACGCCGCGTGGAAGCCGAGTTTGCTCTGCATTACGGTACGGACGTGAGCAAACTCGAAAAATGGCAAGACTTGTGTCGTGATCTCAAGATTAAACATGTTCCGGGGTCAATCACAAAGTGCAAGAAGGTATGTTGCCACGCTTAGTTCCCAAGTGACATCGCCTAAAGATATCCCAAAGGCCATCAAGTCTGTTCACGTCAACATATTCGACTTTATCGAACATCGCTGCGACCCTCAACGCTTCAACCTCGACACCCACAAGAGCTTCAAGAACTTTCGCGAGGACATGGTTGCAGGGAAGATATTTCCGCTGAAACGGGCGAAGGAGGGTACTTTCATCAAGGCCCTTCTTCGACCGGTGTTCTAGGTAAAGAGTAGCTAACCAAGGCATGGCATAGACTGATGCTTGTTGTACACTGGTTGCCCAGTTCATCATGATCAAGCGTCCGCCGTCTTCGCTATGATGCAGTCACAATATCGGCTTTCTTGTTCCTCTCTGGACTAGAGTCCAGCCATGATGCGCTTAGGTAGCATGAGGACATGGTAGACACCTCACAAACACTAGATAATCAATCGAATCGTAATGATTTAGTGAATCTCTCGTTCTCGTCTACTTTGATGTGTAATAGGTTGCGCTGGAGCACTCTGTCTTCACCCCGAGGTTCCCCCATCCGGAACTCTACAATTCCGGACCACAATCAACCATCCAAACCAACTTGAAAAGTCACACCCGAACATCTCCCGGTCCAACATTCATTCCACCGTGCTCACACAGACCAAACCATTATTCCAGCCTCGACCAGTCGACCAGTAGAGTTAAACAGAAAGAATGCTGCCTAATGAGATCTTCAATCCCTTCGCAACCACTGGACGAACCGTAAAACTACCAAGACAGTACCAAAAACCTTTTTTAAAATTCCACTGGTTCTCAGTACCAAAACAGCATACCCAAACCCGGTCCCCTAACGAACGAGCCCGGACTTCAAATCTGTGATTAAGTATATAAGGAATTTCCGTCTTTCTCTACAAGACCTTTTTGTTATCCAACACTCACAACATTCACACACCACCCAAAGCCAAACCACCAAAAAAACACTATCCACACCACTACAAAGTACTTCCCCCCCCCTATTTATAAGTAAACCAACCCCATACTAACCACCCCCCAGAATGCGCACCACCACCATCCTCGCCGCTGGCCTCGCCAGCCTCAGCCTGACCGTCTCCGCCGCGCCCCTCAGCGCCGCCGAAACACTCACCGTCCTCTCGACGGCGTCATCAACGACCAGCGCGCCCGGCATCGCGCCCACGTTCATCGACGGCAAGTGGTGCGAGAACCCCATGCCGAACAAGGACGGCATCGTGTGCGTCGTGCCGTACCAGCTGTCCGATACGGTTCGGCAGTGCTTTTGGTGCTGGTTGGATTGTAGGATTTGCCCCAAGAAGCCGAGAGGGGGTGGTTGAGGGGGGATCTCGGAGTTGTTTTCGGGGGCGGGTGGTTGGTTGGTTCGCGGGTTTGGGGTCCGGTTCGAGGGGGGGAGGGGAGAAGTTTGGGTCTGGATGTGATTTTTTTTCAACTTTTTTTTTCATTAGTGCGCTTTTTTATATAAGCGTTAGGGGTGTTTTATGCATTGTTTCCAAAAGTACATGATCTCATGCCTATGTGACTGATGTGATGCTTGGTACTGCGAAGTGTGGAAAATTTCGTCGTGGTTGCCTATTGTAGTCGCCACGCCCATTTCACCAGATGAAAAAATTCGAAAATAAATGCTTCACATGAAACAGGCTGGGCGCATACCGCGAAGAATCAAGGCACTTAAACTTCATATTGAATTGGTTCGTAGTTGTCCAGAGGTCGCAAATCCTGCTATAATTTCCAGTTTCTACACGCCTTGTCCCTGGCCTACATTCTCACTATCTCCACCCACCTTCTGAATCGCCACTCCACCAGTGATCCTCCCATCCACCGCATTAGCAAAGTACCCCTGCACAGGCATCAACTTCCCGCCCTCCTGTAGGCCCGTGATAAACTGCTGTCGCAAGTCGCGATGTGCGTCGAACAACGCGTTCCAACTTGCGTTTAGAGGGGCGGACTTTGCAATGATGTTAGTCGATGGGGTAGCCCAGTACATGACTAGGATGTCGAGGGTTAATTTACGGAGGGGAGAGGGAGAGACGATCGAGTTAGAGGGCTTCGAGGTGGTAGTAGATACGTGAGAGGAATCAGAGATGGGGGGAAGAGGTGGAGAGGGATCTGTATGCACCCAGATGTAGTCTACCAGCGCGGGCGTGAGGAAGAAGTGCGTTCCGATGGCGGAGTAGATGTGGGTTGTCGCATAATTCATGAAGCTTGTTGCGCTCAGACGTTGGGCGAGAAGCCATGCGCGGATCGAGGGAGGGATGGTGGAGTCGTGCACTGATGGTGTCTGTAGCGATGGTGCCGGTGATGGTGCAGGAGTAACGAGCATATTGGTAGTACTTGGGGGCGTGAGTGGTCCTTGGGGAGTGTCGGTGTTGTCTGGTGTGCTAGCCGGTGGTGAGGCGTAGGGGGAGTGGGATGTCGGTATCGTCGAAGTCGTCATGCGCGGGTTGTACATGGTCGAGATTCGACTATCGACTGTAGTAGGATAAGAACCCATGTAGATGAATTTCAAGAACAGGCCGAAGATCATGGGGTCGACGTCTGGGAGCTTGATCACTGCTTCTGTCTTCTCGAAATCCTGCTTTGGTTCGTCTGCTTCCACTTTCATGACTTTTTCGTCACCGTCCGGGCTGAGTTTGCGCTTCTTGTTGGCGGCCGTAGCCGTGGAGAGCGAATTGAGGCGCGTAATCTCGACTCTGAAGTAGATGGAATGCGCACAAAGGAGCTTTACTGGGAGGGTATAGCGTGGAGCTTGAGGACCGGTCCCGACGACGACGACTATCGCAGAGCCTTGGAGCCTAACCTTTTGTTAGTTCCAGGCTGAATTAGGGACGATGTGGTGGACTCACATTTCGAGAAACATGTCTGGATGAGCGTATCGGCCAGATGTAGAAGGAGCCGTAGAGGTTTTGATAGCTGGATGACTGACTGGCGATGATGCGGGAGTTTGTTGATGCATTGTTGGAGAATAACTTGTAAACTGAGGCGTAGAAGTTATTGTTAGTTCTAAGTCTACAGGTTTAGGTAAGAGAGTGCGGTATCGAGGCATGGTGAGAGAGTTGAGCGAAGAAGACGTCGAGTGAGACATAAGCCTAACCCGGATCAAGGTGCGAGGTGAGATACAAGAGGTGAAAGTGAGATAGCGTATTCATGACGGCGCTAACTGCCTTTACTCAAGCTCGTGTGCTTGGTCTGCAAAGGGAAAGCGGTTCAGGGTAAAGAATAGACAACTGAGCTATCACCAGGCACGAGCTATACTAATTACGTCTGGCTTCATGCAAACTGGTTGGATAGTGGTTTACACATGTGTTGGGGACTTTCTGACTATCATGTGTGCTTATAGTGAGGAAAATTGGTGTGTTCTAGGCTTACCGTTCTTTCTTAAAACCTACAAATAAAGTTCTTCTCTTCACACTGTTTATGTTCTTATCTAGGTATGTAGCAAGTCAATAAAAAATAAACGTCTGGCATTAGAGAGCAAGATACGGAATTTTAACGTATCCATGCATGAGTTTTATGTGTCTGGGACGATGCACCGTTCTTGCTCTTCTGTTACAGTTTGGACCTTCACATACCACTTCCATACACTTCATTAAGCGTCCCTTTTCTCTTATCCATCGCTATCCTACTCATCGGCTTCCAAGTATACAGGTAATGGCCTGAGCTTGGGGTTACCAGATTCGTTCAGAGCCGACCTGGCTATTTTGAAGAAGATCTCTCGGTTAAGATCTGGGTATTTCTTCAGAACCTCATCCCAATCCTCTTGAAAGTCTTGGATTTTATCCAGGTACACAACCTGTTGGCAAACAATATCCAACATGAAGTTCCGAAGAGGACTGCCTTCTGCAGTGTTGGTCCAGCAGTACTCAACCTCTTGCGGCAAGACCTCGTCGAGGATTTCGCCCCCCGTATAATAAACCTTGTAGATTTTCTCCATAACCATGTTTTTGAACTCCTTTGCCAAGATCCGGTCACCGAGTACCCACAGGTGAAATACACGCCATACGTTGTCCATCATGCCCATGCTAAGTATTTCGGGGAGTGTGTCGAAGTAGATCCATTGCACAAAGATCTGGAACATCCGAGGTTCGCAGTCAGGCAACACAATCTTGTTCTCAAAGCCTTCCTTGAAAGTTTCGTTGCAAGCCTTGCGGAAGAACTCAGAATGATGACTGAGCAGAGCCTTGGGGATGTTCCACTTCGCGGTCTTGTTTCCCCTAATCACACTGACTTCCATGGAATCTCCCTGCAGTCTGTATATGTCAGCAAAGCCCCCAGTGACATTACACGCGCATATATGTACTCACAGAGGTATCATTTTCGCCTGATGCGCGTCTTGCTTTTTCATCACAGCGTCTGCGGGCTCGGCCATACTGTACCTATCTTGTCAGCGAGTTACGCAATCATGCCGTGATAGCTAAAAATTACTTGTTCGTCTTTGCAGAGTTGAGGAGTCTTTTGGTTACTTGCTGAGTAGCGCAAGCGTGGGACAGGTTTGTGTGTGAGGTAAGAGATGAGGCAGTTGGCAAAGCAAAAGGTGGTGGATCTAAGCTAACAGTGAAAGTGAGTGATCGATGATGACGATTAGTTGTAGATGCGAAAGGAACCGTTTGACGTGACAGGTCGGCGCCAGCGGTGAAAGTGAGTGCAGTCGCGCCAAACGTTCCTGCCATTCCCGTCAACCCAAAAGCCCTCAAGTCCCGATACATCACACCCACACACTCAAACCCAACAACCAGAAGAAAAGATAGCCATTCCAAGTGTCTCCACACCCACACCCATCCCTACAGCCCTGGATATAAGAACGCAACGACGCTATACGCAGGTCGCCATGTGAACCCCCAGAACTCCAAGCTCCAACCCATCCCAGCCCAAAACACCCCACTCGCAAAAATCTCAGTTAACCGCTTTAAGCCTGCACATCAACGGCGTCTTCTGCCACAGGATAAACGTCTCTTGTTCCGCCCAATCGCCGCTCTCAGCACACAGTTCAAGATCGAAGTTATACAGCACCTTTGAGATAACGAGTCGGATCTCATGGTACGCCATGCTGTGGTAAAAGTCAGTCCATGCTCCTACATAAAACGTCGCAGAAAAAAGAAAAAAGGGGGGAGACATACTTCTTGCCCACACAATCCCTAGTGCCAACCGAAAACGGCTGCACAGCTTGTCGCTGATCGGCCTCGAACTCTGCACCTCCCAGCCAGCGCTCCGGGAGGTATTCCATCGGCCTGGTGAAGTTCTTCTCGCTGGTGTACATGGCGAGTTGCGGGATGGTGAGGGTGGTGCCGGGCGGGACAAAGGTGCCTACGATGGTGCTTCCGTCCTGGGGGACGAGTCGGGGGAGGCCGAGGGGCACGGGAGGGTACAGACGGAACGCCTCCTTTATGCACGCGGCGAGGTAAGGCAGTGCGGCTAGGGTTTCCATAGTCATGTCGTCTGCGCTGGTGAACGCGGAGCGGATCTCGTCGACGACTTGGGCCAAGCATTTGGGGTTCCGGAGGAGCAGGTATGTCAGGCCCGAGAGGAGGGTTGCGGTGGTTTCTGTGCCCGCGACCATGAAGACACTGGCGTTTGCGTCCATTTCGCCTCTGCTTAGCCCCTTGCCGTCCTGTTGTCCCAGCACGAGGTCCCAGAGATCGACTCCCTCTGCGTCACGCCCTTTCTCTAGACGCTTCGTGACGCGGGTGACGGAGTGCTGGAAGTGCTCTTCTCCTTTTTTGTTTATGGATTCCGGGATCAGGGCTTTGAAGGCCTTCCATACCCACGGGTAGGCTATTAGGATGGATACGCGGTTCATGATCTTGATGCTCGAGAAGATGACGCTGACCCAGGGGTCGTACTCTGCGTTTTCAAGCATGTGAAGTGGCTCGCCAAAGGTGAGGTCGCCCATGATGTCGAAGGTGGTGAAGTTGTACAGTTTCACCAGGTCGATCTCAGCGCTAGGATTCTTGTCGATGGCCTCTTTGAACTTGGATACGAGCATATCGACATATCTTAGAAAAAGCGGTTCTTGCTGCTTGAGAGCGCGGTCTGAGAAGGCTGGTCCAAAGATCTTGCGCATACGGGCATGGTCAGCATCGTGTGCCTGGATGAGATTGTACGATCCGTTTGGAGATGCTCCGTAGTGGTTCCAGTTTTTGTGAGGGTTAGAGCCTGGTGTTCCTTTCGTGCCGTGACCATAGATGTCTTTCCACGCATCAGGGTCCGTCCAACTTAGCTGGGTTGGAGACGTCCGGACCACATGTCCGTATTTGCGATGCAGCTCTGCTAGGCGGAGGTGATTCGTGCCTGTCCAGAGTCCAATGTGCGATGGGATCCATGATGCAGCTCTGGATTTGGGTCCTGGGAATTTACTCAGGGGGTGGAAGTATATTCTGTGGATGTATGTTGTAACGACTCGGACTGTGACCTTGGATATGTGTTAGTACATTCGAGGGGGTACATTAGATAGCAGGCTGCACGAACGATTATAGCAATGGCAGCAACGATCTGAGACAGTGAGACATTTCGAGCCAGTCTCAAAAGACCAGCAGGCTCTGCGGGGGTTGACGACATGTTCGTAGTGTTGAGAAGAAAGGAACGTGGAACTTAAAAGCAGAACAAGCCACCAAAGGGAAGTGAATCTTTAAGTACAGTAAGCTCAAGATATAGGCGACACTACGCTAGATGCGCATCTACTGCTTCTAGGAACGGATAGTCGTTGCAGCGTAGTGGCCGGCATATGGATCCCTGACAATATTCTGACCTCAGAGGTGATGGTTGCTACACTACCCCGAAGTGCACCCATTGTTACACTGGGCGCTAAGACACAGGGGGCAGAGGAATTCTCCTATTCGCCAGCACCAGCTCGACTGTCGCACTCGCACTCGGTCGGGACTCGGGTTCGCAGAGCATCGCGAGAGAGTCGATGTAATATGAAGAGCGGAGATAGTTATCTAAAAGAGCTGCGACAGTCAAGATGCAAAGCCCACGTCGAAACAGGCAGTTCGTACATGTATTCGTCCGTTGGCGGACGTCACTACAGTCGTCGCTGCTCATTGGTTGCAAAAGTCTAACGATATGTGCCACTCGAATCGTGACAGCGCGTTGTGCCGCCCCTCCCTCCGCCTCTCCGTGCGCGTTTCTCCACCAGCACGCCCCCATCTCAACACCCAGAAATGGCGTCCACACCCACCCGCCGAGGCCTCTCGCTTGTCCTCTCCGCCTCGCTCGCACAGCGGACTCCGGCCCGGACATTCGCCTCGTCCGCCCTCCGCGCCGCATACGCGAGCGCGCCAAAAGCTGCAACTGCTTCGACCACAGCAGCGAAGCCTACAACGACAACGACCACCTCCGCCACAGCAGCAAGGCCAGCAACAGCCTCATACCCAGCCGCGGCCCCCCAACGCACCGTAGTCCCCTCGTTCCCCGCCAAAGAGCCCCCCGTGCCCACAACCCGCACCGCCTCAGCCGACTACCAGGCCACACACGCACAATCCAAGCGCTCGCTGACCGAGGGCCTCAGCGATGCGCCGGCCGAGCTCGAAGGCGTGCCGGCTATTGACTGGACGCGCTCGTACCACGGCCTGGGCAGCGTGTCCTTTACCCCCGAGCAAGGCGAGACTCTGCTCGCGCCCCTCGCCCACGATGACGTTGAGGTAAAGCCCGACGGCATCATCTATCTGCCCGAGATCAAGTACAGGCGGATACTGAACCGCGCCTTTGGGCCTGGAGGGTGGGGGTTGGCGCCCAGAGGCGAGAGCATCGTGACGGCGAAGCTGGTGACGCGCGAGTACGGACTGGTTGTGCAGGGGCGGTACGTTTTCCATTCCCCAGCTCCCACGGCCCATCACACATGCTAAATGTTTTCTTCTTCCACAGACTAGTATCCATCGCACGCGGCGAGCAGCAGTACTTCGACCCCGAAGGCATCCCCACGGCGACCGAGGGCTGCAAGTCCAACTCCCTGATGCGCTGCTGCAAGGACCTGGGCATTGCGAGCGAGCTGTGGGACCCGAGGTTCATCCGCGAGTTCACCAACAAGATGACAAAGGAGGTGTGGGTCGAGCACACGCTCACCAAGAAGAAGCGGAAGATTGTGCTGCGCAAGGACGATTCGGCCAGGTATCCCTACAAGGAGGTCAAGGCGGGTATGTGAAATGATGTATATGTAGATCACTGCATGTGAGATATGTAAAATGAAACGAAAGCATGGCCGGGCGTTGGGAAAGCTAGAATGCGCTGTGTGTGTAGATTGTACGAGCCAAATAACATCACTCAAACAACGACCATTACATTTGCTTGTCATGATTCATTGCAACGGGCTACCAGATATATACCCCCATCGCCCGTAAATATTTTCCATCCACCACCTCGAACACTCCCCAACCGCAAACCTACGGTCAGGACTCCGAGTATGCTCTCCTCCAAGGGTTCGTCTCCTAGCGACCCCCCAGTTCGAAGCCCGAAGCCTTTGCCCTATCCCTAATCGACTCTCCCGCCCTCTTCCCATATGCCAGCGGGTCGTCGTCCGTAGGCTGCTGGGCGCGCGGCCAATTCCACGGCATCCACCCACTGCTCGTGCGCCTTCCCATGGGGGGCGGGGTAAGCGGGTACGGAGGACGATCCGACGCGGACCCGGGCGTCAATTCATCGCGCTCGATAGTATCAAACTCGGCCTCGCTCCTATTGCGCGAGAGACGGCCACTCCCTAAGCTACTGCTGGCTCGCGAGAGATTGGGGCTCTCGTGGTATTTGTTGCCGCCTGTCTGCTGGGTGCGGATGCTCTCGTGCTCGCGGTCGAGGGCCTTGAGGACGGTTTCGAGGCGCTCGCGCTGCGAGGCGACGTAGCTGAGGCGGTCGTCGTTGTTGCGGATCGAGTCTGGGACGAGGCGCGTGTTGCGGGATAGATCGGCGGCCTGGGCGTCTTTGTTGGCGCCGTACATGGCGGAGGCTCCGCTCAGCGCCTGGTTGACCATGCCGTATATGTCGTTGCCGCCCCGTGCTGCGGGCATTTGGAACCTGCTCATGAGGTTCTGCGCGTATGTCTGCCCGGCTGGTGGTGGTTGTGTGGGCTTCTTCGGCGCGAATCCCATGACGTTGACTTTGACCCACTCAATGCCCATCTCGAGATATGCGAGGCCTGCTGCCTTGGCGCTGTCGTGGCTCTGCGTTATGAATTCGTCGATTTCGCGCTCGTGGTGGTACAGGAAGGGCTCGATGTACTGCTGATAGAGGAGCGTGGCGCCCCCGGAGCCGGGCAGGATAAGGTATAGGTGCAAGAAAAAGCGCATCCAGGAATAGAAAGGAACCCAGCTGAGGATGAAGTCGAAGACATTCTCGACGGTGGTGAGGACGGAGAGAACGACAAAGTAGATGAGCCAAGGTGCAAGGAGAGCTGGATCTGATGTGTGCAAGGCTTTGTACGAGGCGAAAATGGGGAAGAGGACTGTGGTAGCGACGCTATAGTCGTGTTAGCGTTGTGTAGTCTAGCAAACAAAGCTTCCCGTGGTGTATAGAAGCTCCAACGCGGTCGTGGAGCACGCGAGAAAGTGTCGAGTTTGAAGCTTGTGACAGCTCTGACGTCTGCGGGGAAAGGGCTCACTTACGTCAAGCCGTCAGCGATGAAGCCGAACATCATCTCGCGTCAGCTTCTGATATCTAGCTGAGTATGGATGAGTAGGTAAATCTAGGAGAAAGAGTGCAAGAGCTTAGAGCTCTGGTCAGGCACCAGGCGGAAGTGATGCGGAAGACTTGATGATGATGCACGTCTGCTAGCTCCGCCGGTCAACCACGGCGCATTGCCGATTTCGTGTTCTTTGTGCACAGCACACGCACGCGTCACTGGCGTCAACGGCCTTTAGGAGGCTGGAGAAGTCAGGTGTTCTGACTGTGAGTGTGTCTCGTGCGTGGTTTTGAGTGAGGCGTACGGTTGCGATTTCCTCATCGGGCGGGGCGCCGATTTCTCGAGACGAGACCTCAACCTCCAACGAGCCATACACTCTTCCACTGAGTTCCGTTTCATACGCCCGATTTCTCATACGAGCGATAATTTCTTCTTCAGCCCCACGTATACTACCTCTATAGTCAATACCGGTTTTGACGGCAATCTGCGGCATCTTTCCCGTCCACTCAAGTCGCATCTTGACCATTTGCTGGGTCTAGCCGGAGTATATTTCCAAGGTATCAATGTCGACTATTTCTCCAGAAAGAGTGTTTTCACTCGCTAGTATGTCAATATTGATAGACTGTCTGGCTTCGAACACAATATGGGGGAAGCAAGTATTAGGCATTGCTACACCGGCTTCCTGGTCTAGTGTCTTACCAAGCTTTCATATATTCATCATCCTAATACATGTATAAACCCATACCAGGAGGCCCTTCTACCTCACTGTATACGCACCGGGAGTTCAGGCTCGTAGACTGCTCTAACCTGGCCCCAGACGCTTGAACATGTATGTTCTATTTTGACTTCTGCTTACAGATTTAGTCCCTCGGAGTTTGAGATTGGGAAGTGGGCCATCATATATTTGCATCTCCACAGCGTCACGCTCATCTTCAACCCCGGCTGTTGAACATACCACCTACCTATCCAAGACAAACGCAGACTATCATACTGCCATGGCTGCCAAGGACCTTCTTATCATCGACCCCGCATTCATCACTGCAGACGCCGTCATCCCACTTATACTACTCGCCGGCGGTGGAAGACATTCGGTATAGAGTCTGGTTCCCCATCCTCCCATGACGTGCAACTACAAATCCAGTACAACATGACGGAGCCCGCTCTAAAAGATGCAGATCTTCAAGATGCATAAATAGCCTCAACGTCCTTGAGAAATTCCAGTTAGCAACCATACCTTGAATTTCAATTGCCATTGCAAGCGGAGTTGCATCTTCCCCTAAAACCATGGCTATTCTCGCACCAATCCTAGCCTTCTTCCTATTTTCCCTAGTCAGTGCAGCGCCCCAAGCATCACCCTCCCCGAGCTCTCTTTCTCCGAGTCCATCTGCGTCAAACTCGTCAATCTCTCTCACATCGGAGGAAACAGAAGAGCTATACAAACTCCATGAGGAACTCGTAAATATACCTTCGATCTCCGGTGACGAGGTTGAATGTGCAGAATACGTATCTGAGTATCTGGAAGAGCTTGGATATTATGTTGAGAAACTCCAAGTCGGAACAACAGGCACATTCAATGTGTTTGCGTACTCGACAGCCCTGAAAAATGAGGGTGTCTGGCCCGAAGTCCTCATCACAAGTCACGTTGACACTGTACGCATTCTCCATTGCGGATGCTCCAAAAGAAGCCGTAGACGTTAATACCCGATCCAGGTCCCTCCATTCTTCCCCTTCGAACGCCGCGAAAGAAACGGCACAATATACCACTCAGGCCGCGGCACAGTCGACGCCAAAGGCTCCGTAGCCACCATGATAACCGCCACCCATAAGTTCCTGCAATCCCGCTCCGACACGCCCCGCCTAGCCATGCTCTTCGTCGTCAGCGAAGAAACCGGCGGCGCCGGCATGCAAGCCTTCGCCGCGCACGCACGCAACCAAACCTTCCGCGCCGCCATCTTCGGCGAGCCAACAGAAGGCAAGCTCGCCAGCGGCCACAAGGGGAACCTCGGCCTGACACTCAACGTCGTCGGCAAGGCGGCGCATTCCGCCTACCCCTGGCTCGGCGTCAGTGCGATTAATTTCCTCGCCGACGCCATCGTCGCGCTGAATAGTCTCGAGCCTGCGCTCCCGGCCGGCGACCTCCTCGGCGCTACGACCTTGAATACGGGACGCATCCAAGGCGGCGTTGCGAGCAATGTCGTCCCTGAGAGCGCAAACGCGAGTATCTCCATCCGCGTAGCGCAGAGCCAGGACAACGCCGTCGAGCTCGTGCGCGCCATGGTCGCCGGTATGCTCTCGCCCATCGTCCAGCGTGCGGCGGACGCAGGTGCAAACTTTACCCTGACGTTTGCCAATGCCTCGTACCCCGCGGTCATCCTGAATACGGATGTTGAGGGCTTGGAGGTTGCGCCTGTGTTCTATGGTACGGATATACCGAGCTTGCCGCAGGTGCAGAAGAGGTATTTGTTTGGGGCGGGCTCGATTGAGGTTTCGCATACGGCGGGCGAGGAACTGAGTCAGGGGGAGTTGGTGCGGGCGGCGGAGGCGTATGGGATGATTTTGAGTACTTTGTTTCCGGAAGGTTGAGGGGTGGATGGTAATGGCTGGGGCTTTTCTTTCGATGTGAACATATCATGTATGGCTGCGGTAAAAAGTGCTTTCCGTCAGTACTGGAGGGAATATCAGATGCGAATAGAACTATGCCAACAAAAGGAGGCACGAAAAGAGTTTTGGCACTCCTTAGTTATCACGAACTGGAGTCTAATCTGCTGACCCCATCAGACCAGGTTCTCAATGAGAGGCCATCGCCTCAAGCAGAGCCCAAACCCTCCCGCGCAACATCCCCCGCGAATCTTCAAACCCCAATATCCTCCACGCGCAACAGCCCACTGCCCATCCCCGCAACCGCCCACGTCCCGAACTTCAGATTCGGATTCCAAGACAAAGTCGTGACAGCAGACTGCTCCTCGAAGACAGTGATATACCGACCCCACTCCAAGTCCGTCGGCTTCCTCTTAGATGTAATCGAGTCCTGCATACCCGGCTGATTAGCCTTGAAGCCCGCCGTGATGCGAACCAGAGGTTCATTGAGTACCGACTGCGAGACAGCAGTCTGCGGTGTCTCCGAAACGTTTGCCACAGGGTCGCTAGAAACGACGTCAACACCAACATCGCCATCAGCGCGAGTAGCCACAGATTGCTGCACCGGCCCACCATCCAGTAACTCCGGATCCCTCGGCGCATCAACAACCAGCCTATCCACAGGGCCCCTCCACTCATGCGCAAACCAATTCTGCTGCCACGGCATCTCCTTGTAGTTCAGAATCCTTGCCAGCGGATTCCCCGACGCGACAGTGCCGTCTGCAGTCCCGACCAGCACGCCGGGATGCACGGGGCTCGTTGCCACGCAGGAAATCGTGCTCTCGGCGCGCATCGTGTACAGGTTGTGGTAGAAGCGGCGCAGGGAGTTGTGCTTGAGCATGATGAGCTCGTCGGACATGGTGAAGGACTGGGTTTGTTCGTGCCATGCTTGTGCTGTGCATAGCCCGCGGCCGCGGATCGAGGGGACGGTGTCGGCGGTGGGGGAGCGCAGGTCGTACAGTCGTGCGAAGCCGTCCGCCGTGGTGATGGAGATGTAGTTTGGTCGGGAGGGGCGGCCGGATGCGAGGGTTAGGATGTAGGTGTCGGCGATTTGCTTGAAGAACCAGGGTTTTGGCACGTAGGTGGTTGATCCAGCTGGGGGGAAGGTTTCTGCCCGGTTCAGTGTCCAGATTGCGAGGGTGCCTGCTGCGGTGGCGACGGCGAGTGAGGTGCTGGAAAGCCAGTGAATGCAGGAGGGGACTGTTTGTGGGAAGTCGACGTCGAATGCTGCTTGTGAGTAATGTACATACTGAGTCTCTGTCGAGGTTGCGTCGAGCTTAGAGTACGAAACGTCGAGTATTCTGACCCGCCCGTCTGACCAGATGCCCGCGAGAAGACCGAGATGAACCTCATCACTATCTTCGGAATATCCTGGCTTCTCAACCGTACTGGTCGGACTCCACCTGAACTGCTTCGGTGCGCCCCAATCTGTACAAATGACCAGCTCAAGCTGCGGCTGCTCCGAGGGGTCAAGCTCGCCAATCCTATTAGCTCCGAAAGACCAGATCTGGATGGAAGCCGGGAAAGCTGGTGTGGCCGAGAACGCGGGCGCTTTTAGGTTTTCGTACGGTTTTGGTTGACGGCCTTCTGTTTGTTTCTGTTCCACGGCGACGGCGAGATACTGTGTCCTGCCCTCCTCACTCGATGCCCATTGCGCTTCTTGGACTCGCGAGCCGAGATTGAGGACCCAGCCCCGTCGGCTCTTCTGATCCATGTAAGGCTGCGCGGTGCTGATGTAGGTGCCTTTCTTCATTGCGTGCAGCTGGGGCGCATTGATAGTACCCATGAGCACATTCAGCGATGCCGGCCCGTCGTTCATCGTGTATGACTTCGCCTCCTGCGCATTTAGCGTTCTACTCTTTTGCCCTCTTGCAAACGCGTCTCTCCCGTTACTGGCGTACCATTTCCTCAGAGTCAGGACATCCTTTTCTCTCGCCTCCTCGCTCTCAAAGAAGCTTCGCCGTAGCCCTCCCTTCAAGCCCCCTTTATCTCGATAAGGCAGCGTCTCTTGCACATCCCAATGGTCCCGCGTCATAAGGATAGGCCTGAGGTCTTTGTCCGTCGGCCCAAAGAGGTCCTTAAGCCGCAGCTCCTGCCCGCCAATCTTGCTGAACTCCGCCACACCTCGCGCATGCAAAGAAGCCCTGTCAGTCCCCATGGGACGCGGGAGCACACCATTACCCTTAACAACGCTGACGGGAGTTTTAACCTGGTCCTGAGGCGCGATTCTCTGTACGCGGGGCAACTCGCTCTTCGCGCCTTTCTTGGTGCGCTTCCCATTCGGCGTGGTGGGAACGAGATCATCGACATCGATGATTGAAGAGGCGCGTCTGTGGGATCCATCTCTTTCAGAAACACCATCGGCATCGTCTGCGTCTTCATCTTCATCCTCGTCCTCCACTACATCCTCGTCAAAATCATCATCTGGCTCCGGTTCCTCAACATCCGGCATAAAGTCATCGCTATCCTCATCGTCGTCTAGCTGCTCTCGAGCACTCGGTGTTTGCGTGCCACCATCCTCATCCAGAAACGAATACTCATCGCCGACACGGTACGACGCAGGACGCGACTGGCGGCGCGCGCGCGCTATTGGCTCGAATCAGTCCCATCTACGATTTGAAACTAGTCCGAAAGCTGTGCTCTACCTTCGGGCATAACGGTCACAAGTCTCGTGCAGTATAGCGACTGATTGGTGTGTCTCGATTAGGACGGTGTGACTAGGGTGTAGATTTCCACGAGTGTGCTGTGTATGTGTTGGAAATAGTAAAAGGTACCTTGCTGGAAAAAAAGTGGCCATCACGGTTCGAATAAAACCGCCCCACTTGTAGCGTAGTGCACAGACCTCTATCACCCCGCACAAAGGTTTTATGAGAGCATTTCTCACTCACTGGACCGGAAGAAAAATTAGAGAAAAGCTGCGAAACGCGCCTTTCACCAGTATTTTCACACGATATATTCCGACCACTCCGCAAAAACACCATCAATCACAACAACAAAGGTGGTATGGTCTAGTGGTATGACGTCACGTTGTGGAGTTGCTACAATTCCGTGCCAGCCTGGGTTCGAGTAAGTCTAGCATCAAAAAAAACAAAGCAGTACTGCCAATTCTAACATTGGACAGTTCCCAGTACCGCCAAGTGACAATTTTTTTTTGCTGATTTTGGTGTCGGGTTCCAGGGAGTGTTGACAAGGTATTCTTTTGGTGCTCTTTTTATCTATCGTTTTGTTTCTTTTCACTTGCGTGGCTTCTCTAGCTTGATATTACGCAGCTTTGCGTTTGAGAGAGGTAGATGGCATTCTTTTTACTCTCATATTCATATTGATGGACAGGCTTTCCCAGTAGTGAATATGAGTATCTGCTATACACCAAGTCGCCAATCTCATCTCAAAACCTCAGAATACATATGAGCGCATGCGCTCGAAAATAAACGCATATCGTCGTGTCATACATCATACATCATCCACCATTACCCCAGCCCATCACGAACCTTCTCTCCACCTCCATCCCGCACGTCGCCCGCCCACGAACACGATATTAACACCATCTAGTGCGCCCACGACCCAATAGCTCTCTCCTGCCACTCTTCCTCCATATCCTCCGCACACGCCTTACACACCGTCATCCTGCAAACCGCAATCTCGCACTCCCACATCTCCTCCTCGACATCCTCTCCGCACCTATTACAGAACACGGGGACGTGAACATGCTGCCTAACTCCGTAGTTGGTCTGCAAGTACGGTCTAACTTCCAGACTGTTGATGACCACTCGGTCCGGGACGTGCTCCAGATCGATGGGGTGGAAGATGTGGCCATTGTTGAGACAGGTGTGCTTTGGAAGCTTCTTCGACGGGGGTAAGGGGATTAGAAGGCGCTTCTTGGGTGGCGAGGGAAACGGGCAGTTTTCTTTCGGGAAGGGCGCGGGAGGGATCTGCTGGTCGGCGAGGACGTCGTGGTCGATGCGCTCGGAGAGAGGGCGTTGCTCGTCGGGGTTTTGGGCGTCGATCCATTTGTGGACCAGCACTTGCGATTCGTCGCGTGGCATCTTTGCCTTCTTTTCCCGTGCAGTGCGGTCGTAGTGTGCTGGATAATTGTCGTTGATATCGGGCTGTGTTGCAGTTAGCATGATGTACTGCTGCAAGGTCGAGGATATGTTTACTTTGAGATCCTCACGCCCGCTCTCCTTGCCGTTGACTTCGACGAAAGCAACATCCTTGACCGCTCCAGAGGTCTCAGCATCGACGAGAAGCACATTGCTTTTACGAGCCGGTATGTCCACACGCTTGACAACACCCGGAGTGATTCTAGTGGAGGTCGATACCTGCGCCACCTGCACAGTGGGCTCTTCGTCAAGGTCGATGCTGCTACCTATGGACATCATATCGTCTTCGTTGTCAGCTTCTTCTGCAAAGTCAACATCGGATTGTTCTTGAGCCATAACCCGAAGTTTCATCGACGAAAACCCCCTCTTCATCTTCTTATGCTGTTCTTTCAGCACAGAGTTTTCTGTGTTCAGCCGCAACTTAGCTGCATCAAGCTTACACAGCGCAGCCTGACTTGCTTTGCGTCGTATATCCTCAGTGGCGTTCAGTAGGCGATCTTCAACTGCTTGTAAGGGACTCCGCACTTGCAAGTTTGCAGGTTCCTGCCACTCCATATAGCTAAGGTCTACCTTTGTACCAGGATGCATGTTATATCCCTCCTCTTCCTCCGGTTCCTCTTCGATAACATCGTCCGTTGGAGAAAGGTCGTATTCCTCAAGTTCGTATGTATCGGACAAGTCGAGAAATAACTCAGTGTGTGACCGGGGCATCATGGAAGCACTCCGAGGAGGATAGTCGCTCTCATACTCGGATATAGCCTCAAGTTCCGTTTCGTCATCTTCTTCATGGTTATAGATTGTTCGGAGCTCGTCGAACGAAGCCTCTGTGATCGGCGACATCCTGTCTAGCGACTTGGGACCTCTCTTGCGCCTGCGGCGTCGCGGCGACACTGAAACCGGGCGTGAAGGCGGCGGAACCTGGCGAGAGCGCATGTGAAGATCGCTATCACTGGCATATCCAAGATGTAGATCTTCATCTGGAGAAAGCGGTCCGGCTGCTGCAAAGTTGTGGTGTGGCGTACGCTTCGGGATGCCCGAGCCAAACGAAGGCAGATTGCCCAGTACGCGCATAGCTTTGCTGGTGCTACCTCCCCATCTCCTCTTCGCCTTTGGAGCATCGCACTCCATATCCTCTTCTCTGAACTTTGGCAGTCTGCTCGACACATCCTTGAACATAGTCAGCAAAGGTGCAGAAGCACGCGACTTTAGTGTCGGTCGTACCGGACGGCTGTCAAATATGCCATCTTGCAGGAAGGGATCTCTCCGTATACTTCCTTGCCCTTGAGAGAACACATCGACTTCGATCCCAAGAAACTGGGCTGCCTTGCTGGGCGTTGTAGGAGGAAGAGGCGAGCTGACCACAGGCATGGTTGTAGGTGAGTCCCTGAAAGGGTTGTACTGAGGAGGACTACCTGGCGTACGGGGGGCTTGATGGCGGGGGCTCGCAAGCGCAGGTGAATTTCTGGATATGCCAGCCGGTGAACTCGCAGGCGAAGCCGCAGCCCTGTGAATAATTCTCTGGTTGTTGCTAGAGTCCTTCACGTTCGCCTTTCCCGGTGAAAAGAACCTCATATTGGACTCTTCCGACGCGCGTGGGCTCGATCCAAGATCAGTTGCTACGCTGCTCACCAAACTCGCTGTCGCTGCCTTTGGGCCGAGCATAGGCGCGGTATTTGAACGGGGTAGTCCCGAACGGCGGCTCAGTCGACGACGGCCGCCAATCCAAACCGCTGGTCGTTTTGACGACGTGTTAGTGCCTCCCATGGCCATGGCCAACGTAGCATGCGAGGTAGTTTGCTGTGGCGAACGCGGCGGGCGATCGAAGAGCAACGCAATCCGGTATGCTGACAAGGTTTTGGATGTGTGTGAGAGACGTGGACAGCGATTGAAAGAGGTGAGTCGCCGGCAAACGAACCGCGTGAGGCGGCGCCTGGACATGCTGCGGTGAAAGAGGAAGGCACGGCATCGACATGACGTTGACCTCACTTCACCACAGAAATGAAGTGAACGCGAGCAAAACCATACGTACGCCACGCGCAGCTTCATTTCATCTCTGGCAACAGAACTCGAGAAAAAGAAGAAGAGAAAACAGTGACAAACGCTCGGAACCAGGGCGGACAGACGAAATATGCACGAAGTGAAATCCCATCTTAACAGGAGCTGACATGATAAACACTAAGAACACTTGCTTGTACAAACCATATATACGATCCTGGGGTATCCTCCAAGTACGACCCGTGCAACAACAATCTGTGCCTCTATCCGCCTTGTATCCGATCTGTGCGCCGACCTCAAACTCGACGTCACGTTGCACATCCATGTATCCTGAGCCAGAAACGCCAAATATGCAAATCCTAGTCATGCCCCCCCATCTATTCTGCCCTTCGTATGCAACCTCACACTCTACCGTGTAGACTGGAGACTCCTACGCGTGGTCCTGCGAGAAGCTCAGTCTAGCTACGTGCTCTCCTACGCCTCCGCTCTTGCTTCCATTCTTGTTGGCCACTGGTGAAGAAGGGGCGCTCACGTCCAAAGACTTCTTCAATCCGAGTTCGGTGATGTTTGCGGAGGGCGTGTCAGGTGGACTCTCTGTCAGCTTGCCCTCTCCAAGAACTACAGGCGTCCCACCGAAGGACTGAACAGAATCAGGCTCGGGCTTTGACTTGCCCGATTGCCTTGTCGGCGTCGGGCCTAACCCTCTATGAATATCCATAGCAGCTGGGGGCATATTGTTCAAGAACGCCGTTATGTCTTGATCGCTCGTACCCCTTTCGCCAGGTGTTCGCGGTGTGGTCGGGTTGGGACTACGCGAGCGACGTGGGCTGCGTGAGCCCTGATTGTTGATCTGCAGAAACTTCTGGAGATAAGTGCGATCATCGCTTTCGTCCTCTTCGTCGCTCGTCCCATCAAAGTATATGCTATCCCAGTCGGCAGTGCCTGTGCTGCGCATGGAATCGGTCGTATCCATTCGGCGAGGAGCCATTGGAGGGTTCTTGAGCGGCGCCAACTCGTCTGCGACCTCTCTCATTTCGCTGTCTGTACGTGCAATTGGCGGGCCAACGTCCTCCTGTCCTCTGACGTGTTCACCGTTTTCGTTCACTGGGACTTCGATACCCTTGGCTCGGTCGATGGCAGGCTCATTCTCGTCACGCGTTTGGGCTGAGAAAGTGTTTGCAAAGTGCGTGTCGCAAAGGTGTTTGACGACCGGCCATCCATAAGCGTTGGCAAACATGCGGCGAACGACCATGTTGTTATGAGCATCGGGTTCAAGACGGACTAGAACTTTCCGCCATGACAGATCTTTATGGTAGGCCCGAGCAATCTTCTCTTCGACGCGCATGACACCTCCCTCCGTAGTAGATACTTGGGATGAGGTGCTTTCGCCTGAGACCGAGCGACCTGTAGCTCTCTTCTTAGCCGGTGGAGGTGGAATATCCTCAGGATGATAGACACGATCATGGAAGATAGTTCGTGCTCGAGTCGACGGGTCTGTAATCCACGACGTTGGGGGAACGGGCGGGTTTATGAGGTCACCAGCAGACTCAAATATCGTTGTCTTAGGCGGTGCTAGCATACTCGTAGCGTTGTTGAGTACAGTGTCACCACGTGTTGCCTTTGGTCTCTTCTGCTGCGCTGCATCTTGTGACGAGGACGCCTCTGCTTCTGCTTCTGATTGAGTATCTTGCTCTTCTTCATTTTTCGGATACGTCTGACTGCGCTTGAACATCTTCTTGTCTCTTGCAGTGTGCTTGCCTGTGGGCCGGATATAGCTCCAGAGCTGCATGAGCGTATTTTGCGGCTGGAAATATGAATCAGAGTCCGAGTCTGCGTCTGATGCCTTCTTCTTCCCTTCCATAGGTTTGGCAGCAGCTTGCGCCTCGTCATCCTGGTTGGTGACATCCACACCAGGCAAAGGAACGGCCTCAGCATCCCCTCCCAACGAAGGAGGCTCGACACTCTCATTCTCGTCATCTGAAAAGCCGATCCTCGAGGCACTGGCTGGCGTGTTCTGTCCCGTCAACTGGCCAAAGCCCCATATAGCTACGGCTCCAACGAGACCGTTCTCCCTCCGTGCCTTCTCCACCTTGCCCAAGCCTGTCCAGTCGAGAAAGAGAAGACAGCTTGTGCGGAGCGGGACGATTCCGTCGTTGACTACGTTCGAGTACAGCGTACGATTTCGGAACATGCGCAGAACTTGGTGAGCTGGACCAGTAGGAAGAATTCGAAGAAGCGGTTTTGCGCCAGGGTCCTCATGATTGGGCTCACTTTGAGGCTGGTTTCCGAGCCCGCTTACCATAGCAGTCCATCCTTGCTTTGCCAACGTAGGAGCCCTCCAGGTCAACCCAAGATCTTGCCCCGTCCTGCCCACCAATCCAAAATCCAAAGCAAACTTGACATACATGGGGTTCTCGTTACTTAAACCCAGAAACGGAGAGGCCATGGCGATGAAGTTGATGGGCTTGATGTTCTCGAAGAATTGCGGAGAATGCTTGTGGATGTAGGCGATGGCGTATGTCTGAACGAGTCCTCCCAGCGAGTGACCGATGAAGCTGATACTGGTGAACTTGTATGCGCGTCTCGAGTGATGTGTATGTGTCTTGTGAGCAGTACTTCCTTCGTGGCCCGGTATACCCTCATCACCCTTGTCCTTGGGAGCGGAGAAGGTATTGGACAGCTTCTCGCCAATGGACCTCTTGACGGGTAAAAATGGTTGGTCGGGGTATGTTGTACGTAGCACATACTTGGCCAGTCTTTTCCCAAGATACTGGATGCCGCGCTCGGTGCGTATAACGTTGCCGTCAAACCCACGCACAATGACCTCTTCTTCGTCGTCGTCCGCTTCTTCATCGGTTATCTCGTCTTGACCACCTGACAATGGAGCTGTAGAGCTTTCCGTCACAGTATCCTCGCTAGACTTTCCTCCCTTCTGCTCTCGCCGCTTTCTCCGTCGGTCTTCCCGGGCTTGCTTGGCTGTCGCATCGATGCTCTCCTTCAAGTACAGCAGATCCGCGCCGAGATTACTGTGCAGTCCGTGGGTGACCATGACGAGGTGGATCTTCTTCTGCTTGCGGTGATCTTCAGGCTCCTGGTGGTGGACGTCCTTTGACTTGCGCCTGTCGGCGTGGTGTTCCTCGTCTTTCCACTCGGGCAGCTCCGGCTTGTTCCACAGACTCGACGTGTCGTCGACGACCAATTTGATGGCCTTTGAATAGACGCCTTTTGGCTGCGCAGGATGGCCGTGCGTATGCGCCTTCTTCCCCTGCTGGTGGTCCTGCACCTTGCCTGGCACCCCATGGCTGTTTCCGGTAACGGCCGTGAAGCCCAGGTCCAGCGACCTCTCGTCACGGGCTACCAGCAGCTCGTAGTTCACCGAGGCCGAGTTGGAAAAGATGATCTGCGAGGCAATCTCGATTATCCAAGTTGCGCTCTTGGGCGACCCGTCAGCGTTGCGGCTCTCGTCGCCCTGTCTGATGTGTTCGGGCACCGTCAACTTGGCGTTCCAGTAGCCGCCCGCCTTGAGGTTGGGCTCGAACTCGGGGACGCCGTATGTCTTGGGCGACTCGACCTTCTTGTTGGGGTTGAAGGTCGAGGGATAGGCGGCGACGTGGATGGTATAGGGGCCGTGGAGATAGGCGGCACGCAGCGGAATGGCCGACGAGTTGCGTATGCGGACATGGAGGACGGCGGGCGAGGGCAGAATGCGGTCTTCAGCAGGCGTGTATGTGACGGTGTACCTGCATGACCTCTTAGCATTCCGCCGGCCAGACACTCCCGCGGAGAGATGCAGCATACCTCACCACCTCGCCCACCTTGACGCTCCCCGTCTGGTGAACTAGCAGCATCGTCAAGGCACGCTGCTGCGAGGGCGTGCTAGAATTTGGACGTTTGCGATTGCTTGCAGCGTTTAGGAGAGAGGGTATCGTGCGAAGCGTGAGTAGCATTAGCGGGTCTGTCTAGCGGGTCCAGCGAGCATGGCGCGTCATCAGCATGTGCACATGCTCGCCCTACGAAAGGATACAAGAAGTAGAATAAGAACGACGACGACGCATCGTCGCTGTCACGCAGCGCAACTGCATGAGATAAACACCAACGTCATTGCTCGTGGTCTGGAATGTCATCCTCACCAGAGTACCAGAAACTGCTAGTCTGCCGAGCATGTGCTCCACGTTCTTTGGCTAAGCATTCACATGCGCCGCCATAAATCGTCCGCATGCAAGACACAACGACGTCTGCTGTTCGTGGTACCGCTTTGTCGGAAATTCTGCTGTCCGCTCCGGCCTTATTTTGACTTCACAAACATCTTTCAAACCAACTTACCGCCCATAACGAATTATACAACAGGTGAACGTATTGAGCAGGAAGTACACAGCTGCACATAAATAACATAAGAAGCACGAGAATAGAAATGTAGTAGTCACAACACCAGCCCATCAAACGCAAAAGAAGCTTCTAAAATCAGAGATTTGTATATATGAGACTCGTAAAATATCTATAAAAGCCCTCGTAGATCAAGTTTGCACGCATCCGCTATGCTATGCAGGATATACACCAGATCTGACCACGTCTATATCTAAAAAAACGCCTGTCTAAAATGCCCCGATTACCATAACCATAACCATAACCAAAGGAAAGAGAAACCCTCTACTCGATAGCCGAAGCCCCAATGCCGTGAGTGGAGGGGTTAATCGACTCATTGAACTCGAACTTGAAGTCCTGGCCCAACTCCTTCTTCATAGCCGTCGTAACCGCCTCATACACATTCTTAAACACGCCAAAGTTCGCCGGGTTCTCCTCGTCATTCTCGCCGCCCTGGAACACACCCGTGCGCACCAAGCACGTGTTCCAGCCATACATGTTCCCGCCGATGATATCGGAAGCCGGGTTATCACCGATCATGTAGATGTTCTTGGGCAGGCGCTCATCGTTGTGGATCGTCTCCATCCAGCTAGCAATGACCTCGTCGGCGTACTTGTACGTCGCGAGCTCGGGCTTGCCGTACACGACACGCTCGAGGTCCACACCGGTGAGCGACTTGTACATGGCTTCGAGGCCGATGCGGAACGCGCCCTGCGACATGCGCGGGAAGGGGTGCTCGGTCGGGCACAGCATGTCGCCTTGTGAGAAGTAGATGGGGATGCGCTGGGAGACGGGGTCGGCGGCGCGGGTTCCGAAGCGGCCGTTCTCGCTCTGCAGCAGGTCCATGATGATCTGGATGTCGGTTGCGTAGTCGCGGCTGTCGGAGAAGACCATGATGGCGTCGATGTTGGTCTTTGAGAAGTCGCGGGGGCGGGAGGTTTTGCGCTCCTCCTCGGTGAAGACGCGGTAGGGGGCGATGGTTGGGTCCCACGCGATGATGTCGTTGGGCACAACAATGTCCTCGAAACCGTACTCCTCGGCGACTTCGCGGCACTTGTAGCCCTCACCGCCAACGACGAGGACCGTCTTGTAGTACTCGGCCAGAGCTCGCATGGGCGTGTGGGACTGGATGAACTGTTCGGTGGAGATGGGGTTGTGGAGGATCTTGGAGAGCTGCTCTACACGAGGCACCTCACGCTTTCCAGAACCGTTGGTGAGGAAGATGTGGGGAATCTTGATGCCGAGCTCGTTCTCGCCGTTGAGAATCTCAAGCACGCGCTTGCCCTCGGGGATCAGACGGTCGCCGTGGACGAGCACACCGTCGATGTCGAAGACGAATGCCATGTCCTTGGCAGCGGTGACCTTCTCGCCGGCAAGATCCTGGAGCTGAGCAGCGATGATGTCGCGAGATGGCTGGATAGGAGGCATGCCAGGGCGCTGGGCAACACCCTCGGGGTAGTGGACCGAAGACAGCCTCGATTGCCTCTTTGATCGGGGGATGGGCAGGGAGGTTCCGAAGGAGTTCCTGGAGCCTCGTCGGTCCCTCATGGATGGCGACAGAGAGAGGTTGTGCATGTAGTGCGATGCATCTGCGATAGAGCTCCTGGTCGCTGGAACCTCGATGGAGTGGGCTGTGCCATGGGCATCGCTGCTGCCATCACCAGGAATGGCGAGTCCGCCAGCAGACAAGTTGTTGGAGGGAGCGCGGTTGATATCGTGGGACTTGGCCTGGTTGAGAGGTGTGCTGTCACCGAAATCAGAGTCGTCGTAAGCAGGCATGATGAAGTTGTTTTGATATTCGTAAAGAGATAGGGTATCAAAGAATCGAGATGATCAAGCTTGACTGAATGAAGCTTGTATGAGATGGATTGGAAGAATGAAAGAACTGTTAATGGACCGACTCAGGGTTTCGAGGGAGCCCATATATATCTATTTCTTATCTCCAAATATCTTCTCCAACTTTTCAGCCCTTTGTCGAGCCATATTCTTCCCGAGCATGGCCGAAGCCCCTCCACTCTACCACTGGAGACGAAGCATCCAACAACAATCTCAGTATCCACAATGCATGCTACATCATCACTCGCTTGGATGGGGCCCGTCAAGGGTACCGCTAAGGGAAAAGCTCTGTCAGACCAGAGAATAGAAACTGGATACCATCATCCTGGAGTTGGCAAAAAAAACTGGGGACTGATAGCAACAAGCGTGCTCTGAATCGCCTCAACACCTCGAAGATCGCCAAAGGGACTTGTCGACGCATCAATATGGGCACGCAGCCTCATCTCACTGGGCAAGACGCACCGCGGCCGGTACCCAGCTGATGCAGACCGCTATTATGGCTGTCAAGGGTGATTAGTATGCATCTGAGCGTTGCTATCGAGTGTACAACACTGCAGCTTCACCGGCGGACGGTGCATGCAAAGCAACGGTACAACGCTCAGAGTCTAGCAGTGACGTGAGAAACAGTGGAGCGCCATGTTGCAGTTCGCCGAGAAGTCGCCATTGTGTTCCTGACGCGGCGGCCGTTGTCTTGGTGGCCGCAGAGCCGCCGTGGGTTCCTGGTGCAAAGACTCGAGAAGGTTGGAAGGTTGAGTCGGCCCGTGTGGATTCAGGGTCCACTGCTACGTCATCAACTCTGATTTTGGTTGCAGATTTCATGAAACTGTTGGATGGAGACTTTTATGGGGTTTTTTTCGTGTCTACGAGATGGGTACGAGAAGGGACCGGGATGTATGTCGTCAGATAATGAGGTTGCGTTGGGAGGGGGGAAGAGATTTCGCGAAGGTAGGTAACGCGAGATATATCTAGGGTTGCGACCTTGACCTGACTTGGCTTGGTTTACGACGTATTCATCGTTACTCTGTATATTCAGACAAAGATTCGTTTGATTGTTTTCATCTATACCTCATTCATCTTCGCATCCACGAGCAAACCACCAACATGGCCCTTCAAAACACCAAAACATACACCCTCTCCAACGGGCTCACCATCCCTGCGGTCGGCTTCGGCACCTTTGCCAACGAAGGCTCCAAAGGCGAAACCTACGCCGCCGTCACAGAAGCCCTGAAAACCGGCTACCGTCACCTCGACTGCGCGTGGTTCTACCAGAACGAAGAAGAGGTCGGCGACGCCGTACGCGACTTCCTCTCCAAGACCCCCAGCGTCAAGCGCAGCGACATCTTCATCTGCACAAAAGTATGGAACCACCTCCACGAGCCATCCGAAGTGAAATGGTCGCTGCAGAACTCGCTGGAGAAGCTGAAGATGGACTACATTGACCTGTTCCTCGTACACTGGCCGATCGCCGCAGAGACAAACGAGCAGAACATGCCCAAGATCGGGGCCGACGGAAAATACATCATCAAGAAAGACCTGACGGAGAACCCGGAGCCGACATGGCGCGCCATGGAGGAGATCTACAAGTCGGGCCAGGCCAAGGCCATCGGCGTGTCCAACTGGACCATTGAGGGCTTGAAGAAGCTCCTCGCCCTCGCGGAGGTCAAGCCGCAGGTCAACCAGATCGAAATCCACCCCTTCCTGCCCAACGACGAGCTCGTCAAGTTCTGCCAAGCGCATGATATCCTGCCTGCGGCTTACTCGCCCCTCGGATCGCAGAACCAGGTCCCCAGCACAGGCGAGCAGGTGCGCACAAACACTAAGCTGAATGAAGTCGCGCAACGCAGCGGGCACGATCTCGGACAGGTGTTGTTGGCGTGGGGCCTACAAAGAGGATACGTCGTCCTGCCCAAGAGCTCGACGCCGAAGCGTATCGCGAGCAACTGGCTGATTCCTGTGTTGAGCAAGGAGGACTTTGAGGCGGTGGAGGAGGTTGCGAGTGGCAGGCACACACGCTTTGTCAACATGAAGGACACCTTTGGGTATGATGTCTGGCCGCAGGAGGCCAACGGCGAGCTTAAGGCCTAAGTTTGCTGGGGGATTGTATGACCAACAATGATATGACGGCGTTTCTGAACTTTTTAGCGATACCAGAAGTCGGATTGCAGACTTGTAGATTTTGAGCTCAAAGAGCAATAGATAGATTTCAACTACATTGTTTTGTCTCCATATCTGATAATTATCGACGTCTGTAGCGTCTTCACCCACCTCGACTGATGCGAAGCAACTAACGTGCATTCTCCATCTCCGGGTAACAATGGCTGCGGCTAGCAATGCAAAGCAACTTCCTTTTGCCGACGTTTCAGGTAGTTGCAACTTCGAATCTACGAATCAAGGCCGTATTCGCGCGTCTAAAAAGTTTGTACCCAGTGCTTCCTTCTCTGACTGGGACGTGGTATCATCATTAATTTTCCTTGAACGGATAAGCTATGGTATTCATGTTAGGGTCGTAACTAGAATCTCTTATTGAAACTCATGACAAGACAAGACGGTCCAGCAGTTCCAAATTCTTCCTCTCTTCTCGCGCTTTCCACCCTGTGGTCGCTGGCTGATCTGCCACCGAAGGTTTTGACAGTACGATATCGGGGAAGTGTTGTTTGGTGAACTCCATCGCAATCTGTGCTTCAGTGAACTTCTCCTCTTCTAATAATTGGCGTGCGACTCCCAAGCAGAGCTGAACGAGGAAGTTTCTTCGACTTTTTGAAGCTCGCACGAATGAGATGGCTCCAGCAGGATCCTGAATGAAGCGGAGACCTGGAAGTGCACTACGCTGTGTAGGGTGATGCAGCCAAAGCATCGATTCGACTGCTTGACTCCAATTGCCAAGCCAGCGCTGAGATGACAATAAAAACGACTCGTATAATTTGACGTCGGTAGAGTGATCTGGAGTGGAGATGACGCGATTTACTAGTCGTGCTCCTGCCGCTCTGAGAACACTGTACGCTGATTCGTGGCCCTCGACCTCTGCCATGCGAAACGCTTGCATAAACACGGCAAGACCGTTGTCCAGGCCTGTATTCCCTTGCACAGAGACCATTTTCGCCAACAACTGCTGCCTGAACGTTGAGACTTTCAACACGTCCAAGCCCGTGTCTTTGATGCGCTGCTGTGTGGGGCGAATGTACCAGCGCCAGGGGGCAGATATTGCGCCTTCGGATAGGAGTAATGAAACCAGCCGGTCCTGGAATTTACTGCTGCGACCTTGCTTGGTTGTGCAGAGGTCGAGGAAATCCTTTGATGTATCCAGACCACTCGCACGCAGCCACTCGGCGATTATGACACCTGGAGTCTTTCCATTCTGCAGTTGTGGCGAAGCCTCGGCGGCTGTACTCTCCAACACCTCCAGACACATGGCGGCTTTGGGGAGGCTCGCGGCTCCCACTGCAATCTGGTCAAGGAACCAGCCCATGGGGTCCCTGAGCACATCGACTGCAGCTGACTCTGAGCCTCTTCGGCGGGGCTTCACGGCAAATAGAGGGTTCGTCAAGATTGAGTCGATGTGCTTCGAAGTGGAGGCGTATGAGGAGGTGGCGTGGATCGGGGAGGAGCTACGTTGTCCATTGTTGCCTACAGACTTGTTCGTTGGCTTGTTTTGGATGCTGTCTTGGGGAGAGAAAGGGTGCTCGCGATCCAAGTGGTTCCGGAATGACGTCGTAAGCAAGTTCAATAGCTGCTGGCTTTCGCGTTTCGTGAGTGGAAGCTGGGGGTGGATTTTGGCGGCAAGCGCACTGAACGCCCGTTTCGCCGAGGCAGACTGCATGTTTGGTGTGTGGTGTGTAGGGGCCGGCGCTGGGTATACTGGCGACGACGGAGCGAGTGGTGGTGTGAGGGTGGTAGCTGGTTGTCGAGAGATCGGCAGTGGGTCATCAACGCGTCGAGTAGGCGGGGTCAGCAGACAAGAACACCAGTGACCTGCCCTGTTCACCAGAACTTTTGGTAGGAATCTACAAATTAGAGAAAGGCGTACTTGATTAGCAATGGACTTTTCACGAACTAAATCACAACCAGCAGATAGTGTTGTGCGTGGAGAAGACAACGTGAGGCCTGCTTATGTCATGCGACATGAACTACTATTCATCTTCTGATGCACGTGTCAAGTTCGTGTACAGAATGAGCATGAGGGACTAGCAGTGTGGACAACGGGCTACCAATGCAGTAGACATAAGCCCCTTTCACAGGACCATAGCGAAGAGAACGAGCTCTTAGACGGGCTATGGTAGGCGTTGCGGATCGCTCATAGGCCAAGACTCATCGTCGCTTAAAGGCAAGGACCGCCCAAGGGTAATGCAACCGACCGCTCTCGTCATTCGCAGTAGCCGTCACGTGCAAACCATCAAGAGCGACCCCAACCTGCATCACCGACGCATTTACCACAACGCAGACCTCGACCACACCTCCCTCCTCCCAGCACACACACACCAAGTCGACAGCGGCTTATCAGCACAACGACACATTTCACATGTCTGAAGTACAGCCCCGGCCTGCGCGAGGCAGGAGCACTGCCCGCGGTGGCAGAGGAGGATACGGGCCTCGAGGCCCTCGCAAGACCAACGGCGACGGCGCGTCGCAGCCCGCAGACACATCGGCAGAGCAGGGCGAGCTAGGCGAACTGAAGAAACGCTACCAGGCGCAACTCACAACCCTCAAGGAGCTGTTCCCCGACTGGACCGACGCCGACCTGGTGCTCGCAATCGAAGACTCTGACGGCGACCTGCAGACGACGATTGAAAAGATCAGCGAGGGTGAGTGGCTCCCCGCCGCCGCACCATGTCCTGCGGTGCTGCCACCTTCCAATGCATACTGACACGTGCACAGGTGCCGTCTCGCAGTTCTCCGAGGTGCCAAAAAAAGCAAAGGACCGCTCCCGCTCAAAGGTCCCAGACAATGCTGCTTCGACAGACGCCGCGTCCACCTTACGCGGTAGCCGGGGCGAGCTTCCTCGACGCGGCGGCGACAGCGTTCGCGGCGGTCGTGGACGTGGCACCGATCGTGGCCGTGGTGGCTTCCGTGGCGGTCGTGGAGGTGCCGTCTCGAGTGGATCTCGCGCACCCTCTACTTCGATTCCGACCTCTGAGTCTGCGGCGTGGGATGCGCCCACGACTGCCCCGGACGCCAAAGAGAACGCACCAGCACCCGAGCCCGCTACTGCTGCGCCAGAGGCCCAGGAGCCCGTTGCAGCGACGGCGCCTGCGAAGAAGACGTGGGCCAGCATGTTCGCACCCGTCGCGGCCAAGATCGCGCCCGTCCTGCCCAAAACCGTCGCAGATATGCTGCCCGAGGCCGAGGAGCCCGCTCCCGCTTCTGCTGAAGAGCCCGCCCACCCAGTGGCACTGGAACCAACCGTGCCAGTCGACGAGCCGCCCACACCGCCCCCCGCAGACGAAGTACCTGAAGCGCCTCCAGTTGCGACCGAGGAAACGCCCAAGTCGACGCCGGAAGTGAGTGAGAAGGAGACTGCTACAGAGACTGCCCTTGCGCCCTCCAAAGACGAGCTCACCCAAGAGAACGTTGAGCATCTGCCTGACGAATCTCATCCGCCCCCTACAGAAACGGTGTTCAGCACTGTTGCCAGCTCAAAGGACATTGGAAGCGTTGGCATCGCTACCCCGGTAGCCACCCCACTACAAGCACCCATCGGGCGCCCCGCCCTCGGAGGGTTCGCAACCTCAGCTCTCAAGGCGACGTCTGGATCACACCGCAGTGCCAGCTACGTCAAGAGGCTCATGGAACAACAGGAGGCAGTGGTCATGCCGAGCAACCATGCCGTGGACAGAGCAGCAGTGCAGTTTGGCAGCTTGGGCCTGAGCAGCAACGTGTCTGATTTGGACGTGGACGAAGACAGAGAAGAAGCAGAGACCAGGACTCAACCACCCCAACATTCTCCAGTTACACAGCCCAGGGCATCCTTGCCTCCGGCTCCTCGCCAAGCTGCCCCACAAGCGGAGACGCAGCCAGAGGAACCCGCCCCTACACCAAAGCAGGCTCCAGGACTGCCCCCACCACCTCAGCAGCAGTCCATCGCACAGGACTCGCCCTCCCACACAGCGATGCAGCCCCAAGGATCTCAGTCCAGCCAACCTTACAATCAGTTCGGACGTTATGGCCAAACTGGCACCCCATCAGAAGCTGCGGCACCACCCCAGAAGCCATACGATCCATTCGGCCAGCAGATCCCTCAATCGAACCAATACGACTATCCCGGTCAGCAGAGTCAGGCCCAGTCACAGCCTGGCGCATTTTCCTCAGCACCGGACAACTTTGGCTCTCAATATCTCACGTCTGAGCAGCAACGCTCCGCTTACCAGAACTACTACCAAGGCTATGGACAGCAGAATGCGCAGAGCCAGCAGGAAGCCGGTTCTGCTCAACAACGTACTGGTAGCGCTTTCGGCTCCGGTCCCAATGACTCAGGTTTCCCCCAGAGTCAACATTCGCAACAGGTAAGACCACCTTTCAACAATGTCGATTCGTCTTTCTCGTACGAGCAGTTGTTCGACCCCGGCTTGCGCAAATCTCATGTTGTTCCATCCGGAGTGTCACAGCAGATGCTTCTGGAAGAACGACTGGGAGGAGTGAGCAGGGAGAGGACGACTGTGGATATGGGACTGCAATCCTGGGAGCGGCAGGTTTCTAACGAACGTAAACAGACCCAGAGCCGATACAACGATGGCCAGAACAGCGGCCACAACACCCCGAACCCCAGCTCAAGCGGACAGCACCCCTCTGGACCTGCTTCGCAGGGTCAGCATATGCATCAGCAACACAGCCAACAGGGTGGCCAGCAGGGACATGCTGGAGGCTACCCATACAACCATCCCTACTATGGCAGTCCTTACTACGCCAACTACATGAACCAGTTCGGTGGCTATGGCCAACAAGGTGGCTATGGCTCTTTTGGAAAGGGCATGTACGGTCAACCCCATCACTACGGAATGTCTCCCCAGAGTTCCTACGAACAGCACTCGGCATCACCAGCCAATGCCGGAGGCTTTGGCGCATCCTCCACACATGAGCGGGGTAGCGGCTTGGGTGGAGGACTCGGCGAATATGGACGTGCCGCCTCGGCAACCTCGCAGAACCACAGCTCGGCAGCCGGCGCTGGTGGATTTGGCGGTCTTCCAGATGTATTTGGGCGACCCCAAGCATATTCGCATCAGAGCTCGTATGGCCAACAGCAGGGTGGTCAACAGGGACTTACTGAAGACTCCCTGAAGCCATTCGGTGACTCGAAGAACGGTGGCCCTAGCCCATCTGCTCTGGGAGCTCAGCCCGGCCGACCTGGATCAGCCACACAGAACACTCCTGGTCAGAGTGTGCAAGGCGGCCCTCAACAGTCCCACCAGCAAGGCTTTGGCGGCTACCCGAACCATCTTAGCGGTAACAACCAATACGGTGGACTCGGCGGACTTGGCCACCAGGGCGGCGGTAGCCACCAGCAACAGCAACAACAGCAGCAGCAGCAACAGCAGAGCGGCTATGGAAACTACGGTGGCTTTGGCGGATATGGTGGAAGCTACAGCCGCGGTGGCTGGGGCGGAAACTACGGAGGCCAGCACTAGACCGCATCTCCATCTTAACTCTGACAATATGAAAGGAGGAAGCCAAGTCCTACCAGGGAAGATGAAACAGTATAGCGAGGAGTATTTTTCTTTCTCTTTCTCTCATGTCTTTCTTGATTGGGCAGTATTGACTGATGGGGGGCATGAAAAGCATATCTCCCTTGATCCGCTTGGGTGGCCATGAAACAAACAACTCTGTATTATGAAAAATCTCCTTTCTTCTCCATCTTGCTTCTCGCTTTTTCTCCTCTCGTTCTTGCAAATCTCCCTCTCCCTCTCTCTATCTCCCTCACTTTGGTGGTATTGGACTTTGAACGTCTGCGAGGGAGAGAGAGAAAAAAATCATGTCCTTGTTTTTTTGTACTTTTTTTTGCTGCAGGTTGATGTGTGCAAATCGGTTCTATTTTCTCGAACGAAGCCTTTGGGGTTATCTAGGCTAGGGCTGGGCTGGGCTTATCGGGCTGGGGGTGAAAAGAGCAGTTTGGTATAGCTCTGCGTATGGAGTTGGGGCGGGGATGGCACATATAGTTTACGATTACGCTGTGATGGCTACGCTGTGCTATGCTATGCGATGCAATGAAATGCGATGATTGGTTTTGGGGAAGCAATTTTTTGGTTTTTCTGAAATGAAGTGAAATGCAATGATAGTGCGCGCGTTCCTTGTCTCCTGTTCTTGAGACTGCAACAGACGATGGAACTCACTTCCAACCCCCTCAGGAATTCAATTCAATTGAATTCAATCCATGTACCAACGTGCGAACGCTTCCAGTCAAGTCATGCATCGCGATCTCAACACATGGCACAGACCCACGGATCGCTCCCTTCGGAATATTAATTTTCGATTTTGACAGGTTTACTCATCCCTTTTCTGCAAGGATGATGCCGTTTGCCCGACCCCGACTTATAGAACCGCAGGTAATGTATCTTGTTTTGTGTCTTTGGCCGATGGTTCGGCGGGATGGGCTGCCGCTTTATTTTCTGGTGCGGTGTGGTTTTGTAAGGGGAACGCGCACGCCTCCTTATCATGATCATGATGATAGGGGGTGGGATGGTGTTGGCTGCTTTTTTTTTTGGGCAACTTGCGCGCGACGTCACGGCGGTGTCGGGGTTCTACTATACGCATAGCGTTGCGAATTATGACACTCTTAAACAACTCGCGTCACAGAGTCTTGATTACGAGCAGACGCTCAAACAACCCCCCGTTTCAGCAATGCAACCATCCCATCTCACCGCTCATCAACACATTCACCATCTCATAGCACGAAAACGAACACCTTACCCACTTTTCGCCATGACTACTGCAGCCCGCGATCTCCCACTAAGCCCCCTATCGCCTAGCACATGCCCAATCCGGCATGGCGTGGACGATTATCGGAATTTATTTTCCCTGGCGCGCTCGATAAGCACCGTGATGGTCTACCGCTTTGGACTTCCGCCGCATGCATGGTGTTGGGGCGGACAAAAGTTGTTAAGTTTAAGCTGGGTGCCCACTTTCGTGGACTGTGTGTTTCTGTACTCAAGAGTTTTATTTTTATTTTTATCAGGCGTTTGGCCTGCTTTGTTCGTTGGCTTTTTGGCGTTGTGAAGGTCAGTGCATTGGAAGTGTTGGAAGGGTGTTTAGGGCGACGGTCAAGGGAGGTATAGGCACGATTGGATCGTGAGAGGCTGGGAGGATACGACCACGGTGTTGCTTTTTCTGTGGAGAGGAAGATTACAGATTGAGGAGGACAGGTCGGCGTATTGAGCCAGTCTGCATCGATCTGCTACTCTGCCATCAGCTCAGTTCAGTCGATTTCAGTCCAGGAAAACCACACACACACGCCCACGAACCATGACTCCAACCACCACCACCAGCGACGGCCTTCCAGCATCGCCTCTCCTCCGCCTCCCTCTAGAACTCCGCCTCATGATCTACGAATACCTGCTCTTCCCATCGACACACCCCACAACCGGAAGCGGGACATCAATCGCAAACCTCCTCCCAGACTTCCACACCTACTACTCAGCAGACACGAACAACGACCCCTTCACCCTAAGCGTACGAACCATCGACCCCTGGCTCGGCGGACAACCAAAGTCCTGGAGACGCAGAAGCACGTATTACGTCCGCACCGGTACTTCCCCCTCCCCACCCCCGTCCAAAAAAAAACCCCCTTCTAACCCCTTAGGCGCCTTCCTCACCTCCTCAACCCCAACAACATACCGCATCCTCCTCTCGCCCTACACCGCGCACCTCCGCCACACCATCCCCTCCCTCCTATCCCTAAACCACCAAATCCACGCCGAAGCCACAAAAACCTTCTACGCAACCTACACCTTCTCCTTCCACACCGCCATCGAAGCCATCGTCCCCTTCCTCACCGACCTAACCCCGCTCGCGCGCCAATCCGTGCGCACCCTACACTTCACCAAAAAAGTGCTGCCGTATACCAAGGAATTCGACCGCGCGGAGTGGGCGCGCGCGTGTGCTTTTCTGGGCGCGGGCGGGATGCAAGGGCTGCGGTGTGTGCATCTTGGTGTTGTGGTGGGGCGGCCGGCGACGGGGTGGGAGGGCGTTGGGATGATTTCGTCGGCGGGGTTTGAGGAGCTGGTGAGGGTTAGGCGGGGTGGGGTGGATTTGGAGTGGGTGGAGCAGGTTTTGGCGATTGGGGGGTTGGGGGAGGTCAGGGTTGAGGCGCTGGTTGAGAGGTGTGCGGTGCCGGTTAGTGAGACGATGGCGTTTTGGGTGGCGTTTAGTAGGGGTGTTGTTGAGGGGGGGTTTGTTGGGTTGAGGGTGTTGTGTAGATGAGCTGGTGCGATTAGACATTATAGATTAGATTATTTAGATATTTTTGTTCATCCGGTAACGCCAACGCCACGGTGAGACCTCGATTATGGAGAGGGATATGCAAACAAACGCTGTGAAATCAGGGGTATACGCCAAAAGCAAACACCTTCCAACGCCAAAACTCCTTCACTTCGGGCTCAGATGTCTGTAACGGAGATCCTGACAAAGGATATTAGCCAGCAATCTTGAAGAAGTAGTGAGGCAGATTCTCACATCTGAGCAAAAGAACACAACAAAAAGGCCGTCATCTATGCCTTACTGGGTACTGGGTGCCCACCCCTCGTCTCCGTCGCAATTATCGTCTGCATAGTTGTCTTGGTGGCAGTGACGCGCGCCGTCTCGACTTCTATATCAGCCACTGCAACAGCAGCCATATAGTCGTAGTCGCTCATCGGACTCGACGGCGTGCAAGTGCCAAAAGGATTCTGACACCCAGCAGCGCAGTGAACTGGCGAGTTACCGCAGAAGCCGAACTCTGCTCCTCGTTAGCCCACCATCACATCAGAGAATACCACAAAACATACCTGAGCAACATTCCCCCCAACGCGACCCAGCACACACATACCCGTTCCCGCCCCCACCATCTTTCACACCACAACTCCCATCCAGCGACAACATCCCCGGCTGAACAGGAGCAGACTCAACAGGCAGTTCTATCTGACCGTCGAACGTCCTCGGCCCAACGCCCTCGGTGCACGTCTCGACCATGATATCCACGCCGGCATCACACGCAAACGTCGGCTCGCCCAGCCAGCTGCCATGCGTCAAGTACGTGTTGAAGCAGCCGCCGCCTGAGCACCAAGCCGGCGGGCACTGGCCCTCCTTACGACCAGGCACATGGACCCGCAACCCGCCAGCGATGAGCGGGCAGAACGCCGGATCCATGTTGCCGGCCGCATGGTTGCAGTTGATGGCCGACAGATCGTACCAGATGCGGTTCCGCGTTGGCTCGAGGTGGTACTCGCTGGATCACGGTCAGTCAATGTCTTACTTGTTATATAACTACGGGTATGTTGCTTACACCTGGATGATGCCCGCAGGCGCGACTTCGTATCTGGGCACGTCGCGCATCTTGAGGGAGAACCCGCCGCCTAGCAGCTCTGTGTTCACCATGCCGTGCACTACTGAGCCGCCGCTGCCTGGCACTAGGATGTGCTCCCAGTCGTGCCCGCGAGGATCGACGGTGCCGGGCCCTACCGTCCAGAAGTAGATGTTGTGCGGGCAGTGGTTGATGAACTTTATTGAGTTGGCTGCTGATGCTGTGAGGGCCAGGGCCAGGAGGGTGAGGAGAGGGAGGAGGGACGGCATTGCTGCTGGTGGGGAATGAGGGAGGAGTGAGTTGAAGTGAGGAAGTGAATAAGTGAGCGATTGATACAAGTCCTCAAACGAATGCCTTTGGTCCCCAAACTCAGAAAGAAAGAACGTACAAGTCTGAAGAAAAGAGAAGTAACTTCGCAGAAGCAGACCACCACTTTATACCAGAATCCGCTTACCTGATGATCTCCACTGAGCAGTTCGCTCTTCCTGGATATGAATCATCATAAGCTCCGCATAAACTGCTGAACACTGGTCCGGGACTCTACAGGACTCAGCAACTCAAGCAGTCTCTGCACCACCGCGCACCAACACCCACACAAAACCCAGTTTCTGCCGATCACCCACTACAAGCGGAACGTTCAACTCTGACGACCATGGAGTAACATATCCAGCTTCCAAAAGTTCGGCCAAGAACCCACTCAACACGCATCATACGTACCGCGACTCAGACAACACCTCCCCGAGCACTGACGATAGCATGCTCAACACAGCGAGCGTTGAGATGGGACGTTCCGTTCTGCTGCCGCAGAGCGATGTTCTTTCGGGGCGCGACTTGGTCTGGCTGGCGTCTTGGGCTGTTCGCTTGGTATGGGTGTGGGAGGGAGATGTTAGGGTTAGGATCAGGATTGGAATCAGGGTCAGAAGCAAGCTAGTCCTCCCCTCGCACACAGGTTCAGAAATAAAAGGAACCGTGGGAGTGTGTAGATGTGGATATAGAAGTGGATGTGAGTGTGGATATATAGCCGTGGAAAGGGATGTACAGATCATGATTACGTATTGTGGGTGGTATGTTTGTTTGGGAGGGAAGAGGGGAGAGTGGAGTGAACCGAACCAAGTGAACTGAACCAGATAAACGGCAGAGGGGGGTTTGGATTCAGATTTAGAGCTGAGATCGAATTCGAGCGCGTTGAAAGAGGAGGGGCATGACGTGTGTAGATTGTACAATGTTATAGATTGGAAAGGCAGGGTGAGATAGTGTGGGATATGAGCAGTGTAAGGCAGGAAAAAAGATACGTTTAACAAATTCCATCAATCCCATCACACAAGATAAAAACGCAACATCCGCGCATTATTTTTGTATTTAGGCTGTAATACTAGAACTGGACGAATAACCTACCTTCCAGTACGCCAGCACGACGATCCATCCACCCATCAGCAGAAAATAATAGTAAGTAATAAAAATGAGATGAGGAAACAACGCGCAAAAAACTCCATAATCCATGCCTTTGTCGCAACCATGTCTTTTCAATTTGGACGGGTATCAGAAGAGAGAAGAAAAAGCCAAACCCAACCAGACGCTACACTCCGACTCTTTTTGGTCCGGCCTCATATCCCCGTGAGACCTTTTGCATGCCCCAAGTTTTATCCCTGCATACTCCATATTTTGTACAAGTCCCAGTCGTTCCGTGTGCGAGGATCCCTCTCCAAGCATTTAAGCTGGGGGGATCTTCGATCGGTCGCCGCCCTTCTCGATCCACCTGTCCTGGATGATCGAGTTTTGTACGGCGTGCATCTGCTTGAAGGCCGTGCGGATGGTGCCGTCGCTTACTTCGACAGCGAGCCCAATCTCCTTTGGCGACTTGGGCTTGCCCATGAGGTGAGACACCAGGTAGATGACGGCGCCGGCGATGGAGAGGGGCGACCTACCAGCCGCAACGCCCTGCTCGGTAACAATCTGCGCGCACTCCTCTGCGATAAGTTGTATAGAGCCCAGGCCGAGTTTGGCGCAGGCACGCGGCATGAGGTTGGCGGCGCTGGTGCTCCCGCCGGTAGAGAAGGAGTTTGTGTCCAGGACAGCTCCGTTTCCGGCGACCTGAGGACCACTCTCCTTCTGCTTCTTCTGGAGAAAACCTTCGAGCGTCTTGAAAGTACGACCCACCTCCTTCTTGGACACGTTTGTCATCTTGAAGATCTCACGGAAGCTACGCTGTTGGTTGTGCTGGCGGCAGGCGATGAAAATGCAGCCGGCGATGATGGCGTCCTGAGACTTGCCCTTGAAGAGCTTGGCATCATCCGTCATACGGAAAAGCAGCTTCGCCGTCTCAGCGGTGACTCTGGTGATGTTGGACGAATCACATAGGGTGCTGATCTGGCCATAGGCGGCCTGCAGAGACTTGTTCTGCTTGTCATGATTTGAGCGATTATGGGCGCGCGACAGCTCGCGGACCCGCAGGCCGCCATCGCCAAAGCCGATCTCAGTCTGCAGCTGGGAACCGTGGAGCAAGGGATTTGCAGCATCACCGATACGAGAGGGGTCATCGTTGCCCTGGTCGTCGTTGGAGAAGGTTCGCCACTCGGAGCGCGTGTCGATGCCTCTCTCCGACAAGACACGGCCGCAGGAGCCGCACAGGGTGTCGCCAGCGCTGAACTCTTCCACAATGTTCGGCGGGTTCTCCCGGCAGTCGGGGCAGATCAAGATAACATTCAGGTCATCGCGGTACTCGTCGTCCTGCTGCTGCGCAGGCGCTTCTTCGTACACCTCGCCCGGGGACAGCAGGCGGCCATCTGGAGCGTAGGACATGTGTGCGGCGTTAAGTGAGTGTGGGGAGTGCAGGGGTCAGTGAGCGTGTCGCCGTGGACGCGGTGCAGCGGTTAGTACGTCTATGGACTTGGTGCGCGGTGGGCGCAAGCGTGGTGAAGCAGAGAGAGGCTTGCCTGGCGAAGGGAAGACTGTGAGTCAAGTCGTGAGCCAGACGATGGCCGCCAAGCCCTATAGCGCTAGGCCGCTTCGGGACGCGGCTCAACCTTCGTTTTCTCCAGCATGCCGCAGCGTCACCCCGACGCTCCCATTGCCGCTGCCACCGCCTCGACACCAACACCATGATCGCGCAATCCATCAGGGCCTCGGTACGCTGTCCGCGCCGCCCTGCTCTCCATGCCTGCTGACCCGCCGTAGCGCCAGGCGCTCGCACGCGTTGCCCGCCAGCAGCCTACCTACCTCGCCCGCCGCACCTTCATCACCCCCACGGCCGTCCGACAAGGTGATTCATCCCGCCGGCCTGCACACGCTCAGTACTGACTCAATTGGCGCTGCAGCCGACTTTGTCCAGGACTTGTACCTCCGCGAGCTCAAGGCCTACAAGGTCCCGCAGGTCAAGGCCAACGACGCCGAGGGCCACGTCCAGAAGTTCACCGTCCCCAAGGCCCCCGCGTCTCCCGAGGAGACTGACATTGCGAGCGAGCTGAAGGCGTACGAGACGCAGGCGGTCGATGTCGAGGGCGGTTCGTCCGCAGAGGGCGGTGCTGTGCTGCCCGAGGAGGACTGGTTCGTCGAGGAGGACGAGTCCATCACCACGCCCGGTGCCACCCACTAAGCTGGGCGTGTCCGACGTTAAAACTGCATGTACCCAATACTAGCGGCTGTGTCAGTACCGACTGGGGAATAGACGGCTGAGTGTGGATATCATCTTGCTCGAGATCACGTGATGTGTGTTGAATATGTCAGCGACATGCAAGCAGCGAACAGCCGTTTGCTGCATCAGGGGCATGAACGTGAACTGTGGCACGGCTACTCCGGTTTTCGTAACCGGTCGACTGCAGCCGTGCATACGTGCTCACATTGCGTACACGTGCAGACAGCTTGTGAACTTGACCATGAACTTGAGCATGAACACGGTCAGACCCTGTCCCAACCCTGTACTAGGCAGTGGACCCTTTTCGCGCGCAGAGTCGTCCTCGCAATGTTGCACAGACATGGCTGAATCGTGGCCTGGGTGGACGAGAAGGGGATCAGAAATGAGACGGCTTCACGGACCAGCAGATGGATGTACCCTCATCTCAAACCAGATGCTATGCCATGCACGCAGCTGCACAAGACAGCGCTCCCCCGCACCATGTATTGTTTATGTATGCCACCAATAATTGGCGCAGCAGAGGGCGAATCAGTCCCCCTTAGCACCACGTCGTGGAATGCTCCTCGTCTTGTGTCGGAACTGGCTGTCCGGAACGGCGGACGACACGCCAGTCAACGCCAATGGCAGTTGAGCTGGCGAGCTGGCGTTTCTGCAGGCACAGCCGCAAGACGGGTGGCTAAGACCCAATTATGTGCGCCATCGCGCTATTCGCTGGAGTGTGGGTTCTTCAGTGCAGAGCCCTCATCCCCCATCGCTACCAGCAGCACGGCGAAGCGAGCGTGGGTGGGAGGTGCTGTGTACGACAGACGCAGAGCAGAGCAGAGCAGGGGCCACTGGATGCTGAGACGTCATGGGGAGCATCAGCCGATAACCACGGAGATTGACGACGAGACAGCAGGAGGAGATTGCGTGGGTATGTCGCGCAAAAACAAAAGTCGTTTGTGCTGCGGGCCCGCAGTAATGTTAGCAGAGACATTGGCATCCTCATGTAGATTGTTGAACGAGGCCCGTTTTCTGGCGAGGCTAACGGGCGGCAGCTCTGCACCTAATGGCTGGATTGCTGAGGCGAATCGACGGCCTCACCGCGACTATCGAATGCATGGTTCTGGGAGGCGTGGTGAGGAGTGCACGACTGCACGACGACGCACGCGCCTGCGTCTCTGCCTGTCAAGTGTCGTCGCAACGTGCAATGGCTCGCCGGCCCAGCGATGGCGATTCTAAATTAGAAAATCCCTCCGGCAGCGATCTGCATACTGCACAAGCGGGAAGTGCCACCTGCTCATGAACCCTGCTAGGCCGTGGTTGAGGCATGCCACGGCCATGACTTGCCATGACTTGGTGCGCAGTGACGGCCGCTCGAGCACGCTCTTCACACGCGCATGTCCGCAGTCAGTCGCTACAAAACCACCCTCGTCTTCCACGCGCTTGCTGCCACACGCCGCCGCCCTCGACCTGCCCGCCGGCCCCTCCCTCTCCATCACGGCATTGTGACGTCCCGGCCTGCCTATCCCCGACCCTCCTCAGCCCACACCGGGTGACCCGCCCCCGTCGTATCCCCGAGCCATGAGCCCATGAACAGCCCCGTGAACACCCTCCCGCCCAGCCCAGCCCAGCCCAGCAGCCCGCCCGCCCACACGCACCGCAATGCCCATCGCCGTCGCTCCCGCCCTGCGTGGGCACGGCATCTTCTCGAGCACCGCGCGAGGCCGGAGCCGCGCCGCCTCGGAAGCGGGCCCACCGCCGCCGCTGCCCCAGGAGATCAAGCAGGAGCGCCGCCCACTGCCCAAGGCCGCCTCGTACACGTACTTCCCGCGCGTCAAGGACCTCGACCAGGTCGCGTCGGAGCAGGACGGCGACGCGGCCACGGCCAAGAATGGCGACGCCACGTCGGGGAGCTCGTCGGGCGGCTCGAGCCCGTCCGAGGAAGAGCCCCCGCAGATGCTGCAGATGAGGCCCTCGGCTGCCTCGCGCCGCTCGTCGCGCTTCCTGCCCTTCTCCAGCAAGAGCAGGGAGCCGTCCGCCGAGCGCAAGCAGGACCGCAAGGCTGAACTGAGCCGCGCAGACGCCGCCAAGCCAGCAGACGCCGCAGGGGGCTCGCCGGCGCGCTCCATGACGAAGCTGCGCAGGAAGTCGTGGGTCGTCTCGCAGCACTCGCGGCCCGCCTCGCCCACAAAGGAGAAGGCCGCCCAGACCAAGGACGACGCCAAGAAGAGTTCCATGGACGGCGAGGCGAGCAAACGCAAGACGCCCGCCAGCATCCCAGAGGAGTCTGTAGCACGCACCCCGGCCCAGCAAACGCCAGACGCCCAGCAGCAAGCGCCCCTCAGCAAGAAGAACAAGCGCCTCAGCGGCCTCATCACCAACTCGTCCGCCCTGCCCGCCTTCCACAAGTCCTTCTCGACTGACCAGCTCCCCCTGTACCCGCAAACAAGCACGCAGACGCCGCTCAGCCCATCTCACGTCCCCCCACTGCCACGCAACATATCCACCGAGAAACTGAAAGGCATCAAGACGGAGCCCCGCAAGAAGGACGAACTCTGGAGCGTTTTCAGGACGCTCGATGCGGACCTGCGCAAGTGCGGCTCTCCTCCCGCTTGAATCCCGATAGAAACTAACGCTGAACAGGTTCCAGTCAAAGTCCATGGCCCTCAAAGCAAACGTCGTCCGAACTGCTCTCCTCCCCTTCCTCCGCAACTACGCATCCCACCCCTCAAACCACAAGCTCAGACCAGAAGACCTGGACCGACGCGCCAACATTCTCAATGGATGGTGGACGGGCTTGCTGGAACTCGTGGCAGGGCGAAACAACCAGTCGATATCTGGCACAGACCGCCCGACTATCCTCGAAGGCCTCGCAGGAATCATGGAAAGATCCGAGTGGAGGCTTTCGCCCTCGCCGTTTTGCGCGCTTGCTGATCGCGTAGAAACATCGCCAACCAAGCCAGCCGCTTCCAGTACTTCGATCAACTCCGATTTCCTTGCTGAATCCGTCATACACAACGTCCGGAATATCTTCACGCAGAATTTGCTGTCGCAGATGACTTTTGTAGTCGACAAAATGTCTCCCCGAAACGCACCCGCCAGTCTAGTCACTTTCTGCGGCAAGACCTGTGCCTACGCCTTCATGTTCTGCCCCGGCATCGCAGATATCTTGGTACGCCTGTGGAATCCGTCCATGGAAATGATGAAGCGCGTTTTGCAGGAGTCGGGCGTCTCGAAGCTGGACAGTTTGGACACGGTTTCCGAGCAAGTTGTGGCGGCATTTCCGCCTACCCTTCTCCCACTAAAGTTCCAGTCTCTCGGAAAGCTCGTTCGGACACTACGAGTGCCTGCGTCGTTTCCGCTGGGCACTGCGAACCTCGACTGGTACGGACTCTGGTTGAAACGCTGGTCAGGCGAGGAGAGTGACTTGTTCTACGTTTTCGTCAAGCACTACCACATCCTCGTGAGCGACTTTCTACCTGCAGAGCCAAGCGACACGGAGCGCATGTGTGTACCCGGATTGGTCGCGGTTCATGCACAGGTTTTGGTTAATTTGGATGCCACGATCAACAGACATGCTACGCCTCAGCACTCCAACGATGCAGGATCGGGACCGGCAGCCATCACCTTTGACGATGTATTAGGAGAACCGGATGCTTCAGCCTCTGCAATCGCCATGCCACCGGCCAACGCTACCCGGCAGATGCAGGAGAACCGATTTATCATGCTTATGCGCGACTTTCTGTCTGAGCGGAACTCGCATCTTCACACTGCAAGACGCATGTTCGCCAACAGCATTGCGCACTTGTTGCAGGCACAGACACGCAAAGTGTCAATATACGACAGCAATGCTTGTTACACATTATGCGACTTGCTGGAAGAAGCGTTTACCATCATGATCCGCTACGAACAGCTCGACAGTGGGCACCATTCAATCTTGAATTGGCCATTTTGGCTCTCAGTATGCAGGAAAATGGCTGCAAGCGAGAGTACGTCAACCGAGATCAAGCTGTATGCCTTTTTGTACAGTATTTGGTCTGCCATGGCTGTGGATGAGCAACGCAAAGCCAGCTTGTGTCTTGATTTCATCCTGGAACCCGTGTTCTTTGAAAGCAGGTTCAACCATTGGTGTCCTATGGTTCGGTCATATTTTATGCGGCTGCTCTGTTGGCGGGTTGCGAGGTTCGATGGGGAGGAGACTGAGGTTGAAGTGTATGTTTTGGTCTGACTATTGAACAAACACGTTTGCTAACATTCAACAGGACGATCAAGAAGGCGCTCAGCGATCGCCTTCGCTCCGTGTGGTCCCACTACCTCTGGCTCCAGGAAGAGTCTGAGAGAAAATCGGTCGTATTTCCATCGACACAAGCATGCAATCCTGCGCCGGGTCGCCGGTTTTTAATCATACGAAATGACAACCCCGTCCTCGCCAACAACGGCCCGTTTCTTTCTTTCGATGGTGTCATGCAAAACACCCACCAGCGGAAGCCATCAGCTACCACACAACCAATCCCCGAACCCGAGCCCCGGCCAGTTTCAGTGATTTCGACAGACTCGCAGGACTTCCCAGAAGAGGAACCCGGGAAAGGAAAGTGGAACATGTTGAAAAGTTTGATAGGAGCTGGGCCAAAGCAGTCTTCAAAGTCGAAATCTGCACCATCTGCAAAAGAGAAGGAGAATGCCAAAGCACCAGCCACGAATGGCACAAAGCCCTCCGAATCTGCATCGGCCGAAAAACATGCTCCTGCCGAAGCTCCCGCACCAGCACCCTCTAATCACCGCATCTACAGCTTCCGCTTCTCCCTCGAATGGGTCGACAAACGCTTCGGAGCCTACCAAAACATGCGTCTTCAGCCGCCCCGTCTCCCACTCCCTGCGCAGGTCCTCCTCCAGCAGAAAGGCATCAACATCGACACGGTCAGCAGTTCCCAGCCCACAGGCACTACTGCAAGGAGCAGTCAGTACGCGGGTCGTGCACTTGCCGAATGGACGTTTGTCAGCCACGAGTGCCAGAACTTCTTCGATAGGAGGAAGAACGAAGGCGTGCCATTGCACAAACTGGTCGAGACGCCGACGCTGAATGTCGAGGTATTCAGGCGCCCCGGCTGAGACCCAGTCGAACCTCCACATTCATTTGCCGTCTATTTCTTTTTGCGTACATGGAGTTCTTTCTTGCCTCGTCGTCGTTGTCGTCCTCGGCGATTTCGATACCATCATTCCTTTTTTTGCAGGTCTATCTGCATGACAACAAGATTTCCTTTGTGGCGTTCTCAACCGCGCCTTTGGCTTTGAAAGCGCAAAGCACACTTTTCGGCTTGTTGTATAGTCTGTCCCTTTTGTCTACAAACTCACACTCACACTCGTGCATATACGGCAGTGCGCTTTTTGCATGGGGGTCTATTTAGTTTCCCCACGGGCGTTTGGAGACTCGAGGGGGGTTTATTGGGTACAGTGGATGGAGTGGAATGGAATGGAATGGGCGTGGATGTAATGGCCTACCCTTATATGGCCTGGCTGTTTCTATAGATTCATGAATGGCTATCTTATCTGTTCGGTAGAAGATGAGGTGTGAGCACGTCTTTATATGCTTGGCTTTGTGATGGAGCTACCCCGCAATCAATCAGCACTCCACCCCTCCATCATCGACACATCTCTTGAACTCTTAACCGGACCTTGACACCGACGGGACGCTAGACTCTGCTTTCGAAGCAATGGAGCCTATGGTAGCGCTTCGGTTATAGTGTAGCACTGGAGATGCCCCTCCTGTTTGATGAGGCGGGATGCTTCCGTGGTATTGCTAAGCTACAGCTCTCTTCTCCAAACCTCACAGTATATTTCCTCCCCCTCATTCACTGAACCGACCTTCTGTTTCGCTGTCTTTTGCTCCGCTTTACTCGGCTCTTCACTTCCAAAGCTCTTCAGCACACGTTCCACCGCCTCAAACTCTACCATTATAAGACTCGACCACCATGGCCTCATCTACCGGCCCGGGCGATGCCTCGATACCAACCCTCAAAGATCTAACAATTGAGAACATCACCGATAATGTCCACCTCATAAACTCGCAATGCGCCGACCCACGTCTGAAATACATCATGGAGCGCCTCGTAACGCACCTTCACGACTTTGCGCGCGAGACACGTCTAAGCTTCGAAGAATGGATGGCAGGCATCCAGTTCCTAACAGCCGTGGGACAGACATGTACAGACGTGCGGCAGGTACATATCCCGCGATCCCACCCAGCCTCCAGAAAAAGCCATCACCGCTAACACAATCACCTAGGAATTCATCCTCCTCTCCGACATCGTCGGCCTCTCCCTCCTCGTCGACTCCATCGACCACCCCAAACCGCCCTCCAGCACCGAAGGCACAGTCCTCGGACCCTTCCACACCCACGACGCCGCCACGCTCACCCCCGGGTCCTCCATCTCCGGCGACCCCAACGGCGACCCCCTCCTCGTCCTCTGCAGCGTGAAAACAACGTCCGGACAGCCCCTCGCAGACGTCAAAGTCGACGTCTGGGAGACAGACAGCCACGGCAAGTACGACGTGCAGTACGCCGACCGCGGGGATAAGGCCGACGGGCGCGCCATCATCCGCAGCGACGCGCACGGCGTCTTCTGGTTCAACGCCATCGTCCCCGTGCCGTACCCCATTCCGAGCGACGGGCCTGTCGGCCAGCTGATCGCGAAACTGGGCCGCCACTGCTGGAGACCGAGTCATATGCATTTTATGTTCGAGAAGGAGGGGTTTGATAATTTGGTTACGTGCGTCTACCTTCCCCCCAGAATATCCCGCGGTAGCAAAACTAACACAATGCTGCATTCAGAGCGCTGTATATCCGCGGCTCCGACTACGAGACCTCCGACGCCGTCTTCGGCGTAAAGGACTCCCTCATCGTCGCTCTCGATACGGTAACCCCGCAGCTAGCAGCACAGTATAACGTCGAAGCGGGATCTAAGCTGCTGAGGTACGACTTCGTCCTCGTTACGGATGAGGAGACGCAGCAGCTAAGGCATGACGAGGCGGTTAAGGCGATGCGCGCGTTGGGCCGCGAACATATGAAGATTATTAAGGGGCTGCCGGTGCCGGATGTGGATTAAATGGGGACGTAGTAGTAGTAGAAGATGTAATGCGAATAGAGTAGATGGGAAGGTGGTAGTTTAGTGCTGCGTGATGTGGTTGAGCGTATGGATACTGCACCACTGCATGACTTTATCGACTTTATCTATCTTATCTACCCCCTTACCCCGGTCAAGACCGGGCCATTAGTTCACGCATATCCATACATATATATATACAGGCCCTCCCACTGCATGCATACGCCGATCCCACCCCCCCGAAGCGGGGTCTATCTCGAATAGGAAAACGTTTCCCCAACCCTCTTCTATCGTGCTTTGTAGGCATTGCATTGCATGGCACGGCATGGCGTGTACAGCGGCTGCTGGGTCCTTGTCGTCATCGGGGATCCACTGGCTGCTGGGTGGGTGTATATCTGTGTGGGATCCGCGAAGATGTGCTGGAGTACTTTGTATTTTTGAGTGAGTGAGTACGCAGTGATTAACTAAAGTACAGGTTAGACGACATGATACGACACGACACCATGCCGTTTTCTTCCCTCGTGGGCGGTCCTTGGGCGTGGAGCTTGGGCTTTATGCTGCTGGTGATGGTGGGTTTGTGGAGGGTGTACTGGGTACGTGGGAAGGGAAAGGTATGCAATGTATACCCCGTTTACACATCGAAGTAAACTGTAGGACTAACATTGATATAGCAGAACGCCCAACCACAGCCACCATTCAAAAAAGCCCCCAACGTACAAGCCCTATACAGCACCATAACGCCCCTCCCCACCTTCGACATCGCCACCGAAGAACCCCTAAAAGTCCGTCCCTTCCGGCCGAAATACCACCTAACAATGGGTAACATCCCCCTCCCTCCCCCCTCTTTCAAACCACGCGTCCTAACCCCCTACAGCCCTAGAATCCACAACCCTCTCCTCCCTCCTCCTCATAGACAGAACTTGCGCGGACCAACTCTCCCTCCGGCGCTCTCTAATCGCCAACCGACGCGCCGAAGTCCTCGGCCTAACAACCCAGTCACACACCGCAGTCTACGAGCTATATTCATGGCTGACGAACACCTACCTGCCCACGCGGTACCCCACGCTCTTCACCCTGCACGCCCAGGAAGACCAGCTATTAAACGCCGTAACAAACGATGCAATGCCCCTGCACCCCGCGAGCGCGGAATCCGCACTCGCACATCTAGGCGCGCACGTGGATACGGATTTCTTGCTCCTCCTGCCCTCCCCCTCCCCCACCGCCAATGGAGAAAAAGATGTAAAATACCACCTCACCGCCTTCATAACATGTTTCCCCAACGGCTTCAGCACTGCATCTAAACTGGGGCTTTCGCTAACCGACATCCACGGCCCGGTGCCGGGGTACAAGGTTAAGTTGGAGCGGTCGATGGATCGGTATTTTGCGGGGCTGCCGGTGGGGAAGGTGGTTAGGAGGGGGAATTGGGCGGTTAGTACGGATGGGGTGTGGTGTTGTGCTGTGGCGGGGCATGGGGCGGGTGTGGAGTATGAGGAGGTGCGGAGGGATGGCGGGGAGGATGTTGATTTGGGGAGGTGTAGACTTAGGTGTGAGAGGCAGACATTGCATCGGTTGCCGGGGTGTGGGGCGGTGGTGTTTGCTTTTAAGGTATGTTTTGCTTTTTCTTCTTTTACGCGGGGGAGACTGTTGGGTTGGAGGAGTTTTTGTCTGCGGTGAGGCTGGGCTGATAAGAGTAGACGTATCAGTATACGCTGAAGGAGGTGAGGGATGAGGGGAGTGGGGAGGCGCTGGCGGAGGCTATTGATGGGTTGGAGAGGGGGAGTGTGCCGGGGATTGCGGTGTATAAGCGGAAGGTGGTTTGGGGGGAGAAGGTCAAGGCGTATTTGAGGGGGGAGATTGATGGTTGAGCGTGAGGAGTATACTGCGTGGATGGAGATGAATGCGAGAACTGACGCCCGTCTTGCGAATCCTGGGTGGGAGGAGGAAGGATATCGCTGAGATGCGGTCGAATTCAGTCTGTGATGTGATGAGCTGATTTAGTTTCCTCACAGGTCACAGACGCGAACGTTCAGCTTGTGGTAATGTCGATGAAAACCATATATATCATCGTATAGTAGACCGAAAACTCATGCTATGTACCCGTTACACGCGCTCCTGAACGCCGACAAAGACAGACCGAACCGAGTTGCAAGGGATGCTGGTCCCATGGTAAAGCACCCAAAGAAGAAGTACATGCTGAAGAAAACGGCCATCCACCTGTGTTTCGACCGGAAAAGTGTACCCAGTCGCGCAGGCAACGAAAAAGTGTCGTAGCCTTGCCACTAAGATCGATGAAAAAGTTCCATACCGACATGACATGGTGAAAAGATGAAGTCCAGTGCCAGTCGATTCCCCGTCTCATCAGCACGATCAGACGTTGTTCTTGGGGTTCTCATCCGACGTCTTCCACTGCAAACAAGTCAGCATCAATCGCAAACCGCAGCCACAACAAGTCAAACCCCGAGAATGGAACAAACATACCTGCTTTCCTAGCTCCTTCTGCTGCTCCTTGAAGTCCAGTTCCTTGTACTCATCGCGGTGCGCCTTGACTAACATCCACAATCAGCAAATATCACATTGAGATGAAAAAGCGACTAGTCCGCATGCAGCCCAACGCGTCCAAACGCGAGCCACACGCGTAGACGTCATCGCGAGTATTACGGAGGAAAACGTACAGAAAGCTTGCATTTTGATCATAGCAGTGCGGGCCTTGTTGCTCTTGACGCCCTTTGGTCGGCCGGCTTTCCTGACACCTGCGTCTTTTGCTGCGGCTGGTTTGGCGGTTGTAGTAGTGGTAGGCGCCATTGTGAGTAGATGGTGATGGTTGCGTTGGTTACGTTGGTAGAAGTGCGGTGGGTAGTAGATGAGAAGGTAGTTGTGTGAGAGGTAAGATGGGTTAATCGGTGAAGGAGAAGAGATGGGTGAGGTGAGTGAGAGGTAGGAATAACAACAAATTAGGAAAGAGCGCTAGGCTCTCTCAGGCTAGGGATGTGTTAGAGTTCGAAGGTGAGTGCACTATTAGAATTATCATTTGGGTCCTGGGCGTAGATCGTCATGATTGGCGGTAATATGCTGAAACTGTACCTTGAGGGATTTGTTTGGGTTGTATGTATGTTCAGATTGTTCGGCTGTTACAGAGTTCATAACCACCCTAATCGATACCTGAGTCTAAGCAGCAGTTTTGGCTCTGAATCAATGCGAGTAGTCTGGAAATGTAATGGAATGACAGTTTTGAGTTTCTGAGAGTGCACAACGCTGTATGTAGTTGCCATATATGTGCCAGATTCTCACCTTTTGGTCGTGCCCACATATCGATCCGCCATCTTGTCGAAGTCACTCACTCATCAGGCCGTCTTCTCACTGTTGTGCCTTAGCAGCCTCCGCCTCGGCGCTTCCAACTGGCACCAACTTCCCCACGACCAGATATTTCTCCTCGAACCTCTCCTCCCACCCCCTCATTGCATCCTTCTGCTCATCATCCAAATCCTGAAGTGTGTCCAGCGGCCCATCTAGGTCCTTAGTCAACATCTCCTCATCGAAACTGCCACTCGCCAGCCCACGACTCGCATCTCGCCCGGCAAAGTTCGCATACGGACCGCCCGGACCGTAAAAATTGCGCCCAGAGGTGACATCAAAGACACGTCCGCGCACAGCGAGATACACAGGCATGCCATTCAGGCCATTGTAAGGGAAGAGCTCGGGCGGGGTAAAGGTGCGGAAGACGGTGGGCGGTGGAGCGCGTGGGAGGACTTGAGGAGCCGAGGGCTTGAGGCGGAGGTAGACGAGGATGACAAAGACGGTCAGAAGGACGAGGTTGATGGGGGTGACGGGTGATTGACTGCTAGGGTGTCAGTCTGGATTGTGATGTTGTGGATGCGCATACGCGGAGTGCTTACGCATGCGTAGCTGGCGGAGGAGAGATTGCTGCGTCTGTTAGTCGATTCACGTTTTGGATGAATACAACGCACTGTCAGTCATGTTGACTCGGTTGAGAAGACTTGGGTTGATCAGGGAAGTCGGTGTTTGGTGTTGCGGTGTTGGAGATTCATGACGCTCGGGAGGGGCCTCAATTTCATCCATGCACCCATGATGCAGCTCGAGGCTGACGACACTATTATTAGCCCAACGTCCCGACGCACAGCCTGATGCGGGAAAGCATACACAACGCCACCGCAAATCGTAAAGTAAACAACAGTGAATGTTCACATCTGCTAGTCGCTCTCTTGTGTCGCGCTTGGCAACCACAGACTGGATGCAAGTATTCGCCTGTGCAAAGCTGCTGGCTGGCGTCAAGACTTCTCCGCGCGCCTAAAGCTTCGCCTTGATCGCCTCTTCGCCATTCCCAGCTAACCTGTAGTCATTTGCCCACTACGAGCATATTCATCTTACTAGCACGCGCGCCCCGCAAACGTAACTGTCTGTCGTTGCGCGCAACTCTCAGGCCTTCGCCTCTTTCTGAAACACTGCATGGACCGACACCTGTCCTGAAACACAACATTTCGGCGGCTCATTTCCGTCATCTCAGTCCACATCATTCGTAGGTTCCACCCAGTGAAATTCCGAAACAACAGTCGTTCGTCGCTGTTAAACCATCGCAAGCGCGCTGAAAACGCTTGGGCACGGAAAGGTGAAGCAAGCACTTGCAGCAACAAAGGACCAGCACCGTGCTACCAAGCTACTAAACCTCACTCACTGTGCTTCCCCACTCAACTCAAGTATTGTTGTCGTCCTTGACTTGAGAATCGTGGTTTCCTATAGCACCTTTCATTGAGCCTCACTACGCCTTCCTGTATACACACGTCGACCACCGCAGAACCATCACACTTTCTCTATTGTTCAATCGGTATGTACTTCTCTCACTTTACTTCTGTCTTTTTCTCTGTTCAACTCCGTCATCCCACTACACCTGGACTTGAACCATCCTCATCCTTGTTTCCATATTTTATACCTGTACTAGCCCATCCATCATTTATCATACCCCCTCCGATGGAGCCTACCTTCCACGGTTCCACATCAGATACTGCGAATCAAAACCATTACATGGCCGACTCTACGCAATTCAAGATGGTCAGCTCTACGCAACTCAACATGGCTAGTGTGGGAGCACTTCGACCTACCGTCGCCTTACCGTTACCACGCAAGCGAGAGATCACCGGCCTGCTCCTCCTGGCCCTCATATTCCCGTACCTCGCAATATATCTGGATGGCGGGTCTGCAGCGGTAGTAATCTGCAACATACTTCTCGTCCTGACCTTCTGGCCAATCGGGATCATTCATGGTCTCGTCTATATTTGCCGTGGTCGACAACATCGATCTATGTCTCGACCCATGCGGACCAGTCTTTGGATCAAGAATGAGCCGGAAAAGCAGCCGTTCCAGGACGCCTATCGAGAATCCAAACCCGAGAATGCATTCTCAAACCAAGGCCAAGAAGCAGAGCCCGTGAAGGATCAGAGTATCCCTACACGCAAAACAATCACCTTGGGTCTACCAGAATACGAATATCCACTACCCAGGAAGCAGGAGAATCCATTCCGTGACCAATTCGTTTAGTTTGGCTATTCCCGTTCTCCCGCCATGTGGTACGAGGATCATGCAGCCCGATTGTTTTCAACTTCTTACACAAACACGAGACCATGCTAACGGTGCTTTGTACAGACCTAATGTGGAAGCGATTTCAAGGTCATGGGCGGGATAAGGAGAGGCATGCACATATAGGCAACCCTGTGCTTCTCGAAACGACATACGACGAGGATCAACTCAGGCGGAACCCTGATGTTACCGACGTTCAAAATGCTACTTACCAACACAATGCGCCTCCTTCGCAACCATAGTCAGTTCCTCACATTCTTTCAAGTCAGAGTGTCAGTGCTAATAGTACCTCCCTACAGTCTTTCCTGGCCGGAAGATTACCCAGATTACAGAGCATCGACAACTCCAACCGTGTCATCAGTCTATTCACGACCTTCGAACGATCTGTACTACTACGACAATCCAGTCGCTACATCTCCTTCTGCTTACGAGGACATATCACCGCCTAGCTCACCCGATTCCGAACAGCAACAGCATCTTCGTCAACCTCGAAGATACCGCTCGATGCGGGATGTGTCGCCCATAGATGAAACTCGGGGGAAACCTCAGACCGCAGATGCTCCACACAAAACCACCAATATACCTGTTCTACGCAAAGCACCACCTATCGTCCGGACCGGCGAATCGCAGCCCTCACAAAAGTTTTGGGGAGTAAAGCTGGCACCAAACAGCAAGGTTAAATGGGACACGTACTCGGGTGAACCTACATCAGGCGATGCGGGTATCTCACAGTCTGTCACTCCAGCCTCGTACAAAGGCACCGGTCTACCTGACGTGCGGCCGATGGGATATCACGTTTCAGTGTCCGGGCCTGAGATCAAGAAGAATGTGAGCCTTGTAGAACGCATGGGTAGTCTCCGAGTAAAAACTCCGCCTTCGATGGAGACTACAAAGCCTCGCGAACCGTGGAGCCGTACGACTGGGCGTTCACAAATTGCGCCAGCTTTGAGAGACGAGATCTCGCGTAAGCCGCTGCAACTACCTCGGAAGACTGAAGCTCGTGAGGTAGACCGGGCTGATCAGGTTGCGTCAAATAAACATACGACCCCCGCCGCTCAGGTTCCAGTGGCCGCTGAAACCACGCTTGTCGCAGACGACATATACAACTTCGATGCGCATGAGAGTGCAATCAAACCTATTCCACCTCTCAAGATTGGAAAGAACATAGCTCCCCGTAATCTTACATCTCCCATATCGCCTATAAACATCGGGCTTGGGATCCAGACGCCTTATTCTTACCCCAGTCCTGTGACACCTACTCAAGCGCAGCAATCGCTACCTCCGACGGCAGTGAATGAGCCGACAGAAGTCTGGACACAGTCGAGAGAGCATACCGCGATACCAGAGAGGGATACAGAGCCGTCGAACAGCCGCTTCTCATGGACTACATACAACAGCGCGACCACCTACCAGCACTCACCTCCGCCATCACCTCCACCACCAGCCATGCCCACACATACGCAAGTCCAGAGGCCAAGGATAGTAACAGAACCCATCTCAGCCGCCTCGTCAATCCTAAGCCGTCGCCGCCCCGTACCCCAAGCAGGTCAACTCCCCAGCCCCGTTGCTCAGACCGCCCGCAAACCCATCCCCACTCCCTCCGTCACACCCACGACAGCCAAGATACGCACCTTCTCCCCACCCTCGCCACGCCCAGCCTCCACACTGAGCACCACGACCAACAAAGCGCTCCCACAGCCCCCCACGACGCTGTCCGCAAGCGACCACGTCTCGCTCCTCGAATCACAGATGGAGGACCTGCGCATCCGTCGCAACAACGTTCACCGCCTGCTCGATGACTTGAACAAGGCTGCGCCAGCGAACCCGCTGATCACAGACTTCAAGCGCGCCAGGCTAGTCGAGCAGAGGAAGCGCGCATATGCCGATGAGCTGGCGGAAATCAAGGCCGAGGAGTATGATGTAGGTATGAAGTTGCATCGCGCGTGGAAGAAGAGGGAGTTTGAAGATCCGAATCAGGGGTCTGCACTATGGATTAGGAGGGTGACAGGGTAGAGTTGTGGATATGGCTATGCAATTCCATGCCATGGATAGGTGGGCAATAGAGTGCGGTCGACTGAAAGGGAGGGGGAGTCGGGTACTCCCGTATGCCCTGTATTATCTGATTTCTTGTCCCAGACGTCACTCTACTCTCGCCTTGGTTTACGCTTTATTAAAGGATTGCGGATCACATATGTCCGGAATCCTTTGTTTCTTCCTTTGTCCTTCTCTTTCCTCTTCTGTACCCCATGTTTTTCCTTTTGTATGCATTTTAAGCGTCCTGCATACTGCACTGTACTGCGCTGCTCGCTTACAGCGGTACTTGCCTGCAATAGCCGATATCGATATCAATCTCCAATACCAATCCCAACTGCTTGAATCTAGTTCTGCCCTCCGCGTCCCAACATTCATGACTCGTCGCGCGACGCGCAATCATCGGGTAGCATAGCCGCAGGTGGGAATTGCTTCTTTCATGGTCCCATATCAGACGAGTAATGGTAAGACATCTGCATACGAAGGAATGTGCTTGCTTGTGTCTACCGAATCATGGCACGTCGCGTCAGGCCACTATTTCCTCACCAAAACTCTCCGTCACCCAATCAATACGGTATACTTCGTGTCGCCCGCGCGTGCATGCATGCGCTCCATTAACGCAGAGGTGAAGTCACGCGCAAATTGCTCACGATGGGCACGTCGTCGCATGTGGGCTGATATGATTGTGGCTTCAATATGTCCTGCCAGATATATGGTAGGATACATGAGCCCATTCTCCTCAAAAGCCTGTTTCTCACTCGCTAAGCTACTCGAACGCATATCGCAACATTGACCACCGTCGGACTTCCGCGTAACCGAGTCAAAGAAAAAAATTTAGTCTAACAATTTACATTCGCCGATGTCGATACTTTGATTTCGAAGGCTAGTGAACAAGGGCTAAAGCTCTGAGAGCTGAAAATCGAGACGGGGAAGTTAGGGCAGAGGAAGAGCTGAACTTGAACGCGGTGAAGCATGCAAGCCACATGTTCAAAACAACGCAGGATGCTACTCACTCTTCGACCACCACCCCAGAGTTGACCCGTCAGCCCCTATGACTCTTCTCCAATGAGCACTAAGAGACACCGCGGGCTGAAATGAGACACACCGTACTGTGCTTACCGTCGAATGCCAGGCATGCCGCGCTTCATCATTGGTGGCTTAACTACCGCGGACTTTGGTACAAGGCTCTTACTGACGAGGAACTTGTGAGCGAGGGCTTCCTTTGGTTGGATGCGCTTCTCGACATTCATATGCAGGCATGCGTTCAAGAGATCGGCAAAGTCGTTTAGTTCGGTGACAGATGGACCGCCTTGAGCGATGCCTCGAGCGGCATCGTGGACTCGGATCTTCAAATCGCGGTTGATCTTCTTCTGCTGTTCAATTTTACGAACAGAAAGCTGATACTCGTTAGCAAAGACTTTTGTAGGAAATGGTATCGTACCTTGTTGTATTGATCGACCTCACGGCTGATGAACTTCAAGGGTGGCCCAGCTTCGAAGTGTTCGAGAACATTGTTCAATAGACCCTTCTTGAGCAGTTTCTCACTAGGCCATCCTAAGCAGTCCATAAAAGCCTTGACCATCTGGTTGTTTGACCGCCCTGTAAAAAGGATTTTTCCCGTCCACAGTTCGTACACGGTGCAGCCTATAGCCCACATGTCAACGGGATGACCGATTTCCATTCCAAGAATGATTTCAGGTGCGCGATAAAACCGACTGACAAGGTATTCAGTGCGTTCAATAACGTCTCGCTTGTCGACTGCAGTTCCAAAATCGGCAAGCTTGATCGTCTTCTTGTCTGCCGAAACCAAGACATTGTCAGGTTTCAGATCTAAGTGGATGACCTGGCAATTCTGCAGGTGGTGCAGGCCGAGGAACATCTGTCGAGCATATGTCTTGACAGCTGGCAGGGTAAGACCGTGTCCATTGGTCTCCTCCTTGAGTAAGTCTCGCAAATTCTTCGACATGTGCTCAAACACGATGCACAGATGGCCCTTGTGATCGAATGAACCTAGAAGTCGAATTATGTGGCGCTTGTCCTGTGGGTCTGCGTCGTTCACCGCACGCAAAAAGTCCATCTCCTTCTGACTCGCCTTTCGCATCAGGTCGTTTCTGCGAATCATTTTGATTGCAACCATCCTGTGATCTTGATCCTCACTCTCTGCAGCCTGGTCTTCCGCTTGTGCTACATTGGCAAAGACTCCACGGCCTAGGTTTTTGGTCATGCGGTAACGGCCATCATTCACCAATTCGTTGCTGATGAGCTTGTAGTAACCCTCAGGGTCGTCCCAGTTATCAAGCTGCTTCTCATCGAGCACAACTCCTTTTGTGTAGTTTTGTGTTTCACCGGCCTCTTCATCGTCTTCTTCGTCATCTGAAGCAAACATATCAAGATCTTTCCTCTGCTTCTTTGCAGGGGCAGCTTTCTCGGCTGGCAATGTTGAGAGAAGCTTGGGATCCGTTTCACTGTACGCATCAGAGGGCATCTCAGAACCTTGGAGCTTCTTAGCTGCACGATGGCGATCGTCTAGCATGTCTTGCATCGGATCGTAGTCAGCAGCAGATGGACTGTCACCTGATGGGCTGCTGCCTTGACTGATACCTCCTTGCTTGTCTATGATCATGACATCTGGAGAAGCCGGAACCGAATCCAATTCACCAAAGCGAGGAGAAGGGAAAGGCGATATTGAGCTCTCCACATAGGCTGCTGGAGATACAGCATTAGACGCCGTGATTTCTAACGCATTAGTGACAAGTGCCTGCTGTAGGAGGTTGTCCTTTGCTTTCTGTTCAGCAGCAGCCCGCTTAGCAGCCCATCGGCGACGCTTTTCTTCACGAGTCTCTTGGGTAGGAACCTCATCTTCCACAGATACTACAGATACTTCGGGCTCGTCTTGGGCGTGTTTCCTGTGAACTCTATCAGCAAGCTGCAATTCAGTAGAAAGTCATAATTAGCCTACATTTCGATGTCCCTGTCCTCAACAGGCTGCACCGGCTGCTTTCGGGACCCGTTCCTGTCGGATTGATTGTCATGATGGGATACGTGAACGGTTCTGTCTCGTCTGTGATCATTATTGAACGACTTCTGAGGTCGATGATGAGCGGATAGACCATCTCGAAAGTTGGGCACTGGGTTCGAGTGTTCTATCTCTGCATACGAGATAGGTTTGACATATGGTCGTGCTGTTGTTTCTTTGAAATCCCTGGAGGTCTCGGCTTGAGCGTCCCCTGCGTAAGAACGATCTCTGCGGTCACCGTGTCTGCTACGATCAGTATGATGTCGCTTCTCAGGTCGGCTACCGCGCGGTGGTGAAGCCTTGCGCTTATGAAGGTCGTCGTCATGACTTCGATCAGCTCGGCCGTGACGATATGGTGAAGGCGAACGGCCGGCGGCGCGATTGCTTCTATAAGGTGAAGGAGAACGGGTGCGTTTGCGACGGTAGGGTGAAGGAGACCGACTCAGAGCGCGATGTTTATAGCCTGAATGTGTCAATTGATGCCCTAAAGCAAGCCTCTACTACACATGAGAGTGTTACCATGATCGTCCGCAGCACCATCTAGTCCAAAGACCCTATTGGAGCCGTTAATCGCGTGTTCGCCGGGCTGACTGATTGTGTTTGCCTTGTGTTGAGTCTCGACGACCTCGCCTTCTGAAGTTGAGCTAGCGCGCGAGGCCATGTTGCCAAGTGCAGTCTGTCTATGGGACGTCTGCAAAAAAATGGAATGGGTTCTTGGCGTTAGCTTGCTTCTATCTCTGGAGCGAATTGAGTGTCTCTATCACTGACTATGTGTCCCAGAGCTGGAGTGCTCGACCGACTTGCGTGGCAAGCAGAGTCTGTAAAGGCAAGGGAGCACGCAGAGAGAAGACAGGTGCAAATGTGGTAGAGGACGGAGTTATGGGTGGGGAGCACGAGGCGCACGACGCGTTGAAGTCGCGATCATGAGTGGGGAGTTGCGATGGAAGTCAGAGCTCCTCGCACGGACGCTTTTGCCAACATGTAAAACAGATGCATCACGTGCTGGCGAATTTCTTCATAGATCCCTTGATTTCTCAGGAAAGAGGCACAATCGCACATAGGCCCTTGGAAAAACAGATTTGTGCACCTTTGGGTCAGTGATGGTCTGCTCATTGAGTATCTGGTCAGCTAGGGGATCCAATTAGAGACTTGAAGACACGAATATTTGACATCAGCTTCTAGGTTGCCGATGAACAACACTCGTTACTGGCTTCTAAGCTGAGTAGAAGTAAGATAAGCGGTATGTGTGTCTTGAATACTGTTTGAATAAGGTAGACGTGAAACAAATGCATGCAACGGCCATCTGCCCGAGCAGGATCGATCGTCTCTTATCCCTGCGTATTCAAGATGTGGTGCGTCGTGCATTGTCACGTTACTCCCGTCGAAACTTCATTTCACACTGCGCTACCAACCCACGAGACAAAGTGAGGGGTGGGTAGGTGACGACGTCATCTGCCCGACAAATATCGGTCGTGGCGTCGAAAGGGCAATGCGTGGGCATTCGAGTCACCGCCAAATTTAAGTGCTGAATGGACCAGCGGATGCAGCTGAGAGTGTCTGTTGATGTGTGGCGTTATTGAGCTTCGTTCGCAAAGTCTCGAACAACCTTCTCATTTTGTTAGGTTTAGGCTAAGGGTCAAGGCTATGGATATGGACATGCCTCGGCACAATACAGCACTATATCTCAGAATTGCAGTCCAGTCTCACGGTGGCGGTTGAGTATTTGCAACGGATCGTGCCGTGAATGGTATGTGGTGAAAACACAGACCACGGGTTTGTACATCGAACACAGCAGATACGAATACTTACCTGAGCCGTATGCTCATCAAAAACTGTATTGGTTAGTGACAGAGTTTTTATTAGATTTTCAGGGATGCTCGGTGCGCATGACACGATGCTTAAGACAAGTATCTCCGGCTGAAAGTATCGATTGAATTTCCGAATTTTCAAGAACACAATAACTGTGCCGAAATTGGGATGGTATGACGATGAAGCGAGGTTCTGACATAAAATGAACTCTTACTTGAGTCTCGAACCCGCCGTCACTTGAGTTCTTGGCCCGGATAGTACCGGCCGTATATCAGGGCCCAGATGTACAAGTGGCTTCAGTTACCGACAACACAAAAGCCACCAACATGCTGAGGTTGTAGCCGCTTTGCTTGGCGGGACGCATCATCACCCGCCCATGCAAAGACCTAGCGTGACGCAGGTAGGGCACTAGAGTTGAGTAATCTGCGCATGAAGAGAACCAATCTTTGACCTCGGAACATCCTCCGAGATCCCTGCTTTGCAACTTGAAAAAGCCACCACCACGCCGGATGCCATTCTGGCGGATAAGTACTAGTAAACCGCTGCTAGGATATTTAATTGTACAACGAGGATCGGAGGAGAGAAAAGAACGTGCGTCTTCTAAAGGCCCTTCCAAGCTAGTTGTCAACCAGACATCCCAGCCACATCCTCGTGTCCCTCGTGGATATCCTCGAGGATGTCGTAAGGCCTCGAGACTGGAGAGGCGCTCGTTCGACGACATTACATTATAGCTGCCAAAAATCCAGAACACATCATCCAAGTGCTATACAGAATGTCCTGTCTCATACAAGATTTTCCTTCTTCAATCTGCATATGCAAGTGATCCATCAACGAGAGTAATCATCAACCTTCATGGATACCTTGGCTCGCAGATAAGCAACCCAAAATACGTCTGAAGCTTGGCATGTGCTTGAGTGATTGAAGATCTCGTAGTATACCACGCTATGTTGGCGAAAGGCCCTTCCGTACCCGGACCGACAGGAGATCACCTGGACTTGATGCCATGGGGTTTGAGGCAAGACGCGACTCTAAGTGGATTTGAAGATTGCCTGGATCGAAACGAGGCCTAATGCAGGAACGAGACGTGCTTGACCACTAGATGAAGAAGTAGTCATGTTCACCCAGTAGACCCCTCAGATCTACCTACGCAACGAGGGTAGTGAGTGTGTTGAGTCGTATCCCTCTGGCATATAATGGACCAACTACCTACGTCAGCCAGATCTTGGCACCTCTACTAATTCATGCTAGGCATGGATGCGAATCCACGCGCCTATCCTCTGTAATTGTGAAACGCATGCATGATGAACAAGCGTCAAGCCCGGGCAGAGTTTCTCCTCGGAAACTTTGTCGAAGGTGCCAGGTGGTTGTCTACCTGTGACATATAATGCATTTGAGATTTTAACGCAGCAGCGAGGAACTCAGGGTAAGATAACATTGATTGTATGCGGTACGTAGCGCCCTGCACGGCAAAAGGTTGTTTGATACACACATCGATGCGGCTACCGGCAGGATGTTCGGCAAAATACAAGTCTAGCTTGAATCGGAGAAGGGTCGACTAGACCGATTTTCGAGAATAACGCATCTAGGCTTGTAGGTTGTACCTCAAAGACATACTCACTTGGGGCGTTGCCCATGAACCGTGGTGTGTGACCGGATTCATCCAATCAGATTCCTCTATCGTAAGGTTTAGGGGTAGACATGCTCTTTCCGGCCAAGTGGGAAGCCCATTCCAAAATTGTTGTTCGATATTGATTGTAACAATGTACGCCGATCAAAAAGCTTTGTAGTATAGAAACCGTATATTTGTGAGTATAGAGTTGAAGGATCATCGCTATACGGGAATTGACAATATCTTGTCCACTGATGTCGCATCGCTTACCATCTTGTGGGAAGGATATGAGTGTTTGGCGTCAAGATCACCTCCTGCAGTGGCCTTGAGCCTTGAGGTATAGACCGTAAAGGCAACTCCAGTCGAGACTTCAGCCGTACCGATGCGCTAAATGCGGGCTACCTACATGAACTATCCTTATCCGGCCTCGTAGATATTTCCCATCAAAGGCCGATAATAATGTGCGTTTAACGATCCCTGGCTCCTTGAGGTCGCTAGACCTTGCTCTGGCAGGACTCGTGGATGGAGACAGGAATGGCAAACTCAAATGTTGCATGGCACACAATCCCAGGCATTGCACTTCGAGTTCTCCGTGGTCATGGCATTCGTAACCGCAACATCGCGGTACGATCATCTGGCTAAGCTTAGACTTCGTGTTCGGGCCGAATTCACGTTCTCTTCTTTGCCATCTTGGGCCGACGTACGCACCTCATTTGGAAAGCCAAACAGGCAAGCTCGATGTCCACAATTCGGTCAGGGCATACCTGTCTTTGAGTCTCGAACCCCGTTTGCTGCGCCGTGACCGGCTGATTCAAGGGTTAACTGCCGCACCTCTTCGTAAGCAGGGATGCGAAATGGCGATCCAGCCCAGCGCCGCATTGGCTTGCCGTACCTATCCATTTGTGAAAGAAGATACGAACGTGCCCCGATCGATCGGGCCCCGCTTGCCCTGGCTGACAGTTGCGAAGGATGGACTGAAAGTGAAATCACCCTGCAGGAGGCAATTGCCATGACGTCTAAAGATCAGGTTTCCTTCCATTCGAATTTGGTAACTCGTGTCTCGATATTTGTGGAAAGCGGCCGTTCTAGCCTAGTCTACAATCCGACTTCCCCGCCGTCGTTGGCTGTGGCACGCCAGACGCTAGATCGGCCTGTATCCACCATCTCCCTGGCGTAGATGGGCGACGCATTCGAAATCGAAACCCTGTTCCAGCTCCCAAGGCTTGTCAGCAGTTCCGCGATGTACAACGCCGAGCACTAATAATTTCTTATACTCACTGTTATAGCACATGATATACAAAGTAACCCCCCGATTTCCCGGGCTGGTGATCCATATGGGCGTGCCGGAATAGAGTCCTTTCGTTTACAACCAACCATCAGCCTCCCTCCCCGAACAATCATTGTAGAGATATGATCGCATTCATGCCTCCACAATCAGCGAACTCATCCCCAGGTACGTTCGCGTCAAGCCCAGTACATGACCATTGTTGACGCCTTGACAGGGCTGAACTACTGGTATGGAAGTAGCAGTCTGCCAGACGCGTTGGAGGGACCGCCAGAGGACAGCTCGAACCCTCGTGCAATGCGACGAGCATCAGAAGCTATCGTTCAAGCGCCCGGTTTCCAAAGGTACGTTGGACTTTGTCCTATATAACATCTTTCGGCGTTGTACTTTGCCAGTTCGCATCTCCGTTGTGGCTGTCGGTTGGGTGCCAGCCGCTCTTGGACACGGCCCTTTGGAAGTTCCTTTTGTTCGTCGAGCGTCGCGGAAGGAGGACCATGCACACACTCGCTCGGTTCGCGCCATTGTCCTACACGACAGCAACCTTCCCACTATATTCCGACGTTTCCGGCGCAGACTCCTCTTCCCTTCCATGGCTGTTGTTCCTCCAGAAGAACGCGAGCTCACGCTGGGCACCCTCCCCGTGTCACCAAGCAGACGAGGCAAATCTCCAGAGGACATCACTCTTAGGGAAGAGATCTACACAACGCTACGGTCACCCATGTTTGCTTGTCATGCATTTACCCCGCCCATATTCGCTTCTTGATGGACGGTCCGATGGATTTCACCATGACAATGTCATCGTGGGTTTTCACCACTCCTAGAATCGCCGAACCATTTGCTGGACAGAGAATCTTTGCGCAATGCGATAGATGTGCGGGGTGGGAGAAACTAGCGATGTCGCAACTTCGGACCTATTCCGCTGATCGCTATAAATCCGCTCCTAGCCGACAACGGGTCCCATTTTAACGGCTGCTGGGGGCTATTTCTGTTTGGAAAATTACGTTGATGTGGTCCGGAACGCGCTGACAAAACATCAGTCAGGATTCTCCTGGGTGGGATCAGAGCCAAGGCCAACTTCACCTTGATACAACCCAAGCAACTCTTGTAATTCGCCCTCAGGCAGCAAACGCGGCCGCAATCCACAAAGCCCCATTGGCACCGAAACAAGGCTTGGGAGGTTCTCTTGCCAACGCTCGAGGACAGCATCAATCACCCATTTCAGGGGTGTACGCTCTCCGCACTCCCCGTGGAAAGATCACCTCCATAGCGTGCGAGAGTTGTCGCAAGCGCAAGTCCAAAGTATGCTATTCTCCTGGAACCATGGGCGAATCCCTCTGATCATCTCTCTAGTGCGACGGCGTCCGGCCAAAGTGCAATACTTGCCAGTCCAAGAATCTCACCTGCGTATACGATGTGGCTGAAGATGGAAAGACGACTACGCAACTGCGGGCGCATGTCAGGCGATTGGCAAAGGAACTAGACGACATGAAGTCTGTTATATCGTTATTGGCCATGGCACCAGACCGGGCTTCAGCAGCGAGCTGGGCTGCTGAATTGGAAAAGAACGGGTTTGCGCACCACTCGGCTGAGGAGATTAAGAAATCGCTCCAGGTAGGCCTTGTCAAGTCGAGATCAAGAGCATAGGTTTGACATTGTCCAGGATCCGCAAGACCCGGGCCCTGCTCCCACAGAACAGGAGTCATTTGGCACCCCAGGCAGCGAACAATTCGCGGGGCAAAGGCGAAATATAGGCGCCTCTTCCTATGATGGATCCTCGCGCGAGGAAAGGTAAGTCGAGAACTCGCGCAAAGTTAGAGTATTCTGCTGACAGGTATAACAGTCGGGAACACAGTCAAGCTGCTTTGAATTACCCACCCGAGAGCGCATCGGATAGTGTTTCGGCCTTGAACCCTCCGCCTTTGACACTCGATGCAGCCACGAATGTGTTTAACAAATTTGCGTTCGACTACACTTATTATCGCAGTAGAAAACGCGAGCTCCTTGCAAATGGATGGAGCGAAGCACAGATATTTGGAAGGATCGAAGTTGACGTGGATACACTGCTGTTGGGTTTCGTGGACCCTCAGGACACACAAACAGTACCTACCTGGTGCTCACGTACTGTGAACAAACTGCTTCCGGCAGCGTCCCTTCCTGTCAGGCTTGCATCTACCTGGATCTTGACCAAGTTAACACGGGTGAGTGATGTAGGCATTGGTGGATGTCCAGATAGGCTAACGTCGTTAGTATCTCGTGTGGCCCAGTGTAGAGAACATGAACGCGAATCCAGAGTGGTTGACGCCACCGATAGGGAAGCAAGATTCAGGACCGTATGATATCCTCATCGACCTGATACCATGGTTCGTTCTCACGCCGTTGTCTTTGTAAGAGGCACACGTATTGACTTTTGGTAGGCCGCAAGTACGCCAATTATTATATCAACATCCTCGGGAATATTCAGTCGGGCCATTCGTCGGCCTGATTGGCATCAACTGGCCATATGCGGATGATGCGTGCCACTTCTGGGACATCGAAGCAGGGTGCACACGCATGACACCCTTGTTCGAGAGTACAGTGGCAGACTTGAACAACTGGACAGTCGATCCAAAGGTTTTTGATATCATGCCTGAACTCGAAGGGTTAGTTCCAGGCAAGCCAATATGACGAGGCAAATGGTCCTTGGCTTTATGGTGTTTTTGGAGTTTGGTTAGAACGGAATTCCCCAAAATGACCTCTTGCATCTGTCGGCGGTAGCCTGTATATCTCTTTTAGGCCCTCAGCCTTGCGTCGGTCGTCTGTGACCATTTTGCATAGAGGTCTGCGTCCACATATTTAGCGACGTTAGGGTGGAAACATTGTGCATCTAGGTTAGGTCATTAGAGCATAGAGCATGTGCGAGGTACCAGGATAAAGACAAACTAAATAATTACCCAGGACGAGTCACCTAGAACAGGATCTCAAGCAGCTAAAGAGGCCAGGCTTGATATATAAATGTCCCTGCGCCCCGGAAATAATCGGCTACGTCTCCACCTCAGCTGTCACATATGTGGCTCCTTATTATACCTTCTGTGAGTTGATTCATCGTGATGCCAAGGCCATCCCGAAAATCGCGTTCCGCAGTGACGATCGGTGCATCCAACCGTGAATCCGACCATCACGTCTCGTACTTCCATGTCGCATTTGGGGAAATGGCTGCAGCGCAATGTTACAATCCACCTCGCGTGTCTAAACGATGCCTTATGGTTCTAAAGGCGGAAATAAGTATTGAAAAACTTACAAAACCTGCCTTCCATCCCCCTTCGCTTCGGAACCGACACCTAGTCGCCCAAGTTTCCATCCATAACAGATCCACTTCGTGTAGGACAATCCTTCGTTAAACCCGGCCTCACCGATCACTACATAGTCAGGAGATATGTGGAAAGCTCAGTCGATAGTCTGAATTTTTTTTAGAAATGTAAGAAAGCATGTTTTGTTCGTCTGCCCATTCCCTCAGTCGTTGTTTTAGTGAAGACACCGACAATCGAATGTAACTCCCCGAGAATCAACGTCACCTGCACATCAAAATCGGAAGGTATAGCTTTTACCGCGGAAGGCGTGTAGAAGCTTCTAGTAACAGGGCTTCTACTTCTTACCTCTATGAGTCCTAGTGAAACCGTCACCGTTTACCATTTTGGGTTACACCATCCCGCTCCCGAGTGCGGCACCCGGTTTTGTATCAGCCACATGCTCGTCATTTGCGTAGTCTCGATCTCGATGAGAGCGCACCAATCAGGCGTGATTGCTGTTCATATCGGTACGCATAAGCTCCTCGTTTTGTGATTGCTGTGCAGCAACTGGAAACATTTAAGCAGTCCCTGACTCTAGTGCAAGATACCACATGGTCCTTTTAGTCATCGCGTAATTCAACCTATCAGGCTTGCAAAGTTCTGGAGGTTTTCCTTCTCTCCTCCAAAACAGGTGTGGGCCGTTGCCGTTCCTATCACCAAGTCCAAACCTTACTACTCAGTCAAACAATCACTCGCAGACTATTGCATTTTCCTTTGTCTCTTCGTGTATTTATTCGTACGCTTCAGCCACAGCCATCTCTTGTTCTAACAAAGCCATCTCCACAGTTGTCACTGTTTGAGTAAAACAATGACAGGGTATCTAGTCAGAACTTCCAGAAGCTCAGCAATGAGAGGTACCAATGGATCGGCACATCCACGCTACTGTTAGACGCGCAATCCATGCCCCAGATCTCCCAGCTATCCTTCTTGTTCCGAGCGTTTCAAATACTAGCAAGTCATGCACGGTGTTGGAGAAGTTCTACATCACCTTGGAATATACTGCGACACAATTCAAAAACACAAATTTGACGCCGCAAAATGACTTGGTGAGCTACGAGGACTATGCGCTTATCTCCCAATTCGCATCAATTCGCCACCACCTTTCGATGTTTACAGACTTTATGATCTATCTATCAATGGTCGTCTGCATATGGTTCGTGTTCGGGATATAACCGAACGTATCGGGGTGATCTCCGACGCTTGCATGCAACCGCTTGCGTAAGTATATCAGCCTCATGCGGCGCATCAAAGACAGCTGACGTAGAAATCGCAATGCCCGTTATTGCAATTCAATGCAATTGGTACTGTCCGTCTCTTAAAACGGCACCAGGAACGATTTAAGGATTGTATACCGGTAGCATATTCTTGATTTGCGGGTATTCATGAAGTAGGAAAGGAACACTACGATCGTCAACCTCCGTCATACGATCAGAACTTGTAGCAACGTGACGACGCAGACGCCTCATATGACCCCATCAACCATATAAGAGCCAACACCGAAAAATAAGTTCAACGAAACTCTGCGGTCGTGCGATCAAAATGGCAAAATGAAAAAAATCGTAGTCCGCACATCCGTAAAGGAAAATCCCATCCTATCATGATCAACACATCTCACTAACCCTCGCAACATTTATCCCGACTCTTCCACTGGCAGAATGATCACAGGCGCTTGGAGTCGTCCTGCGCACACCAGCAATCCCACGTTGTCCGGTTACGTCCTCAACGCCAGTGATCCAGTAGCTACCCTCCACATCGCCATCTTCCACCTCATACTCGATAGTGCAACCTCGATCTGGTTTAAGTTCGTACACGATCTTACTCTCGAGACATCCGATATACCCTCCAACAACCTTGTCGATTCGAAGATTACCTTTCGGATCGTATATCCGCACCGCCGTAGATGGATTATTTCGAGCAGCGAGGATGCGACACTGGGCGGCAAGACGAGATCGCATTGGCGTGAGCATAGGATGAGAAAAATTGACCGAAGACGTCGGAGAGTCCATTGCTGAGTCTGCACGCGGGTTGCCGAATTTGGGCGAAAGTGGGAGGTGGGCGTCTAGCAATGTCGAAGATTTAGCTGGGTTTGACGTCCGCGGTGGCGAGGTGAAGAGCGAAGCATCTGTTGGAAGTAGCGCGGTAGCTAGTGGCTTGCATAGTGCTTGGATGAGGCCTTGTGGATCGTGAGGGATGCGGATACTGCGGAGCGAAGGGAACGCGCCGTCTTGGATGCTTGTTGCCAGGAGCGATGTTGCAAGGCAAGATATTGGCTCTGAATTTTTTAACGGAAAGGAAGGGGTTTTTGGTGACTCGGATCTTGAAAACGAACGCGGCGGTGGTGGATGGAGAGCTGGTAGCGGGCCGGCTTGCGTTCGGATCTCCCAATGAATTCGCTGTACGGAGGGGGAATAAAAGTCCGGCAGAGAGGCCCACGAAGAAAGGCCTGGCGCTCGATGTTGTACCAGAGCGAAGTATTTCAGGTTGGCGAGACGGCTAGAGAGGATATTTGCTATCGTAACCAAACTTGTTATTTTCATACTGATCAGTTTCAAGCTCTCAAGCGACGCAGCCAGTGGCGAGGCAGTCAAGCGCTGAAGGCCTTTTTCGTTTAACCCCGGAAGATTCTCAAGAGACAGAGACCGCAAATTCGATGGCAGAGCGCTCAACGTCATATTCGTAAATGAAGCCGCTGCGAGTCCACAAATGGAAAGATTTTGCAACAAAGGAAACTGACGAATTGTACCAATAATAGCTCGAAAGTTCAGAGGCGACGGGCTGTGTTCATGGTCCTGGTGCAATACCAAAGTGTCTAGTACCGTGTGGTTTGAGTTGAGCTCAAGAAATTGTTCTGTGGGGTCGTACGCTGGATTATAGCAACCGCTCATATCAAACTCCTCCTCGTCCATGAATTCTAAATCTGGTTCTGCCAACAGCCACAGCCGTTCTTTCAACTTCGATCTTGTCGACAATGCGTGTGAAAGTCGGTCAAATGAGGAACGCGTGTAGGGTATATGGAAACCCAGGAGGCGTTCAAGATTGGGACATGCCATGACTAACGATGCTACGAGATTGACGATCTCTTCGCGATCGATAGTCGCATTCTGGTACAGCAATTGAAAGTCCGACATGTCCAGTTCGCGTACGCACTGAGCCAGTGCATTTCGTTCAAGAAGCGTTCTCCTTAGAAGTTTGAGTCTGCCCGCTCCTCTGATTCTCAACTTTGGCAAGTTTGGGTGGTCCTCGTTAGTTAAAACAAAAACTTTATGATACCTAAACCCCAAAGATCAGTCATCGCATGTTGGAAGTTGAGGACATCTACCACAACAGAGATGACAACTCACAACTGAGGCGTCGCAGCCTTGCTCCACGACCGGCTTGTAAGCGAGAGACCGTAGAGGTCTTTCAAATAGCATGACCGACATGTCTGGGTTTGACCCAAGTGTATCTGTTCCAATTGTGCAATAATGCAATCATACACCTCCCGAGGCAAATTCTGGAAAGTATGCGCCGGAAACTGACGTGCAGGCATCGATCGTCCTAAGGTGGAATTTTTCTTATGCCATTCAGGCTCCCGTGAATTTCTTGACAGGCGTGAAACATCGCGGCCCTCGTGTGCTGTGTCGTCGCATCGGGTTGGTACGAATTGCTTGTCTAAGACTAGACTTAACCTCTTTGCGACCATAGACCTTTTGGTCTCGGTAGTAGTGTCGGGCGACGACGTCGATTTGGTGGGGTTGGACCATATCATCGACTTTGGTCTCTTGACTTGTTTCTCTATTTGTGGTGCTGGGGATTCGCATCTGCAGGTCATAGTTAAGAGAATGCTCTGCGAAGCAACAACGAAATCGATGATGATACTCGACAATGATTTTGAAACGAGAGTTGAACTAAAGATTGATAGAAAGACAAGGTTGTTGACGACATTGGCTATTGAGCAGAGGCACCGTCGTCGAGTCAAAGGGGATTTATTTAGTGAAACTTACGTATCTGTGCGACTGCGCTCATGATAGTCTTTTCGGGAGATTAAATGTCGGAACATGCCTGATTAACCTTGAAGGACTGTTGTAATGTCAGGGGAACGTCAGAGGAGGATACTGAACACATATGGGCTAGAGCTGTGACCGGGCTACTTACATTTGAACATGGGCGAACACATCAATAGCAGGATTGTGCTAGACAGATCGAAAGAACAAAATAAACGTTTCAGGAACTTCGGGACGTTCTGGCGAAATGTCAAATACCCAAAGTCTCGGGTCTGGGAACCGGTGCACATCATAGCAGTTGTGAACGGTGGTATCGGCGGCAGAGTTGCCGAAAAGAAATATGGGCGTTCGTGGTGCAGGGAGATTACCAACAGAGAGGATTGGTGCATCAACAACGAAAGCAAAAGCATCTCACACCATCCATCGAATGGTAGCTGGACCACGCCGCACTAGTTTCCGAATGAGGTTTGGCAGATCGAGATAGGCGGCTTCCACCCGGATGTGGTGGAGATTGAGCTGGTATACACTCCGAACCATGCACCACAAGCGCATGTCACTGACCGTCCTGGCGGAAACCTGCAGTTGTGGAAGAAAAGCCAATGCGGCGAAGCTGGCGAGTATAGAAACGGGTAATACCGCCTCTAAGCATCGAGCATTTTGCAGCACATCATGGCCGACTGTGACGGGAGAAAGTTGTGTACGAGTATGCTCCGACGGTGATTGCCAGGTTGGTCGAAACCTTGTGAAGCGCGCAAGTGCTAGACTTGTTGATTGAGTTCGCGCGGAAGATACCTGGTCGGCGATCTAGAATCTGCGATCTCGCCAATCGATGTCTAAAGCTCGTGCTTGGCTGATAACAGCTGCATGTGTGCGCTGCTGTAGAAAGCTGAACGGCGTGGAGTGACATTCTCTGTCTACAATCAGCGAGGAAACTTTCAAGACCATACCAACGTGCGTACCTGAAAGTATTAGATGATTCCAAATTTGACCGCTTGAATGATTAGTATATTATCCTAGCAATTAGCGTCCTTGAGACAACGTCACTGATTCCCGGCCATGTTCGGAGCGTATCTTGGTTAATATCAATGTAGATTCGGACGAAACCCCATTGGGCAGGTCCTTGTCGAACAACGACATAACAACAGTGGCTGGGAGGGCGCACCCTGTCGAGGATCACAATGATGACGAAAGGATCATTTGCTATTGAGATTGAAAGGATCGGCTGTGATTGAAGGGTGACATGATCACCCATAGGTATTAAAGTAGATGATCTTTGGCTAGAGCAAACCCCACGTGTTTCCCGCAGCCGAACTTTCCATGTTTGGTAACTGTCGATCGCAGCACTAAGATGTCGTGAGGTTTTAGCGCAAGGCAAGGACGCTGGCGGGCACATTTATGCGAAACTAGTAGGGGGCGGGACGCTTGGCTCAAGGGGATTCCTCCAAGCAGCAGCTTGGCATAGTGCATTTCACGCATGGTCGAGTTCTTGGGAGCATAAGTCGTACTAATCATACATTGAATGGATCCCATATCAGTTACTGTCGCGTTGAGTACATAGATCTACTAGCCGAGCAAGCTAGAAATCGAGCGGTTGATCTTTTGCTGCTCGACAGTTACCACGTACAGACAGCCAGGCAGTATTTCGGTGCTTCCTCATGGCTAGTGTTTGAGTTTTATGTGCCCATGTTGGTACACAATGACAAATAAACTCCATCTCATCTACAATAGATAGACGGCGGCAGCACCTAGCAACGCACCCATACCAACAACGCCAGTAGGAGCCGCGGCGGCCCTGCTTGAAGAAGTAGTGGTCTGGCCAGGAGCTTGATTGGACGTAGCCGCTGGCGCGACTGTGGTAGTGGGATTGGCTTGGCCCGACGTGAAGGGAGCCTCTGAGACAGAGGAAGCGCCGGGGAATACCGGGGCGCCCCCAGTAGCAGTAGGGTTGGCAGCGGTATCATTGGAGGGGTTCAGAAGCCTGTTCGAAAAATTAGCTTGGGCTATCATGTTGAACAAGCGTGTGAAGTCTTACTCGTCGATGACATGGACAACACCGTTGGCGATGAGGATGTCAGCAGTGATGACCCTGGCATTGTTCACAAACACACTGCCGTTCTGCCCGAGGGTAATGGTGAGACTCTCGCCATTGACGGTCTCGAGCTCAGTTCCATTCTCAAGGCCAGAGGAATAACCAATGGTGCCAGCGACGCAGTGGTATGTCAGGATGTCAGTCAGGTCTTCTGTGGTAAGATTACCAAGAGCAGAGCCGATGCTCTGGAACGCTTCGTTCGAGGGAGCAAAGATAGTGATGTTGGGTGTAGTGTTCACAGTCTCGACGAGGTTTGTACGATTGAGCGCACCGCGAACCGAGGTCAGGCCTAGGGCAGACAAGGTGTCGGAAGCGACTTCGGGGAGGACGAGAAGCCTGTCGATGATGTGGATGATTCCGCCAGTGAAGTTGACGTTCTATAGGTAGTTCGTAATCAGCAACATGTACAAACATACGATTCTTGGAAACATACGGCTGTAGTAACAGATGAATTCGAGAGAAGACCACTGTAGAATGTGACATTGTCGCCCGACGAGACAGCATCAACCACTTGGCCTCCTGTAACGTTTGTGAAGAGCGGGTTGGTCAAGTAGGTCGGGATGAACGTGCTTGTGTTGGTAACTGCGGAGGCAGGATAACTGCCATTAAGGACGTGGTATTGGAGGAGGGCAGTGATGAGCCCTTCGTTCGCGGTCAGACTTGTGAGTGTTGCGTTGTCAACTGCCCCAAAAGCATCATTTGACGGCGCCAGGATTGTGATATCTGTTGCGCCATTCAGAGTCCCAAGGAGGTTGGGGTACATGGCGAGAACTCCTGATAAGGCAGAGAGACTGGCAGTTGATGCCAGAGCGGCTTCGAGGGTTGGAACAGTAGTGTTCTGAGCCAACGCGTAACTCGCCAAAGCGAGGAGGGAGAGGTGTTTGAAAGACATGGTGAAGTGATAGCTGAGCTTCAAACGAAAACCTGTATTGAATAGAAGTTGGGAAAAGAGTACTCAGCAATTCAGTTATGAAACAGAAGAGAGCACCGATCATATAAGTAGAGCTTCATGTTGCCTTCCCGCCTTGTCTCCAGTCTAATGCCAGTTGCCATGCTTTTCCAAGCACGACTACACGTCCGTATTCCTTCGGAGGGGCAAGGCTTAGTCACTGACCAATAGATGGTGTAGAAAAGATATGATTTGTTCAAACGCATGTGATTCCATCTCGTGTTGTCCAGTGAGATGTTCTTTCTCTAATGCCAAGTACACCTAGAGTGCTGGTATGATCAAGAGAAAAGATGACACGAACGGAGCATCGTAGTATAGGCCTTGTCTCAGGCTGCAGGTATTCCCCGCTTACGTGCTGCGGTCCGAAGGTGAGTCTTGAGGCTGTGCAGTGTGAGACAATTTTCTCCCCTCACTTGGCCGTCCATTGTATGGTCTTGTCTTTGCCAAGTTCGCGTCTTTGCTGTAATGCTGCAGGAGCTCTTGGACGAACAATTGACCATATAATTTGAACCAACACCCGTTATAGAGTTTACTCACTTGGATGAAGACATGAGGTTTGGAGCAAAAGAGCAGGGTTGCCGTCGATCCGAGACGCTGTGGGGTAGTACTTGGCGTATCGTCACCACGACCCAAATTGGGTTGGTCCAACGCCATCAGGCGTATACAAAACCTAATGCCTTCCAACACTTAAATCGAGAAGTCAGACGCTAGATTTGCATCTCAGGCGCGCAACTACATGAAGCTTACGCGTCTCACTAAGAATGAGGGGTCCAAAGGCCCGTTGATCTACAACAGAGACAATTGGATAGCCGGTGAGCTTGAACCAGCGGGTGATGACGCACGCCATAGTGTACAATGTGTGATGAGCAGCGTGTTCGCCTCTTGTGTATTGGTCTCGTGTATCGAGAAGAGCTGCGCCAACGTATTTGAGTTTGAGAACACTGCAAACCTTGATCGATTGCTATATTTGGGGTTGCGACGTTCTGCATTTGTTTCGTTGGAATATAACAGATCTACAAGCGTTTACATCTTGTTCTACTAAATAGCATCAGTGCCTGCTGTTCTTCTGTCTCTTTTCTGTCTGCACATCTCTTTGACAGGTCTCCTGTCCATGGCTCTGGGTCCATGGCAACCGCCAAGCATCCCGTCTCCAGGTGTAATGTGTAGCGTGTCTTGGAGTTGACATGAAACGCGCGTCCACGTCTTGGGATCTGCCGCATGACGATGGCGTCAAGCTTGTGCAAGAATCTCGTGTTACGGAAGGCCAACGAGGGGCATTCTATGTCGTTGGGTCCATGTTCGAGGTGACCACTCAACTTCCATCGAAAAAGCTGTATTGATCAAAAGGCATAGACTCATGATTCTCCTGCGCCACAAAAGCGGATGACTGCAATGGCATGTAGTCGCCGAACAGATCAGACATATTTGCGTCTGGCGCGAATCCCAGATTCTGCATGAACTGTGGCTGGTGTTCAAGCCTATTCGTGCTGTCCAGTGAGGCCAAATCGTCGAAGAAGTTTTCGAGGTCGTTTGTCATATTTGGGTAGCGAGGATCAGGTAATACCGGGCTGTGCAGACCCAGAAAGGCGTCGTCTGGTTGGTACAAACTCGACGTGGTGTGCAAGTCAGGTACAATGGAGTTGTGTGGGGTTGGCATGGTCTGTATAATGCCTGTTGCAGCAGTCTGGTGAACTGTTTGTGGGCGCGAAAGAGGATTGTGAACCGAGTCTGGAGTTGGCATCTGCATAGCTGTGATAGAACGTCTTGGGAGCGTTTTTGAAGTTTCGTTTGTCCGGATTTGAGTTGTGTGAAGTGCAGAAGATGAAATTTGCCATGTTTGAGCGATGTCGAGGTGCAGCCTTTCGATACGGGCGTGCAATGCTTGATTCGTAGTGAGCCGGGCGCTATATTTCCTAATAATTCCTAGTAGATAGCTCGTGACCGGTGGCAGACTTGCTAGACCTATGTGTTCTTGGGCTCGTTCGAGCATCTGCAAAATTTGATGAAATCGTGGTTCCGACGGAGCCAGGGAGAGAGCGGTTGTACAAGAAGCCAGTTGTAATAAAATTGCCGGTGGAGTCAAAGGCGTAGTAGTGTTGTCAAATCGGAGATAGTCAAGTTTCGGGGGCAGAGAGGCTTTCCAGATCTCAAATCGCTGGGAGGCATGATCGGCAGAGAAACCGGAGGACAGCTGTTCTTCGCAACTGGCCAAGATATCGACAATTTCCACAAGGCAGTTGAAGCTACTGATAGACATCACTGGTATTCTTGCTTGTTGTTGTGAGGAGGTATGCTGACCACCAGTCCATGGCTGCCACTCCTCGATGTTGTCCTCGTTGATGCTGCCAAGCTGTTTAAGATCAGAACGCTGGAAGTACGAGCGTCGACCTAGCTGCAGAGCAAGAATAGTATCAAGTATGAAACAACCAGCAACAGTGTGCTTTAGCCTTGAACTTGCGTTTAATGAGGCATTGTTCATTCTTTCAAGAATTCGGGAAGCACAACCGACAAGCAACCAGGCAGGCTCTATGGATGACTGTGACACGTTGAATATCGCAAGATTGAGAAGTGCCTTGACGTGCCCCAGGTCAAAACCGCCAAATTCGTTGGGTATCCATGCTTTGGCTGTGTCGTATAGTTGTCTAGGTGTTGTCTTTGAGGGATGGTCTTGATCTTCGAACTGACTCATATTACCTCCATCGTAAATGGAAGCTGCTGCCAGAATACTCCAAAGTTCCGCATGAGCGCCTGATTCTGGTAGGTCGGGAGAGACGGGAAGTCCTTGGGCTGGATATGAATATGATAGCTTCAAAAGATCGTGCTTTTCGGATATGGGAAACCAACTCTGGATGTAAGTGAAGTATGTTTCCAACAATCGCCAGCAATCAGGTGGTAAGGAGACCAGGTTGGGACTCTGTAGAACGTGTGGCAAGAACGCAGATGAGGGCTGGTGCAGCAGTCCACCAGGGCCAGCCTCGTCTTGCTTACCCTGATCAAAATCCTCACCCTGAATGACGGGAGGGACGCGCATCTCATCCACATCTGAATCCTCATCATCACTTCGAGGTGATAGTGGCTCCGCTGGTTCATGCCTGGAAGTCTCTCCTCCTGACAATAGCTTATCAACATCTCTGTAGAATGAGCTCTTTCGCCATTTCTTGTGCAGTCTATTGGATTCCTTCGAATCCCGACTGAGCAGTAAAGAAGAAGCACCGCCTTGTGCTAACTTGTCGTTGAGTGAGGTCTCGTCATCGGCATTGAGCTGAAATAGCCAAGCGAGTGCCAGCTCAAGGGCCCGAATATACCCTGGCTGTATGCCTCTCTTTTTGGGGTTCGCGGTGTACGTGCACCCTCTACTCGACATGGAACAACTCGAGCACATTGGCTGCACTCCATCACATTTCTCGCGAGCAACACGGCATTGGTCGCAAGCCCTGGAGACTCTAGTGCGTTTGGCGGGTCCATCTGTCGCCTGGCTTGCACGCCGACGCTTCGCCTGACCTTGTGCAGGCATGAGCTACCCCGGCTGTACAGCTCCGAACTGTAGAGTTTGGAATATTTCTATAGTACTGCATCAAGATGAATGGTGTTCGGGCGTCGTACGGCAGCGTCTTCCTGGATCACGGTTAATTGGGTCGATAGATACGGGCTGTCGCGCTCACATCGTACCATTCCCCCTCACATGATATGCACCGATGGGGTATTGAACATACGATAAATCGAAAATGGCAATTGAAGTTGTGACGTGTGAGTAAGTTTGTCGTCAGATCGAATCGGGCTGCTAGTGTTTGGGCCACCTCGGCATATGGCTGGGTGATGTGGGGAAGAACTCTTATCCACTCACACGAACATCGCGCGTCCACCACACATCCCTTGTCGACACCTCCACCATATCTTGAACCATGGCATCAGCTAAGGATGTGTCGCAGGGATTGTTTGTTCTATTATACCATCCACCGGGTTGAGATGCTCTTGCTTCTTTGAGACAATCCTATACCCACAACTCTTGCCAATTGCAGCATCCGTTGCATAGAGTCTAAGCACTCCCCAATCACCTCACAAGCGCGAACAAGTTGAGACGCACCTCTCGCCATGGCTGTTGCTGTAGCTGGGACGAAAAGGCCCTTCGCCGCTATGAGCGACGACAGCCCAGTGAGCAGTGGCTGTTCTACGCCAAGGGCGCCACATGTTCCCCGAGATATGGGCTCGCATTTGCACAGTATTATCGATGCAGATGGTATGCGTAAGGTGATGCAGCTCTTGTGTAGTTGGAATTGACTAACAAGTAGCAGCTATGGTGAACTCAAGCGTCCGCTCCACGCCTCGAGAGACGCCGGTGCCATTTCCTCCTCCGGGTGAACTCCGCCGTTCATTTGAAGCCGATGCGTCCATTGTGCTGATTGGTATGCGTGGCACTGGAAAGTCCACCCTAGCTGTTATCGCGTCCATGGCGTGCCGCAGGCGTGTTATTGATATCGATGATCTGTTCCAAGAAGCGACTGGCTTCTCTACTGCCAAGTATCGCAAGCAATTCGGGGCTCCCAACCATAACTTACGACAAGAAGAGTTGTTACGGACCGCGCTACGTGTGCACAGCAAGCACTCAATCATCGTCTGCAATGGGGGATCCTTAGAAAGAAACGGTCAATTGCTGATGCAAGAGTTCGCCAGGACGCACCCAGTCATTCATGTCGTACGAGATCTTCGCAGTCTACATGAGTACCTGGGTGGAGTAGGACTCCAACGACTCAAAGATATGGTTGCATTTAGCGCGCCAATTCTTCGCCGCTGCTCAAACTTCGAATTCTACAACCTCCCGGAGACAAACGTGTCCCGCTCTGCTGTACCTACAGAACAACCGGCAGCCCCAGCATTTCTCACTCTCAAGCGAGCTCAAAGAACATTTCTCAAATTTCTATCACTGATCATGTCCTGCAATGTTTCTGATGGTCCAGTACGACATGCCATTCCTTCGCCAGAAGCTGGCTATCCGCTTTCAGGTGTGCCAACCGAGCTCAGGAAACATACCTTTGTAGTTCAAGCACCGCTAGCTGATCTGATGAAGGAAGAAGTTGATATACAGGATCTTGAGTGTGGATCGGATGCCTTTGAGGTCATCGTTGACCCTGATGTACATCAACAACAACTGGAGTCCGACCGAGCGGACGACATTGGCAAGTGCATATCCAAAATTCGAAGGAGTACCGTTATTCCGGTCATATATCACGTACTTCCCGTTTCGACCGATGATTCACGCCGAGCTTCGTATCTTGAACATCTACATCACGGCCTGCGGATGGCGCCTGATTTTGCAACTCTTGACCTATCGTTGGAATCGGATACGCTCGCAGAAGTGATGCAATCAAGAGGCAGTACCAAAATCATTGGACATTTACATAGCGACAAGCCTTGGGATGACGCATCTTGGGTTGCGTGTTACGAGGCTGCTGTGCACCTTGGTTGCAGTGTCGTTCGTTTCACTCGCCCAGCCATGTCGACATACGACGACGCTGCTACCCAAGACTTGAGGTTGAGGATCGGCACTAGCAATAGTCCCATACCTCTTGTGTGCTACGACAGTGGGCGAGCCGGCCGTCATTCTGCATGCCTCAATCAATACCTCACCCCCGTTACGCCGGATTCGTGGAGGGAGAAGGCCGATTTTGCGACTCGAGCGGAACACAATCCCGAAATCTCGTGGCTAACAGCTCGAGAAATTACACGGGCTTTATATGCGACTTTCATCTATGATTCGATGGATATCCATCTTGTCGGTGCACGCCTTGCAAACACTGTAACACCAGACATGCACAATGCTGGTTACGCGGTTTGTGGTATGCCTCATCGTCTCCTGCGGGCTCAGACGTCTTCCCTGAACAGCCTGCAGGAGCTTGTCCGCAATCCAAACTTTGGAGGCTGTATCGTCATCCAGCCTTTCAAAGTTGAAGTCATTTCACTCGCCGACTCGCTCAGTAGCCACGCTCGAGCTATCGGTGCAGTAAATACGCTCATACCTGTCCGTCACCTCAAGGAAGATGGCAGTGTGCCTGGCGATGTCGAGCTCTTTCGAGAACGCTGCCAATCTGGTCCTATTCAAGCGCTATATGGGGACAACACCGAATGGATTGGTCTATGGGCTTGCGTACGGCGAGGACTATCACCAGCGAATGCCGTCGGACCTGCGACGTGCGGACTGGTGATTGGAGCTGGTGGCATGGCCAGAGCAGCCGTGTACGCGCTGTTGCAGCTGGGAGTGAGAAACATTGTCATCTTCAACCGAACTCTCGACAAGGCAGAGAAGATAGCTGCCCACTATACTCGCCTTGTCTCGTCTTCAACAGGAGCAACGCTGATGCCGTCCTTCGGGCGGCAAGGACCTCAACCCACTTTCCACATACTAAAGAGCCGAGAGGATGTCTGGCCAGACAGATTCCGCCAACCTACGATAATCATCTCATGCATACCCGCTGACCCCATAGATGGCGGCCCCGCTACACAGTTTACGCTGCCGCCACAGTGGATGCAGAGTGCTACGGGAGGAGTTGTCATGGAGATTGAGTACAGGACGCTCAACACGCCTCTGATGCAACAAGTGCGGGATGAAACTTCGCGGTTGTGGACGTATATGGATGGGTTGGACTTTTTGCCCGAGCAGGCGTTTGCTCAGTTTGAGCTGTTCACGGGGAAGCGGGCGCCGCGGCGGGTTATGCGCGAAGAGGTGCTACGGGCTTGGAGAGACGAGCATGGGAAGGCTGATGCGGAGATGGTGGAGAGACGGTTGAAGGCGATTGAGCATCAGGAGCTGTGATGTCATGCAGATGTTGATCAATGCCATGCACACGCTGATCAATTCCCATCAGAAAGTGAAATGTTTCCCACTCTCAGTCGCGTATTGTTGCCTCGACAAATACCGTTTGGTGACAGGCCGAGTTCGAGCTCTAGTGGGCCTAGCGCCATCTCCGTCGCGTTCACCAAACACCAGACGGAAAACAAAACACGTGCAAATGTTGACTTGAAACGACGACTCGACTGAATAAATTAGCTGCATATATACCCAGCGTAGACATTGAATTTGGAACTAGCATGCCCTATCACGACGACACAATCGCGCCCGTATAAGTAGCCAGCACGCGTCGACCCCGCTCGCGGACTGCACGCCTCGTCGATATACACTACACACACGTCACGGATGGGAGAGGCAGGATGGAGCCGGCGACACAGGACGACGCGCACTCGATTGTCTCTGGGCTGACGTCTCTCGAGAGCGAGGCGGACGACTTTGAGAGGCTGATGATCCAGAAGGAACGCGATGACCATCGCCTTAAGACGGGCCAGGCGCAGCCCTTCCGCAAGGCGCGCACGCATCCACGCGTCGGCCTGACGATAGACAACCTCGAGCGCAATAACGCCCGCAATGAAGCTGCTCAGGGAGCCAACGCGCGCGCATCGTCTGGCGGTGGGAGTCCGCCCAGCAGCAGCGGCTCGATGAGGTCGGACCCGGCCATCCACGCGCCGGCGGGCTGGGGCAGGAAGGGCAAGACGAACATGAAGTGGATGCGCACCATTACGTATGAGGAGGAGCGCGAACAGCACACACCGGTCCCCGCCGACGAGGATGCAGCCTATGCCAACGCACCGCGCCATTCCATAGAGGACAGCCCCCTCTCGCGCAAGAGCGCATACGGCACGCCGCGCCATGGCGAGGACGCTGACTGGGACTTTACCTTTGACCTCAACGAGGCCTCGATCCTCGCCTCGACGCCCTACATCCCGCGCAACACGGCCCTCGACGACATTCGCCAGCGCGAGATGGAGAGCCTGAGGGAGCAGGGCGTCGCCAAGGCGCAGATGGACACGACACGGGACGGCGAGGCAGAGTCGCCGTCGGCACGGTCGGGGAAGGGCGTGTCGAAGAGCATGGCCAATAGCGTCGCCTCCCTGCCCGACCACGCAACGGGCTCGCCACAGAAGAGACCGCGCACACGCACCGATTCATGGCAGGCGCTCAGCAGGTCGCAGCCCACGCTGGGGACCACCACGGCACACTCGCCCATCGCCGTGCACAAGAAGAGCGCCGAGACGATAGGCGTCGTGGAGCGCGATGTGGCTGTCAGCGCGCAGAGGGTCCCGCCTAGGCGAGCGGGGACTCGCAGGGAAGACTCGCAGGATCTGCTTCGCCGCCTGGCGAGGGTGTCGAACACGCCGAGTCCTGCGCGGGTCGAGGCCGCGCGGCCAAAGACTGCTCATGGAAGACAGCAGAGCAGCTCGTCGCAGACCATGGTCAACGACGCACCGAGTCCATCTCCCGAGGTGAAGGAGGAAGTGGTCGAGGACGCGCCCGCACCACCACCCGCCGCTGCAGAACGTCCCGCATCACAATACGATCAACCACCTCCAGAGACACAAAAGCCTGAAAACACGCCACAGTCAGCGCCAGAGACGCCGGCAGAAGAACCAGACCCCACGCCCACGCCCGCGCCCGTAGAACGCTCGATACTGAACCCCAAAACCCCAATCGTCACTGGGGCATGGGTCGACACACCGGGCCCCCGAACAGCACTACGCACCACCAACCCCCCCCAAACACGCTCGCGCTCACAATCCCCCCCACAAACCAGCCCCCGAAAGTCCAAATCCCCAACAAAGCGTTCCGCCTCCCTCCCCGGAATCACCCCCCTCGAACCAAAACGGCCCCACCTCCCCTCCTCAGCCCTCGACGCCCTCATCCAGTCCGCCCGCCACGACTCAGCAGACTACGGCGACTCGACCATAAACTCTCTGCAAGACTTGATGTGTCCCGGTGATGAGGTAGATGAAGACACACTCCAGGGCTTGAAACTCCCTACTGAGATCCCGAAGAACGAGGCTGAGCGCCAGAGACAGCAGGAACTTACCCATCTGCACCGTATGAATGAGAGGCTGCGCGCTGCGCGGACTAGTATAAGGGATGCGAGTCGCGGGATGAAGAGGCTGGATGATCAGGTCGAGGGGGCGGAGGAGGGGGATATGGGGCGCAAGGTGGGCGTTGTGCACGCTGAGTGTCCGTGTGCGGCGGATAATGCACATATGTCTGTTTGGCGGTCGTGCAGATCCTGGGTCTGGGACGAGCGGTTAAAAGTATCGCGGAAGGGCACGCAGTGGCGCAGAATCGGCGGGCTGACGGGGCTTGGGCTCCTGCTGATGATGGCGGCGTTGTGGTGGGTTGGAGAGGAAATCGCTTGGTATGTTTTTGCTCCCCCTTTCATTTTCACATCCACATCCCCATCCCAAACTACAGTCACATATACATACAAGGTAACTAACACCCAAACAGCGAAATCCACTGCCACCCCCAATTCGCCACTTCCTCACCCTACCCCTTCTCCGTCAACATGCACGCCCCGCGCTACCCCTTCGTCCTGCCCACGCTGTTCTACCGCGCCCTCGTCCGCCCCTGGTGGCTGCCGCTGTCTGCCCTGCTGTCGCCGTTTGCCGCGCAACTGTCACTTGCGCATGGAATGGGACATGTGCAGGATTCGCCACATGCGCATGCGCTTACGCATACGCGCGCCTGGGCTCTCGAGTCGCAGGCTACTGCTGTTGTGGATGTGGATGTGGATGAGGAGATGGTGTGGGGGGCGCGCATGGTGGATGATGAGGTTTTGAGGGAGAGGGGGAGATGATTTTTGGGTTTGTTTTGGATAGCATGTTGGGTTGGGTTTGCATTGTATCACGGTCGGCATGGCATGGTGTTGGATATTCTCTATTCTTACTTACTTCCTCTCGCGGCAAGGGGGAAGGGGAGGGGGGGGGGGGTTTGCATATCTCACACCCCCTACGCACTACCCCACTTACTATTCATCTCTGCATAGCGAAAGTAGAGTACAAGTAAAAGCAACAGCAGATAAGAAGGAATTCACATACACTCGAATAAGCCGTGGTGTGGTGTGGCACGGTACGGTACCCTAGCCCTGACACGCACATGAAACGCAGCAAAAACCAAGAACACGAGATAACAAACGCGCGGTTTCACTTTCACACCTCGACTATCCAATCACAACCCATCCACGCATCTTTACCCATACCATCCAGAGTTTGTGGGGACGTGTATATATAATGATCTAAACACCCGACCCGCCCGTTCATACAGGCTGTTCTTTCTCTCTCTCTATCTTCGTTTCTTGTTGTTGGTTTCTATTCTCTGAGCTGGTCTCACTTTACACAATCCAATTCTTTATTCAAAATGACCATACCCCTCATCCCCCTCCTAACATACACACTCACCACCCTTCTCCCACGCACATTCTACCTCCTCGCGTACGGCCTCGCATGCCTGCTTGTGCTCGAGGGGGTGAGGTTGGTGTGTGTGGATCGCGATGTGAGGGCGTTGGATGGGTGGCTGGAAGGACAGGTTGTAAACGCTGGGGGAAGAGAGGAAGGGGAAGGGCAAAAGGAGGTTGGGGTAGAGGGAGAGGGAAAGGAGATAGGAGAAGATGGGAGGAGGGTGAGACGGGCGCCATCGCCATCGGTACCAACACATGGATCCAGGACATCGAGTCCGCGCCAGGAGTATGGGTATGCGTACAGCCAGGACTACACCCATGGTTATGGGTACAGCCATGACTATAACCACGGCCATGACTACAACCCCAACCTCAACCTCGATCATGCCTACAACAACAACAACACCTACACCTACATCCCCAACCACAACCAAACGTACACATACACCCACGATTCCATCCACCCCGCGCCCACCCCCACACATGCGCATGCGCATACGCACCCACACACCATCCCCGAGCAGGCTAAACGCTCCCCGCGCCCAGAGCGCAAGAAACCCGACTCCACACGCCTAGCACCCAGTCCCGAGACGCCGCTGCGCAGGAAGAAGCGGGATGCGAGTAGTGCGAGTCCAGCCGCTAGTATGCGGCGGCGGCGTGCGGATTCAGGGACCGGTGAGTCCGAAGGAGGGGTGGAGAGGCGGATGCGGAAGAGGGAGGGTAGTAGTGGGAGTAGCAGTAGTAGTAGAAGTAGGGGGATGGTTGGATTTGGGGGGCATATATAAGCCCAAATTACAATATAGTAGGATTATCCACCCTTACTATGCTCCGCTACGCTACGCTTCGCTACACTACTGCATACCAGGCAACGCGCCCAGCCCCCCAATCTCCCTACTGAACTCATCAAAATCGACGCCCTGGTCTGCGAACAGTTTCTTGGCTTTCTGCGCGGCGGCGACCTGCCGCTCGGGCGTGAAGCCTTCGGGCGCGTCGCTTTCGTATTGGATTAACTCGACCCAACGGAAGAACAAGTTCTCCTTGCCCATGGCGGTGAGGCGGTCTTTGAAGGCGATGATTTTCTTGCCCGCGTCGGTTTCGAGGCTGGCGTCGAGTTGGCCGCAGTCCCATACTACCCATTGGCCGGGGGCTTCTTCTTCGGGGTCGTCATCGTCTTCTGTGGTTGTTTTTGATTTTTTTGATTTGGCTTTTGGTGTAGTGTCTGTCTTTGCATCGGCGATCCATACGAATACGCTTTTCCGCAGCATGTCCATGGTGATGTCTTTGCGGTCCAGGAGCTGCGTCGCAGCAATCATGCCGTAGAAGTCGAGATCGAAGTCCTTGTCCATGAGCAGATACCCCGTCTTCTCGCGCAGCCGCTGCGCATCAACAGCAGGCAAAATGCGCGTCTTGAAGAACGGACTATCTTGGCCTGCTTTCCCCGTGCTGCCCTCCGCCTCCCCGAGCAGATCTTTGCCCCCCCACCCCCGACTCTGCCTTACATACACCTCCTCGTCGCGAAACCCGACGGTCCAGCGCCACGTCGCCACGCTGCCAGGGCGCTCGGCGAAGAACGTCCACGGCCACGGCCCCACGATGGCAAAGAGCAGGTAGTCCATGGTGAAGGTGAGCATGCGACGTATGGCCATCCACGCCAGCTCCCCGTGCGAGTGCTGGCTGGAGATGATGGTTGTTTCGTTGGGGTTGCCCATCAGCGACATCAGGATCGCCCAGTAGTAGGGCGCGATGTAGTAGGCGCGCCATGCTAGGGCGACGACGAAGAACAGGTTCAGCCCGAGGGTTTGCTGGAAGACGGCTTTCTTGCGCGGCGCGCGCTGCAGGTCGATGTGCGTTATGTAGACGAGGGTGGGGTTGAAGGTGGAGAGGAGGGGGGCGAGGGCCGCGGGGGCGGACGCGAAGGGTTGGGGGATGGGTTTTGTCGAGGGTTTCGTGGAGGGTTTCGTGGAGGGTTTGGGGGTGCGTTTTGTGGGTTTGGGCGCCATTGCGGAGGTTATGTTATGCGGTGGATTGATCGGTAGGGAGGAGCATTGGCGTGGGGTCGGGATGTGCGGTTCGTATAGATTTGGTTATACGCCTTGATCCGTATCGCGGGTTGTTCAATTCGGGCTTCTAGACGGCGGCGTAGAATTGACTTCTCGTGATATAGGGGTTCGAGCTACATTGACCTTGAATCGAGTGTTGAGATGGAAATGCATCGGCGAAGCGTTTATCCGGGCCAATGGCAATCCCCCACCAGAAGGTCGCTTTCCCACCTTTCCCATCATCCTTGGACGCTGTTCTGACTCGCTTCTCGCCTCTGAGACATGGGGTCGTGTAAATTCTGGGCGTCGTTCATTCTTGAACCAGGTCTAGAACTGATGATTAAACATCGGAGGTTCAGTTCATGAGGCTCCGATCCAAACGTCATCACGGGATCCCCACACGCTTTCACCGAACACCACATCAACGCCAACGCCATCAACATATCCGGCAAACGTGGAGACCCGACACAACATCAGCACAGCACATATCGTGCAACAACGTCAACACATTGGCATTGAATGACTGTGGGCGACAGCCTCTCATACCAGACATGGCTGGGAGTAAAGAGATAGATGTTGGAACTTGGGAGTGGCTGGAGATGTGAACCATAAATTTCCTCGACAAGTGAACCACTACAACCACGATCGAAGTCGGTCGATCGGAGGTTACCTGTCAATAAGATGCGTGCACAGGCGCAGCGTATATGGGTCGGCCACGCGAGCCGTGCGACTAAGTAGATCTGAGTGTAGTATGGCCGTATCTCATGCCAGACACGACGTTCCAATAGAGTGTACCACAGTCATTTGCAATCTGCCTTTCACGCGTCATTCGTCTAGCTCTGTTCGGATGTATGCCCCTCAGGCCATGCAAGATTCGAACCAAGGTAATGCACCGCATGGCTTGGTAGTTCCATGCTCCCCGTTTTGATATACCCCAGGCCACCCGCACAGTGGTTACAGCCAACTGGTTGCCTTTCCACTGTTCCAAACCACGTTCTTCACCTTCAAGATGTCTTCAATACTGGGTGGTCAGATCTTGTCGTTGGTAAGCAACATCGAACATCTTGATGTATAGTGAGTTTGATGCTGACCATCATACAGGGCAAGCGAGCATCAGGTCCATACGCTCCCACTTACGCAAGTCTCGGCGGCTTACCTTGGGTGATTCCTGATGTGCCCATTTCGGTTGTCTTACTCGTTCTCTACGTTATCCTCGGTGCCACCCATATAACAATTCTCAAGAGGAACAAGGGCCGTGGACACAAATTCATCTTCAATGGCGCGTTGTTGGGTAAGCATCCCTCGTCAACTGATCTCACAACCAAATTGCTTCAAACTGACTCTCAACAGGTCTTTGCAAAGTTCGAACAGTCACCATGTGCCTGAGGATCGCATGGGCATGCCATCCGACAAGCATACGCCTAGCTATAGCCGCTAACGTCTTTGTCTATGTGGGAACCATTATCTTGTATGAGATAAACTGGTTCTTCACACAACGTATCATTCGCGCGCAGCACGCCGAATTTGGGTGGTCCAAGGCCTATCTTATATTTCACCGGGCTGCTGAAGTATGCTTGGTTTCCTGCCTAATCATGCTGATCGTCGCGTCGATATCGCAGTCTTTCACGCTCGACCCAGAGAAGCTCCGAATCTTCCGAGCCCTGCAACTCACTGGCCAGACGTACTTTTCAGCCTTCTGCTGCGCGCCGCTCGTTGTTGTTGGCCTCTCGCTGCTTTTCCCGCGGCATGAAGTCGACAAGTTTGGTGCTGGCCGTTTGAGAGCCAATATCACGATTCTTATCATTGCGGTCATCATTTTGTCGATCGGACAGATCTTCCGTTGCGTTTTGGCATGGCTTCCTCCTTACCACGCGCGCAATGCCGAGGGCCAGGTCGTCGCCCTGAGATGGTATCACACCAAAGTTACCTTCTACATGCTCAACTTCGCCACGGAGATCATCGTCATCGGCCTTTTCGCCATATCTCGTGTCGATCTACGCTTCCACATTCCAAACGGATCCAGAATGTCAGGTGACTACAGTCGCAGTCGTCTCACAGTCAACAACTTGACCAGCGAAAAGACTCTCAAACAGTCCTCTATCTCACCAACACTCCAATCCAAGGCCAGTCTGGTCTCGCCTCAATCGTCATGCATCTTTGATGATTCTCGCACTCTGGCTGAATCGCTACGCCACCCTTCTCCAAACCCGAGAACCTCAGACAGAACAAGCAGTTTCAGGACCAAGCACGCCTCCAGTCGATCATCGATCAACTCGTCGAGAGGATCACAATCTTCTCTGGTAAATTCTGGTCGAGTTACCTTTGTAGACAGCGACATCCCACCGGTTCCCCAAATACCCGCAGAGTGGCCGCTCCCCACAACACTAACACCACCTCAAGCAGCCCACATGTCACTGGAATCGACATCAGAGCGAGGCCTCTCAGCACGCAACAGCCACCTCAGCAGCGTCGACACAGAAAACGAGATCAACACCACGCTCGCCATCCTAGAATCCGGCTGTGAGAAGTCCAGACGCATGTCAATCAGCTCCGCGAAATCCAGCCGGCCTCTATCCTCACATAGCATATTCTCCCGCCAGACCTCCCACAAACTACCCGTCGACGCGCCACCGACGCCCAAGATAGGCCCCGTCGCCGATCACCAGGGCGGCGAGGATGCATCCCCTGAATCGTTCATTCTACAGCAACTCCCCCCGCTCCCAACCCAAACCTCGCCTCCCCAAGACGCACAAGACGCACAAGATGCACAAGACACGCAAGACACACAAAGCGTTCCAACAGAAGGCAGCCCAGACCTCGTAGAACTGCCCGCCTCCTACCCGCAGCCGGAAACAACTGACTTGCACCGCTACCCCGAGTTCAGCTCCCTAGCCAACCAGGAGAATGGGTCACAGGCAGTAGCCCCAGGCTCGCGCTCCTCGCTGCAAAGCAACACGACTGCGACCTCTGACCCAGCGAGGGCAGGCGTCGAGGTGCGGAAGTTCAGCTGTGAGGTTCGCCCACGGTCTGTGCCGCCTCCGTCCACAGCGGATGGTGACGAGTTGTGGCTGCAGTATTAGACGCGGTAGTTTGATGTTCTTTCTAACGGCCTGGGTCTGATTTTCTTGGTGATGACTGGGATGGAGTTTGGGGCTTTTACAAATTGCTTGGTTGGGAGGGATGTTTTCGTCGTTCATTCGCGATCGCGGGTATTTACATTGTGCATTTCTTTATGAAGACTGTCTCTCTATTCCCTTATATGTATGTATATACACACACACACAATTAGACGCAATGATCTCTTTTCCTCTATCAATTGTATGTTTATGTATTTCTTCGATTTTGTCATTTTACACCATAGTGACTACAAACATCTCCGTGCCACCCCTTCCACATACCTACGCAGGATCCCAGAATCCAAGAGAATACTATTCTTCTCTGCTCCTATCCATTCCAAAGTGACCACAGCATAGTGAATACTGTCCATTTCCTCCCTCTTCTTCCAGGATTCACACTTAAATGACGTGTTCGACGTCAGGTGAAGAGCTACTTGTTGCCTTCAGCACCGCATCGAATCAATGGGATGAACCAAATTGGAATGCCGTTGTCCCAAGAAAAAAAGCAAGTGATTCTAGTCATCTTTGATTAAGTACGGTAGTCTACCCGAGTCTCCAATCTCCTTCCATCTATCTACCATGAATTCTATCGTAAAGCGTCATTACTTGAGGACATGCAAAAACCATCCAACTCCTACGCACTCGCGCTAGCGGCCTGGAACTCCTTGCTGAACGGATAATCCGTATACCCATCCGCGCTCTTCGCCTTGTAGAAGGTATCGCGGTCATACGGGTTGAAATCGATACCGTTCTCAAGCCTGTACACCAAATCCGGTGTGCTAATAAAGTACCGCCCAAACACGGCAACAACATCGCGATCCTTCATATCCTCATCGACAAGCCTCTTACTCGAATCCGGCTTAAGCCCGCCAGAGATAAGAAGCGGGCCGTCAAACAGCGGGAACAAGTCATTCAGCACATCATAGCCTTCTACGTCCGCATTGCCGGTTTCTCTCGATTCAACGAGATGCAGATATGCCAGATTGAGCTTGTTGAGCTTCTTGATGATGTCGGAGAACTGCGGGATCGGGTCCTCCATCTTCATGCCCTGGAAGTCGCTGAAGGGGGAGAGTCGGATGCCTGTGCGGTCCGCGCCGACAGCGTCGACGATGGCCTGCGCGATTTCGATGGCGAAGCGCGACCGGTTCTCTACGCTGCCGCCGTACGAGTCGGTGCGCTTGTTGCATGCGTCTTGCGAGAACTGGTCGACGAGGTAGCCGCCTGCGCCGTGGATTTCCACGCCGTCGAAACCAGCCGCGATGGCGTTTTTGGCCGCTTGGGCGTGTGCCGAGACGGTGGAGTCGATGTCTTCTTTTGTCATTTCCTTTGGTACCGCGTGCTCATCGTTGAGTTGTGTCGCGCTCGAACTCATGACTGTGATGCCTTTGCTTTGGGCAAAGTCTTTGTTTGCGACGCGGCCGACAGCCCAGAGCTGCATGTAGATGAAGCTTCCCTTTGCGTGTACGGCGTCGGTGACTTTTTTCCATGCCTCGATTTGCTCTTGGTTGTAGATACCGGGAACGTTGGGGTAACCACCGTGCTTCTCGGTGATGAATGTGCCCTCAGTGATGAGTAGAGTTCCTGGTGCAGAGGCCCGTTGACCGTAGTAGTCGGCGGCCATGGGCAGGATGTTGTGCTCGTCGCTGGCGCGGAATCGCGTTAAAGGCGCCATAGCGACGCGGTTCTTGAGCTCGATCGAGCCCACCTTGAGAGGCTTGAACAGGCGGGAGTCGGACATGTTGTCGTTGATAGATTCTAATCTAGTGTACTTTAAAAAAAAGGTATGATGTTGAATGATTCGAATGGCGAGAACGATATGGCTGGATTTGAGATGTCATTTTGCTATCGACGCCCCAAGCCATATATATACGCAAACTAAAAGATGCCATAGTGTCAACTCCGCGGTCAAGTTTCGATGATTTCGAAGCTGAGAGTTGTAGAATCAGCAAAAATGACGCAACGCCCACACATTTGTCAGCGACGAAGACCAACCTCTTCCTAACGCCGCAGCCACAACGTGTTCAATACTTCGATATAACGTACGGAGGATGTATATCCAAGGTGGACCTGGGAGGGGGTGGCTGGACGCTGCACCTCTTATTCGTTACATGCAGTGACGTAAGCAGATTGATTTGACAGTAGAGAATCTTTAGATAGTCTCCGGACAGTACAATTAAAAAGTATAGTTTAGATAGGCTTCTATTTTAAGTACTAGCGCAACATCTACGTAATCTTAAGAATCTATATAATAGGAATTATTTATATAGGCTATTACTACTAAATCTTCCTTTACTCTTTTAAAAATTAAATTTATACTATATTTTTAATACTAACTTATAAGAATTAATAAGAATTAATAAATTACTTTAACCTAGATTTAAACTTTTAATTTATAAAAAAAAACTTTAAAAATATATAGCCTTACCTTTTATTTTAAGTATAACTCTTTTATAGGTAAAATACCTAGCTTAAGCTATTACTTTTTTCTCTTTAGCTTATAAAAGAACTTTTTTTAGCTAATTAGCTTTACTAAAGATACTACTTTTATTAGTTAAAATTAAAGTTTTAATAATAGTTAGTAGTAATCTTTATTATATATATATATATAAACTACTTAGTAGATAGAAAAATAGATTATTTAATTTAGTATATATAAAATAATACTAAATAAGCTATATAAGGCAGCCTAGAATTATAAGTCTTATAGTAATAGTAAAGTAAAAATAAAAGTTAAATAAGTAAAAAAATAAAATATTTAAAATAATTTAAAGAAACTACTACTTATAAGATTTAATACTATAATACTAAAAAAATTAAGATTTTATATTATATAATTACTAAAATAAGTATACTAAAATACCTTTTAGTATTAAAATAATAAAATTATATTATTAAAAGTTATTATATAGCTATAGAAGGTAGTAAGTTTAGTACTATAATTACTAGCCTAACTATTATCTATTTATTATATAACTTATATATAGCCTTACTAATTTTATATATAACTTACTTACTCTTTATATACTATTTAGTAGGTATTTTAAATAACTTTAAAAGTATTATCTTAAGTATTTTAGTAAGCTACTTATACTTCTTTAGTAGTACTACTTTACTTATAGCTCTTTTAAGCTTATTAAAGTTATTATAAGTAAGTATTATTTATATTTAATAAGGCTTTTACTAAAGCCTTTAGTATTACTTTATAAATTTATATATTTCTTAAGTAAAGCTGTAAGTAAGCTTAAGTATAAGCTTTAATATAAGCTTTAGTATTAGCTTAAGTTTAAGCTTAAGTATAAGTACTTACTTAAGTAGCTCTATTTTAATAGCTTTACTATTATATATAAGCTTTTATAGACTTTATAGTATATTATATACTATACTAAATAATATACTATTATTAGTTTTATTACTTAATAGTTATATAATTTTATATAATAAAGTATTAGCTACTTATTTTACTACTTCTATACTTATAAGCCTTTTTTAGTTTACTTTATTATATATTTTAACTAAAGAAAGCTACTATTAAAGAGCTTTAGGTACCTTAAATAGTATAGTAAATAGTAGTAATTATATAGTAATATAGTAAAAAGCTTTATTATAAAAGCTCTTAAAGAGGCTTTTTATATATAAAGTAAGTATAGCTATATTATTAAGTAGATAAGACTTTATAAACTAGATTAGCTATAATAATAATAGTTATAATTATATAGTTATTTTAAAAGTAAGATTTTATATATTAAAGTATATAAGTATACTTTTATAACTTAGCTTCTATAAGCTACCTAAGGCATTAATAGCTTTTATAAATAGCTATTATAGGTATATAAGTATAAGTAGGATTAGCTTTTTCTAGTAAAATAAATATACTAATATATAATAATAAGGTAGCTTAAATTATACTAAATTCTTATACTTATAATTACTATATTACTACTATTTTTAAGCCTAAATCTAAGTTTCTTTTAGTATTACTATAATAGCTAATTCTATATTATAGTCCTAGCTATACTATAGTACCTAGAACCTCTCTACCTAGAGTATACTCTATAGCGCTAGACCTACTAACTCTTAATAGTACTAGATAGGTCTAGATTACCTAAGATTACCTAAAACTAGAAGAGACCTTATTTTACCTATATATATATAGCTCTAGTAGTACCTAGATAGCTTATTAAAGGATTAAATCTAAATAGTCTTATATTACTATATCTTATTTCTATAATATAATTCTCTACTTATAACTATTAAGATAAATTTATAATAGTTATTACCTATACTACTAGTATTACTTCTAAAGAAGTTAACCTAGGTACTATAACTCTTTATATATCTAAGTCAGGCTTAATTACAGAAGAATAGCCTATAAAACCTATACTTATATTAGTAATAATAGAAAAGGCTTTACTTTTTTTTAATAAGGCTAAACTAGATATAATCCTTTAAAAAGAAACTAAACTCTTAAAGGTAATAAAATTAAAGGCTAAAATTAATACTATATATATAAAAAGGATAGAAATTAAAGTAGGCTAAATTACTTTTAGTAGTATATATATCTAGTTTTTCTAAGAAACTCTAGATTACTTTATTTAAGGCTTATTTAAGCTAGCCCTCTTTAAGCTAGAGCTACTAGTAAGCTTTAATAAAAGAACCTAAAGCTTATATAATAAGTAGGTTTATAAATATAAGAGGTATATAATAGAACCTATAAAACTTATAATAAATTTAGTATAAACCTAGTTTATACTTACCTATATAAAAGATATAGAGGTTAAAGTTTAGAAATATAAAGTTATTCTTTTCTTAGAAGAAATAAAAGACCTAATAGTAATATAGCCTTATATAAAAGAAATTATACTAGATTACTTAGAAATACTTTAGATTAAGAAATAGAAGACTAGAAATAAGATTAAGTAAACCTAATAGAGCTAATACTTCTTTATAAAACTTCTAAAATAGCTTAAAAACCTTTAAAAAGAGGTTAATAGAGCTTTACTATATAATAATAATATAAACTAAGTCTATAAATACTATATAGTACTTAGCTTTAATATTAAGAAGTAAATAAAACTAAATCTTTAATAATTTAATAGCCTTATTCTACTAGAGAAAGTAGCTAACTAATACTACTAAAACCTATATATATAAAGGTAAGCTAGGTTAATCTTAATAAAGAAAAACCTAAACTAGAAAAAGAAACCTAAATAGTAATAAAGTAAGAATATACTATATAGATTAGATAAACTAGAAATATACCTACTTACTTATAACTAGATACCTAACTACTCTAAGAATAGAGAATTCTTATATTAGATATATTAGAAACTAGGCTACCTAAAAGTATAATACCCTTAGAGGGATAGTAAATAAGAGAGAAAAGGCTACCTATAAAGCCTTTACCTATATACTTTATAAAAAATATTATATACTTAGTAGAACTAGTAGTAGCTATAACTAGTATAAGAAAGATTACTTTAGAGTACCTAGAATTAACCTTAATTACTTTAGATAAGTATATCTAAGAAACTACTAAACTATAAAAGATTAAAGCTCTACTAGACTATAAAGTAGAGGCTAACTTTATTAGCTTAAGAATTACTAAGGTAGTAAGGCTAGAAGTTAAGCTTAACTAAGTATAAACCTTTAAAACTCTAAATAACTAAATACTTTAAGTATAAAAGAAGTATAAAGTAAAATACCTAGTATTAAACTCTTAAGGAGTATATAAGACTAAATTAAGCACTTTTACTATTAGTAATATAGATAACTTTAATATAATCTTAGGTATACTTTAGTTAAAGAAATAGAACCTAAGTTTAAACTTTATAAATAAAATAATCTAATACTAGAAAGGCTAGAAAAGGTTTAAGAAAATAAACTTAAAAAATACTACCTAATTCTCTAAAATACTCTAAGATAATAATTACTAAGTATATATATTAGTAGTAACTCTAATAAACTAAAATATAAAAAAATACCTTACTATACCTTAGGCCTATTAAAGAGACCTTAAATAAGCTTTCTTTAAAGAAGCTTCTAGTATTCTAGTAAAATATAGACTCTATAAAATAGCTATAAACCTAAAGAAGAAAAAGACTATTTTATATAGGCTACTTTATAGCCTTTTAGCTATAGAGTTAGAAGTACTATATAACTATATCTAAAAGAACTTTAAAAAGAGATAGATATACTAGTCTACTTTACTTATAGGTTTACTTATCTTATTTATAAAGAAAAAGGATAGAATACTCTAACTTTATATAAACTATAGAGGGCTAAATATAGTTATAGTAAAAAATAGGTATCTTTTTTCTCTTATTAAGGAATTACTAGATTACTTAAAATTAGCCTAGATCTATATAAAACTAGACCTATATAATATATACTACTATATCTAAATTAAGAAAGAAGATAAATAGAAGATTATATTTTAAATAAGATATAGTTACTTTAAATATATTATAATACTATTTAAACTTACTAATATACTTATAGTTTTCTAAAGCTTTATTAACTTAGTGCTATTAGATCTACTAGATATATATTATATTATATACTTAAATAATATTCTAATTTACTTTATTTTAAAGAAAGATTATATTAGATAGATTAAATAAGTTTTAGGTAGATTAATATACTATAGACTCTATACTAAACTCTTTAAGTATAAGTTTTATATAAGGAAGGTAAGATACCTAGGTTATATAGTTATACTAGAAGGAGTAGAAATAGAAGCTAACTAAGTTAGTTCTATCTAATTTTAGCTAATTTTAAGGTTTATTTATAAAATTAGGATCTTTTTTAGTTTTATAAACTACTATAGGTACTTTATAAATAGGTTCTTTTAAATTACTTCTACCTTATATATACTTATATAGAGACTTTCTAATATAGTAAAGAGGAGCTACTTATAGAAAAAGAAGAAATCTTACTAGATAGATCTTAAACTTAAAGAAATCTAGGCCTTCTAAACTTTAAAGGAAATATTTATAAAAGAACTAGTACTAGTATATTTAAAACTAGTATAACTATATAAAATAGAAATAAACGCCTTAGAGTTTATAATCTTAGGTATTCTTAGCTAACTAAGCCTAGGCCTAAGTAGAAAGAACTAATAGTA